CCACGGGGCACATTCAGAAGACAAAGGACGAGGACGAGGCCGAGCCCGCAGAGCTGAGCGCCCGCTCGGCCCGAGCCAGGCTGTCCTCGGCCTGGCGGTCCAGGCCGTGGCACTCCTGCAGGGTGTCCTGGAACTGCCGGCAGGCCTCCTCCAGGATGGAGCTGCTGTGGGGGGGCTGGGGCTCCCAGTACCCTGGCCGCACCCAGGGCTGGGCCTCGGCGGTGCTGGGGCCCGGGCTGGAGCTGGGCCGCAAGGGGCCGTCCAGGTCCCGGCACAGCTGGTAGAATTCACTGCCGCGCCCGGTCACACGCTCACCGTCGATGACCTTCAGGCCCGGCAGCAGCTCTCGGACCGAGGCCGGGTAGGAGGGGCTGGCACAGAGCGGGTTGCTGAGCCGGGCCAAAGGGTCCCGGAGCCGAAGGCACTCGAGGCCCCGCAGCCCGGCCAGACACTGCAGCCGGCCCGGGGCGGCCAGCAGGTTGCCGGAGGCATCGAGCCTCTGCAGGTTCTCGCAGGCAGCCAGCGGCTCCAGCCCCGTCAGCTGGTTGTTGGCCACGTTGAGGACGGTCAGCTGGCTCAGGGAGGCCAGGGGGCCCAGCTGGGTGAGCGCGTTGCCCGACAGGTCCAGCCACTCGAGACCCAGGCACTCGCCCAGGCAGCCCAGGTCCACCAGCCCCAGGCCGCGCAGCCTCAGCAGCAGGATGGACTCCAGGGCAAACTCCCCCGAGCGTGACTTGAGCAGCTGGGGCGTGATGCGCGGCCCCTCGGCCTCTCCTGGCTTCTCCCCCTGAGGCTCCATGAGGCGAAGGCGGTCCAGGTGGCCTGGGCCTCCACAGTCTGTCACAGGGACACGGGCATCACTGGGGTCGGCCGGCTGTCCAACCCAAGAAAGGCACTCGCAGCCCCAACTGCGCTGGGGCCAGTGCCAGTTTCCGCCGCCCCTGCTCAAGGGCCAGCAGGTCCCTGAGGAGAGACAGTTAAACAGTAAGCAGGCCCCTCCTACATACCTCTTCGACTCTAAAGCAGGTGACAGTGCCAGCTACGCAGCCCCTACCACCAGGGCCAGAAAGCCCCGTGGCCCAGCAGGACCTGAGGACCCCAGGCCCAGCTGCCGGGGCACAACAGATCCCCTGAGGGAGGTGCGCCGGGCCCAGCCCCCACCCAAGGACCCCCTCACTCAGCTCCTGTGCCCTGCTGGTCTGTGTTCGGCCCAGTGTTCCCAATTCCTCCCTTCTCCAAACCTGCCCTGGGGCAAAAACCCATACTTCCATTTTTTCCATAACCACTCATGAACTCTCCTTAGTTTTGAGGGTTTTTTTTTACCCATTTAAATATATTTCTGAGTAGGTAACAGGTTCCCACCACCCCCCACTCCCACCAACCAAGAGCCTCGCATATGTAGCCACAAACAGGGATACCTGGGCCTGGCTTCACTCCCTCAAAAATGTTGACACAATGTAAAAAATGTTAAAGTTCAAAATGGTTCCCAGGTCATGCAGCCAATTTGCAGCCTCTGGTCCTTCAGAGGACCGGCCTTCGGTCCCAGGCAGGTGAGGACAGGGCAGCCTGGGGCTGAGAGGCAGCACCGCCGACTCCAGCTCCCCCAACCCCTGCAGGTCCCAACCTGCTCTCTCCTCTGCTGTCAACAGAACAGCATCCACCACTGTTCCAGCTGCAAACATGACATCATTTCCAGAGAAAGCAAGGGGGCTGGAGAGGCGGGGGCCACCCCTCGGGGGGGGCCTTTCAAGTCACCAGTGGCTGTGGGACCACAGGAGCCCAGATGTCAGTGCAGGACCAGCAGGAGGGAGGTGGCCTGGGGGAGGGACACTGCCACCACAAAGGGGCCGTTTCAGCAGAGGAAACACCAGAAGGGGCCTCTGCTCCAAGTGGCAGCTTCCCAGTTCTGCAGGCTCTGGTCAGGCCTGGCAGGGTGACGCCTGCAAAGAACTATGGGACCATTCACTGCTGTGGACAAAACCTGGGACTCCAGTGTCCGAGTCTGCGTTTCTGTGATCAAGGCCACTTTGTGTTTCTCCCTCTCCAAGGAGACCAGGCCCCGAGCTCCTCCCACACCCTTTGCCAGAGAGCTAGGGGACCTCCAAACAGAGCTGACACCCCCACCTCTGAGGAGGTCCCTTCATTTCTCTCTAGCCCCCCTCCAGCCAGCAACACTTCAGCAAGTTCTCATTTGGACCTCATTTCTTTCCGAAAGGGACGGAAGGCATCTGCTAAGTCTTGTTCACTCGCTGAGAACGGGACCTGCTGGGGTTGGTGAGCGGGGAGTGAGGGGGCCACCGTACATCTGGGGAAAACTGCTCCAGCCCAGCGGGTGGGACCTCAGGGGCACTAGACACCTACCAAAAAGGCACTAGCAACTAGCAAGACAAGGTCCCCACTGCAAGCGTGGAGGGAGGTACAGGGGGGAGGGCCCAGCACAACATGCAGGGACCTGTGCGCTGACTGGAAGGAGGGACTCCCGTCTCAAATGCTTGGGAAACAGGTGGGACAGCCTGGGGGCACAAAGACCTCGGGTTTAAGGTGACCATGTGGCATCAGGCCTAGGAGACAGTTGATGCTCTGGGCTGGAAGGATCTAGGCACGACCTGCAGAGGTGCCTGGCGCGAGTGTGTGGCACAGAGGCCGCCCTTCTGGGGGACAAAGGCCTATTTCATTACTCGTAGGCCTCCCTGCAGGAACACGAATGTCCTCCCAGACACGCTCTATTTGAGTGGTGCACAGTGGAGAGGTCAAGGGTAGAAATCAAAAGCAACCTTAGTGAGGGAGAGCGAAGACATGGCTGAGCAACCAGAGGGAGGGGAAACCGGGACTTTCAAGATCAAGACTACGTTTCAAAGCTAAGGCCACAGCAGCCCACAAGGGTGACGGCACGATGTCCCACGGAGCTCGGTGACTGCTTAGATGGACATGCTGGCTGCAAAGGGGGGAAGGATTGAGGGGAGTGGGCAGAGCAAGGCAGAGAGGAGGAGAGAACTGTGTGCCCCCAACCTTAAAGCGGGGAGGGGTGCTGTTCGCAGGGGAGGGAGCCGTGGAGCAGAGAGACCGCGCTGAGGCCAGAAACCCAGAAACGGGGCCTTCCACACTCCCGGGTCCTCTGCCCTCCAACGACAGTCACATGAACGATCACCTCTGCCATTCCAGTCCCATCTTACCGCAAACCTGCACTCCTCGCCCGGGCCCACCCACCCACGCAAGTCCACTGCTGTAAAGCACAGGCCGGCAGCAGGCTCTACGAGAGGGGCAATGGCCCGTTCTCACCCACAGGTCAACATTTCTCTGAATAACAGGAGTCACCCTAGTCCTGTTGTACGAATGAGCCAAGAGGCTCTAGGCCCAACACGTAAGGCTGCACCAATGGCTCGGTCACACAGATGAGACAGTGGCTAGGACACCCTTGACACTCAGCCCTGGGGGAGGCCCACCTGCCTGTGCAGTCAGCGTTTGCTGTCAGTCTACCTACCTGGGAACTGGGCCAGAAAATGATCCCCAGGAGTCAGCCAGGATGGGGCTCAGTGCCGGGGAGAAACGGTTCGGCCCCCAACAGCTGCGGTGGACAGTCACCTGGCCGTTATCAGTGGACTGGGGACCTTTCTTCTGCCCCAAGTCCTCCGGGTCCCAGTCTAGAGTAGGGCTCCTCAATCCTGAGCTACTGACACTTGGAGCTGGGTAAGCCTTGTTGTGGGGACCACCTTGTGCATCACAAGGGGTTGGGCAACATCCATTTCTACCCACAAGCTGTGACACCCAGCAAATCACCAGACATTGCTGTATGTGCCCCCACTGAAAACCACTGCTGCCCCCACACTTTCAGCTGCTATGCTTTTTTTTTAATTTGTTGAAAGTAATATTTTTTCCCTTTTTATTTTGTGGTTTATTTACACCAATTTTAAGTTGTGATTTTTTTGTTAAAGATTTTATTTATTTTGAGAGAGAGGGGGAGGGAGGGAGAAAGAGAGGGAGAGAAACGATGTGTGGGAGATACTTTAATTGATTGCCTCTCACACGCCCCCTCCTGGGGACCTGGCCCCCAACCCAGGCACATGCCCTGACTGGAAATCGAAGCACAGACCTTTCCATCTGCAGGCTGGAACTCAATCCACTGAGCCACAGCAGCCAGGGCTCGGCTGCTACGCTTCTGTCTCAGCCTCTTTCACCCCCTGCCCGGCTCCCACCCCCTGCCCCTCCACCCCAGCCTCCCCCTCTCCGAGAACACCAGAGCCAGTCCACTGATGCCAAACAGCACAGGACGGCGCGTCTCTGGAGAACAGCCTCAGGTAACGTGAACGCATGTCACAGTCCTGCCCGCCACCTGACCCACGGAACCACAACTTGGGAGGACCCAGGGTCTTAAGACACCCTCAGGGGGTTCTCATTAAAGGCTGAGCCACGCGAACATTTAAGGAACGGAGGGAGGCAGAGGTCAAGGGCTGGGTCCAAGGCCATGCCCTGACCTTACTACCCAAATGCCCTTGATGGAGTCAGCATTGTGAGGAGTGCGGCCACAGTCCCGGCGGCTCACCCAGACAGACCCCGGATCACGGAGAAGCCTGTGGGCACATGCCCCCAGCAGCTGGCAGGGAGCACACGGGGCCTAAGCATTTTGGGGGCCAGACTCTAATTCCAGTCATGTCACTGCAACCATTCAACGTGATCTTTACAAAGCTTTAGGAAGACGCCGTTACTACACTATTAAAATGAGAGAACATAGCCCAGAACAGGTGGCTCAGTTGCTTGGAGCGTTGTCCCACACACCAGAAGGTTGTGGGTTCAATTTCCAGGCAGCACGGACCTAGGCTGCAGGTTCTATTCCAGGTTGGGGCACGTAGAGGAGGCAACTGATCAAGGTCTCTAAGGTCGATGTTTCTCTTCCTCCCGCCCCCCTTCCCTTCCTCTCTCTAAAAGCAGTAAGAACAGATCCTGAGGTGAGAATTAAAAGAAAATTCAGCACACTAACTAGTCCAGCAGGTACAATCTCAAGATAAAGGAAGTGTGTCAATGTATTAACAGAGGCTGAATAAAAGGATTAAGAGTAGTTCCTCCTGCTTCCTGACATTCTCATGAACTTCCAAACGTCCTGTAGTGAATCGGTCTTATCGACACCTGACAACCCCTCCAGGGGACGTGGTAGGGACAGGTCTCCAGCCCAACAGCCACAGCGCAAGTCAGGCCTTGGGGGCCTCACCCGGCCTCCACCTCCTTGCCCCTCAGAGCCGCCCATCACAGCGGCCAAGCAGCTCGGGAGAGCCAGGTTCAGGTCCTGTGGGTGCAACAGGCCTTCTCCCACCCGAAGTCACCAGCCCGGACCCTGTGTGCTCTGTGCTACGGGAACTCTGGCAATCAGTGACTATGGGTCTGAGACACAGCCTCTTCCGCTTCCAGACAGGGGATTTGCCCTTTGAAAGCAGCCGGGGAGGAGGGGCGGTGTGGGCGTTGCAGGCACCCATACTCAGCCACCAAGAGCCTGGGGAGCGAGGGAGCTCTTTCCAAGACCGCTTTTGCTGTGGGAAGGAAGGCACCGGGCCGCCAGCAGTCTGGAAGCAAACTAGAGGTGAGAACAGGCTGCAGACTCCGTATCTCAGCGTCACTCTCCCTCGCTGGCAGCGCAGTCCTATCAACTGAGAGTTCTCCGGCCACTCCGGGACGGGGATCCAGAGAGAAGCACAGACCCTAAGAAGACTAATGTGCACCTGTGTGCTCGTGCAGACCCTTCCTCTCGAAATGGCTCCTCTAGCTTAGGGGTTCTCTCTTTCCACAGCGAAAACAACTTCAGAAAGAGCTTTCATAGCTCACCCAAGTTCTTGGTTGCTGAGTATGCACCCCACTGAGTACATGTGCCGGTAGCCATCCCGCTTATAAAACTTTACAGCACAAATCACAGTCACTTATGAGCAAGATAAACCTTTTCTATGCACATAGTGCTAGAGATAAATTAAGCAGCCCTGGCCAGGCAGCTCAGTTTTTAAGAGCATCGTCCCATTACGCCAAGGTTACAGGCTCAGTGCCCGGTTAGAACACATGCATGAAGCAACCAATGAATGCATGAACAAGTAGAACAACAAATCAGTGTTTCTCTAAAACCAGTTAAAAATAAATTCAAAATACTTTTTTTAAAATAAATTAAGTATTGGGTAGATGGAAAATGCCACCTCCCTGGAAAAATAAGGCAAACTCCTAAGAGTTGAGAAACTGTCCCCATTCTTCCAAAAAAGGTCTAAGATTCTGGCCACCTCCTGTCTGGTACCCCCGGTGCGACACTCTGCTCTCTCCTTTCACCTACGGCAAAGTCCCTCCAGGAAGATGTGAGGGCGTCAGACCCTAGGGCCAGGCTCCCTGGTCTGCTCCCCGTGGGCCATGTCTCCACCAGGGAGTGTGAGGGGAGAGGGGGTGTAGTTGGGGAAATTTTCCAGGTTGGTCTTCAAGAAGAGGAGATTCTCAACTGTTGCAACTGGGAGAGGGGAGCTGTTCTCCACAATGGTGGGGCTACCCAGGGAGGCCAAGACACTCCCAGAAGAGGCGCTGGTAGCGGGACAGGACAGATAGATGGTGGCCAGTCTTGCCAGGGCTGGCCAGACCTCCTGTCTCTTCTCCCAGTACGCCAGGGGGTCCTCCTGGGCACTGACTGGCTTGTTCTCACGCAGGTACTTCCTGACGATGACTGTGGCCAGGTGGTTCTCAGTGGAGAGCGAGGCTCCGCTCCTCTGGGACGCCAGCAGCCCTACGCTCTCCAGCTGCTCCAGCAAGCTCTTCTCCCTCTGGGCTAGCAGCAAACACCCGGGGCTGCTGCTTCTCTGCACAGGATCCTTGTAGCCCCTCCCCTTAGCCCTGGGGCCCTGGGCTATTCTGCCACTCTGGGTGGTGTCCACACTCATAGCCTTGGGGCTCTGCAGGAAGGGTGAGGGAGGCAAGGAGTATTCGGACACCATAATCTCCTTCACCTTGTAAACGAGAACTTGCATCCAGTGGTCAATGTCGGCCCCCACGGGCAGGATGGCCTCCAGCTGGCCCTTAAATCGGGGGTCCAGCAGAGTTGCGAGCACGAACTCCTCGTGGTGGAAAAGCTCACTGAGCTGGCCGTCTGTGGAGAGCTGCAGAGCCAAGCCCCTGGCAAGCCGGACAGCTGCACCGGTCTCCCCACCACCCTGCCCCTCAAAGTGAGCAGGAACCTGCTCCAGGAAGATGTGCAGGTAGCGCAGCTGTGGTAGCACCTGGCTTAAAGAAGCCTTAGGGGCACTTGCCTCCTGGACTACCATCTGGAAGGGCCGTAGGAGCGTGACCAGGCTGCTTGTCAGGCTCCAAAACGTGGCCGACAGGCCCATCCCAGCCTTCCCCAGCTGGTGCTTCTCGTCATACTCCCTCAGTGGCTGCTGCTGCTCCACCAGCCACTCCATCAGGTGGTAGGCAGACACCCAGTGGTCTGAGAGCTCCCAGAAGGGCTGCTGGGCCGGGAGGCTGCACCGCCGCTGCAACTGGGCAAGGAGCCGCCGGGCCTCCGCGGAGCCTCGGAAATGGCTGCAGATGGCCCTGACTGTGCTCAGGATGATCTGGACGCTGTGATGGTGACACAGAAAGTTTCTCACCACAGAGTTGAGGCAGTGGGCAAAGCAAGGGATGTGGGTGTAGCCCTGCGATGTCACTGCGGGCTCCAGGCTGGGGCAGCCGCTGGACACCAGGAAGCCCGGTCGCAGAGAGCCATGGCCCAGCCACAGTCTGACCTGCTCCCGCAGCTCCCGCTGCCTGTTCTCCACGGTGCTCTCCAGGGGTAGGCCTCGGACCCAGAGCACTGCTTGCTTCCTTACACGCCCTGATACCACCTGGCAGCTACCACGCTGTATCACCCCCCAGTGGGCAGTGATGGCCACATAGTCCTCTGTGACCACCTCCTGGGCCGCCATGCACATGGTGAGGTGGACACGGCTGCCCTCGGCCCGCTGCATCTCCTGCCGTACCTGCTCGCCCATCACCTCGTGGAGCAGAGGCACGGCTTCATCGGAGAAGGCAGCTGGAGACGGCAGACAGTAGTCAGGGTCAGCCTGGGCCATAAACCTTCTGAAGGGCGGGGACGAAAGGAAGGAGAGCGGCAATGCCAAACTGCAGAGTAACTCTGCAATGCTCCGGTTCCAGGCCTGGGAGCGGTGCTGGCTGGGAGCACAGGGGCCCTCTTGATCCCTCGTGACAGCCGCTGGGGGAGCAGTGGGTTCCTCTTTGATGGGAGCAGGCGGAGGTGGTGGAGCCAGTAACAGCTGCTCAGCCCTTCCCAGGGCCAAGTGCCTGTCATTATCTTCTGATGGCGAGCCACTTGGGCAGTGTCCTGAAGATGAGACGCCCTCCTGGACAAGGCTGGGGGCACCTGTGGGCATGCGCTTATGCGTCCCCACTGCCCCTGCCCTGCCTGAGCTGGCTGTAACTGGCCTTCTTTCCCTCGCCAGCCCATGCTTGACGCTGGTGTGACACAGAGTGCAGGTGACATGGCACATGTTCTCACAGCCAGTGGTAAAGAACCGCCTGACATCCAGCGTGAGCTTCTGAGCTCTGGTGTCCTGAGCGCCTGGGGAACACCCTCGAGAAGCCCAGCCCTCGGTCTCTTTTATAGTTCTGACCAGCTTCTTCACGCCGGGTGGCTTCTGGGAGCTCAGCAGCGATGACTTCTTCCCCACACGAGGAAGCAAATGCCTCTTCTTCCACCTTTTGAGGCGTTGCATCTCTCTGTCCAGACAGGCTATGAGGATGTCAGCTTGCCTCATCTCCTCACCCTCACTAGGCTGGCCCACCTCTGACCTGTCCAGACTGGTTGCCTGCACCAGCACTGGGGTGGGAGGGGCCAGGCCAGAGCTGAGCACCGGGTCTCTCGACTTCTTTCCTGCTGGCTGCCTCACCCCTCTCCGTCCACGTGCCTTCTGCTTGGACACCTTCTTCTCAGGCTGCACAGAGGGCTCCTGCCCAAGCACAGACTTCAGGACACATGGTTCAGCATCTCCCTTTGGCTTATTCTGCCCTGAGCTGGCCTGGCTCTTTGCACAGGAGGTAGCTGAATAAAAACCAGGCTTCCACAAGGAGCAGGCTCTTCTCTTCCTGCTACAGATGCGTACGTCCAGGGTACGTTCCTCCTCCTCCAGGAAAAGCTGGTCAGGTGAGGGGATGGAAGAGCCCCTGGGGGGAAGGTGAGGTCTCTTCCTTCGAGGGAGCAGATCCCTCTCATTCCCCTTTTGGGAGCCAGAGCGTGTGATCTTCCTGTGGTCACTGCTGGCCTTCTCCTCTATGTCTACAAACTTAACTTTGACCTCAGTCTCTGGCAGGTCTCCCTGGGCACCCCTGCCACGTCCACAAGAAGTACTGGTAGCTCTGGTGTTGAAGTTGGAGCCAGGAGAAGTCACTGTGGCAGCTGGGCTCTGGGGTCTGGTCATGGGGGAGACAGAGCGTGAGGCTGCACGTCTCTTGGGGAGCTTTTTGATTTTTTCTACTTCCAACATGCTTGGGAACTTGGGGCAATGAGAAGATGGGCCCAGGCTGCAAAGCAAGATAAAAAAAATGTCTCTCAGCTGCCCTACTTGACTTTGGGGTATACTGAGGGGGAAGGCGAGGCCCAGAGGGGAGAGAAGACAGTAGAGGACAAAAGGAGCAGATACTTTATATGAAACTGTCCGAAGACAAAATTCTCAAGACTTCCTTGGCGAGGTCTGCCGTCAACCCCCAGACCCAAAGGAGCAGCCCTCAGCAGAAATCCCCAAAGCCCTGCGCACATCTGCACTTTCTGTGTCCATCTTCTTTGCCAAATTGACTGGTTTCTCTTTTTCCTCTCAATGTTTATTGAGAAGCTAGTGCACACTTGGCAATTCTTCTGAGTGGTAGATAAAGTACACAGCAGGCAAGGCCCATGAGTGCATGCGGATTCCAGGCTGGTAGGAGGGACAGACGTGAATTAAGTGTCACTCAGACGGGTAGAACCAGAGCAGCGGTGAAGGTATGAAAGAGCCGGTGCAAGGCTGGGAGACCCCGGGGGAGGGGACTGACCTCACCAAGGAGTCAGGCGGGTTGCCTCTGGAAGACCTGCAGGCACTAGGCACTGTAAGCACAAGCCAGGAGGGGGCAGAGCCTGCCGTCCTGCATCCACAACACCTGGCTGTACCTGGCACACTGTGGGGGACCAGGAACAGGTCGCATAGCTCAGTGTTCAGAAGTGAGGCAGCCTGAGGCTTCCTGGGTCATCAGATGCCTGGCTCAGACCCCTAGACTTTCCTTCTCTAAAAGTCAATCTCAGGAAGAGAATACAGGATGGGGTAGCTTCTACTGCCAGTGACTCCAGCCCCCCAGTGTCCCTTTGTTCTCCTCTCTGTCACAGAAGCTCCTAAAGGGCTAGTTATACTTTGTCATCCCCCATTCCCCTCAAAACCCTCTCTTCTCTGGCTCTGGCTTCCAACACTTCCAGTCGCTGCTCTTACCAAGGCCCCCAGAGACCCCAGTGGAGTTCTGGGCCACACCTGAAGCACCTGCCCATGGCCTCCATTTGGAAGGCCGTTTCCCTGTGGCCCTGGGAACATTTTCTTGGTTTTCCTTTCACCTGCGCCTCCTCTCCAGTCTGTCAGGTCCATGTTCCTCGGCCTGTCCCTTAATGACATTCCCTGGGGCTCCTTCGTGATGTCTCCTCTCGCTCTGCACCATCTCCCAGGACGGCTGCACCTCCTCCCCGACTGGGACTGCGCTCACGCCAGCTAACTGCCTGGCCTCTCTCTGGCTCCCTGTTCTGCCTACAGCCAACTCAAATGGACATCTGTTCGCCCAGATGCTCAGACCCCTAACCCAGGCATAATCCTTAATTCATTCAGCTCCCTGGGTATTAGGTCAAATTCAGGACTCTCACAAAAAGAGACGTAAGGAAGTAAGAGAAGGACACAGAGAGAAGCAAATGAAAGGGTCCAGTGACCCCAGATGTGTTTCCTTAGGAATCAGAAGGTTCCAAAAAAGAGGGCTTAGGAATCCCACCACAGACTTCAGGAAGGGAGTGGTCTTCCTCTCTTCAGACCAGAACGAGATGTTGGCTAGACGAGACTGTAAATTGCAACCAGTACGCTTGGACACTGAGTGACATTCAATGTTAAGAACCACCGCCAGGGATGGCAGGACTGCCCCTGCAGGTGAAAAGCCCTGAGGAGGCTCGCGTGAGACTCTGCCCGGGGAAGAGTGTGGGCAGCACAACACCGACGGCTCCTTCCTCGGAAGGGCCGAGTGGCAGTGACCTCACACCCATCTTTTGAGAACTCAGTCGGTCCCCGGCACGCTATAGAGGGTCTGAATAAAGATGGAAACAAAACGTAGGACACTGTCCCGGTCCCAGAAGAAGTGCTTTATGATATCAGAACCAGAAGGGACTTACCTCAGTTCTTACTTTAGGACCGAACAAACAGAAACCCAGAGCGGTGACGTGACAGTCAGTGGCAAAGCGGAAGACCAGAGCTGGTGGCACCAGGTCTACAAAAGCAGCCGCAGGCGTCCTTGCTACCAAGAAGGCAGAACCAAGTACTGAAGCCAGGCCCGCACAACCTGCCTTCACTGACGATGGGAGAGAAAAGGGAAGAACCCGGGTGTTAGGGCCACACCAATCCTGCTCTGTTCCCCCATTAGCTGTGTCCTCGCAGTGCGTGTGTATTCTGCAGATACGCTTGACCTATTTGACCAGTTAAGAAACACTCATCAAGTACCTGCCACGAGTCAGCACTGTGCCCTAGGGATGCGGATGGAGAGTAACTGCCTGGCCAGCACGCAGGGCTCAGGATGAGAAGACGCCCTGGCGACAGGCTTATGGCACTGGAGCAAGGCAGGCAGTGGGAGGCACTGTGGATGCCAGGCCTCGGGTTGACCTGGAGGCCACGTGTCTATGACAGTGGAGTTTGGTTTCTGTTTCGTAAGGGGTCACTTACCTGAGGCCACTGCTCTAGGGTCCTTAAAGACTGCCGACAGACTGTCGGATGGGTCTGGCCCCTTGTACGGTCACGGGCTCTGGCAGTGATGGCCCTTCTCTCCCAGTGAAGCACATCAGGAATGGCCACGAGGCTGATGCTGCGGAAAACCAGTGTTGACTTTCAGTGAATATAAAATACAAAACAGAGCCGTGGCTGGACAGCCCAGTGGGTTGGGGCACCGCCCCTTGCACTAAAAGGATGCAGGTTTGATCCCGTCAGAGCACACGCCTGGGACGCGTCTGATGCACGGTCGGAGTGTGTGTAGGAGGTAACCTATCACCGCTCCTCCCTCACATCGACCTTTCTCTCTCCCTGTCTTTCCTTTCCCTCTTTTTTCAAAGTCGATAAACATCTTCTGGTGAAGATTAAATAAACATATATGTAAAATTTAAGAGAAGATCATCCACAAATTCCCATACTTTATTAGTAAGAAGTTACTGTGATATTTCTCCAAACAGATGACAAATGCACATCTGAGGACAACTACAAGACGGAGACTCACAGGCTGCACACGCGCAACCATCAGAGGGCGCTGCACAAGCCCAGCCAGCAGGCTCCACCCTGAGAAGCAGGAGCAGGTAATGGCTCAGGGACAGGACGGGAGGGGCAGCTGTTCAGGAGGCAGTTCTGCTTGGGTTGAGTTGTGGAGGACAAGGAAGGGACACAGAGGGATGCCCTAGTGATCCCCCTTCCTAATGGAGTTCAGTTCTACAGATGTTGACTTTAAGGTTCTTCTGCAACGAATCTTCAGATGTGACAGACACACGGGTCAGGGGATAGAGGTCCGAGCCAAAGACACAGACCCAGGTAAAAGTGTCCTTAGAAACAGGGGAAATGCCGGAGGGAGGAGAGTGGAGGGCGGCTGCCCAGGCAACACCAACACTCTGGGGAGGGTGGAGGATGAGCTAACTTCCAAGATGGCTGACAAGCAAAGGAGGGAGACAGAAAAACATGAAGTGATGTTAGGAAAGCCCAGAGGTTTTTGCAGAAAGGATAGGCAGGGTAAAAGTTCACTTCAGTGGATGAAGAAAGTGAAGCCCAGGGCTGTGCCATGAAAAATGGGAGAGGCAGGTACTTTCAATGTCAGGGGTAGGTGGGGAGGGAGGGTGGGGCTTTGGGATGGGAGGGAAAAGTCTCAGCTGTGTCTCTGAACAGAGAAACTGTGCCCGTGGGAAGAGAGGAGACAGGAAGAACCATAGCAGGAGCTTCCCCAGGGAAGGGATCCCAAGCACCAGTGGTGGGTGGGTTCACCCTGGAGGCAAGAGTCTACTTCTTCTGGCAGAGCAAAGATGGAAAGACGGCCATGGTGGCAGCAAGTCCTTGAGTGTGGATAGGAAAAGGCACAGAGGCAGCGTAGGTTCAGGAGCCTAGATCCCCAAGGGGAAGCCATGTTCTCGGGGAAGCAACGACCTGCGGGCAAGCCTGGGATTGGCGGGGTGTAGGGGGAGGCTCCTCGGATTAGAGACTCTCCTGACCACGCTTACAGGCCTGTTCCCACTTGCGCGGTCAGAAGGAAAGGGGCCGCTTTTCCTTTCCTCTTGTGCCTGCTGCACCCCAGCGTCTTGTGCAGAGCTCCGCCCACCGTAGGCATCTGGTAAATATGCTAGAATTTTCCCTGAGCTTTGACCCTGCCCAGTCTCAAGGGCCCCCCTCCCATCAGCTCCTGCACTGGGGGAGAGGCGGGTGTCTACCCCCAGCTCCAGGATTTCAAAGCACTTACTGGGCCCTAGAGTCCTCGGTCTCTCATCTCCCAGCCGCGCACCTGTGAGGCAATGAACAGGTGGTGAGCAAAAGGATGGGAGGTGAGTGTGGAAGGCAGACTAGAACAAGCCACCGTGTTTTTGCGAGTCTGTCCCACACGCGAATTTGGCTACCGTGCAAATCCTTAGAATGTTCTAAATAATAATCGTGCATCATTCGATTTCACATTATGCAAAACTGACATACGAGATCCGTTTTAAACTACACACCATTCTCACCGGCCGGAAGTAGCATCCTTTGAGCGGATAAAGTCCAGAGCCGGTCTAGGTGGGCCTAAGGCCACCAGCTGTGACCGTTGCGCTAGTAAGCTTCGGGCTCGTCGACAACACAAGAGGGACAACAGCACCCACCTCACAGGCCTGTTAAGGCCTGAATTAACGATATACAGTAACAGAGTAAGTGATGGATACGGGCCGCTGTCCTGTACATCTCACCTGGCGTGTTTTAGTCACCGGAAAAGGAAGGAAGCCCCGGAGGGGGCAGCCCGGTGGGCGGGGCAGGTCTGGGCAAGCTGCCCCCGCCCCTTCGCCCGCCTCCACGTCTTTCTGTTAAGTGGGATCACGGCGCCCTGCCCCCGGCTTACCTCGGGCCAGGGGTTCGGGACGTGGCCAGCCGCACGCTGAGACCGGGCTGGTGAAACTGTGGAACCGGGCGCAGCCCCCGAGGCTGCCGGCAACGCCCCCGCAGCCTGCAACGAAGACCTGTCGCCCGCGCCCACCCACCCCTTGACCGCGGAAAAAGCCACTGGAATGGCCCGGCAAAGCTGGAGGGGCTGCAGCTTCCGGGGCACGCTAGGGGCTACTTCCGGGAGTGACCGACCCCCCCCCCCCAACACCTCCTCCCGCGGAGGGTCCTTTTCCAAGCCGACAGCCAATACCAAGTGCGCAAGTGCGGGCAGCTACGGCCGGAAGTGAAGGCGTCGCACTGTCTCCTCGCCGGAAGTCGCGCCCCGATCTCACCGTTACCAGAATTTCTATTGTACTGTACTGTTGCTAGTTAGTGGTGTGGCCTTGAAGAACGCAGTCACGCGCGTTCCTGGCCGACGGTGGCCTAGTCTTCTTCCTCCACTAATGGGTCCCCAAGGTTCCTTCCACTCAGAGCTCTGCGCCATGAGCGTCTTCCCGAGTGCGACTCAGGTCTCATGCGCACGTGCTGGCAAGAAATGAATCCACTTGGGAGTTCTTCCTGGCTGCAGGACTCACCCAGCATTTCAGCAAACTGGCTCAGGTTGTTTCCAGGGATAAATTTCCACCACCCGGTGTCGCCCCGAAGGTCGGACATTCATGAACGTCTGTGACCGTGTCCACTGCGCGCTCCGGCACCTACCCCCACAAATATCCACGATGCCAAAGGGGCCGCGTCCCCTGAGCTGAGCGGGAAGTGCCTCCCTCTCCCACGGTGGTCCCACCTGGACCCGACTCTGGTCTCACAGGTTACCCTGAGCTTCCTGCCATTCCCAGGGGTGGTCTGTTGTTTCCATCTCCTTCCAGCGCACCCCCCCACCCCCCGCCTCAAGCAAATCGACTCGGGGTCCAATTCATCAGCTTGGGCTAAAACTGGAAGTCCTGCAACAAAAGTATACCATCTTTACACTTTGTCAACGTTATTTTAAATCTCCATTACACAGATGAGGACACAGACTTAGCTGCACAGCGTGTTAAAGGAGTTGAGAGAAGCCGCAGATGATTTCAAGTTGGATTGATACATAGGGGTCCCTGTATAGTGTGGACTCAGAGCTGGTCTCTTCGTACTGCTAACCCAGAGGGATTCTAGATCCAGAGGTGATTTGATTGCAAAACTAGGAGACACGAGATAATAAACAGAAAAAAAACATTGTAGAAGAAGAAAATTCAGTAAAGTAGCTGAGATTAATATTAATATGTAGAAATCAAAATCCTCCACATATGCAAACAACCACCATTTAGCAATATAAAGGGAGAAAACTACATTTTACTAGAAATAGAAAAGATTAAACATCATGGGAAAAGCTTTATAAAAAAATGTACAAAATCAATGTTAAAAAAATGTAAACCTTTACACATCACTAAGGACTACAAAAAGAATACCTGAACAAATAAAAAGGCTTTAACAAATATCATGTTCAGGGTTAGGAAGACTTAATATCTTAAAGATATTAGTTATCTCTAAAGTAATATACAATTTTAATTAAAGTCCAATAACAATTCTAATAAGCTTTTTCCGAATGGAAGTTCAGAAAGAATAATAAGCAAGAATAACTTAGAAAATTTGAACAAAGAGTAGTAATGGTTAGAGGTAGACAGGAACAAATCCTGTAAGATATAAAAATATATGTAGAGCTACTACAGTTGAAACACTGTATACAGGTGCACTGTATTAAAGACTAGATTAGCTCTGGCTGGTGTAGCTCAGTAGAATGAGTGTGGGCCTACAAACCCAAAGGTTGCTGGTTTGATTCCCAGTCAGGGCACATGCCTGGGATGCAGGCCAGGTCCCTAGCAGGGGATGTACGATAGGCAACCACACGTTGATGCTTCTCTCCCTCTCCTTCCCTTCTCTCTAAAAAAAATAAATAAAATCTTAAAAATAAAAGAAAACCCTCTTAATAAATAAATATAAAGACTAAATTAATGTAATGTAATAAGAGGCATAAAAACAAGCCCAGTGTATTTATTTATTTTTTTGAAGATTTTATTTATCTTTAGAGGGGAAGGGAAGTAGAGAGGGAGAGAAACATCAATGTATGGTTGCCTTTCGTGCGTCCCCTGCAGGGAACTGGCCTGCAGGGAACTGGCCTGCAACCCAGGAATGTGCCCTGACTGGGAATCGAACTGCGATTGTCTCCAGTGTATTTTTTTAAAAAATCATGCTAATCCATAGGACACAATAATATGGATAATGAACTTAACGTACCGGTATGAACTGATTTTTCAAGATGTAAAATTCAGTACAAAAAAAAAGGTAAAGAGCAGTGCAGGTTTTATGTGTTTTTAAAAAAGAATACACCTCTATGTAAGTATATGTGAGAATAACTAGTATCTGTTGATTTAAATTATGTATGAGAATGTACATGCTTACTCCTGTTTCTGATGGAGGAATGTTGACGTCTCCAACTATGCGGTCGATCATTGCTCTTTGCAGTTTTTTCCTCACATGTTTTGCTGCACTGTTGCTGGGCACATACATGATAAGGATGGTTACGTCTTCTTGGAGAAGTGGCCCCTTAGCGCGTTTGCTTCTACACACCCAGAACTTCCCTGGAAAGACAAGGACGGTAGCAGTGACTCTGGGAAGGAGCTGGCCTGTTGAGGGGTCCAAGAGGAGACTTTTCATTGTCAACTCGTGTATACCCTTTGAGTTTTATTTCACAGGAATGTCCAACTCTACCCAAACTGCAATTTCAAAATTCTTCCACGTTTACTTTACCTTGAGAACTTGAGAACCAGCATATCTATTCTAGTGCCCAGCCCCCCCTACCCAAAGCTTAGTGTTTTTTACTATAGATTATGTTAGGAACCTTGCCGGGGTCCAGTCTCAGCAGGGTTCAAGGTCCCCAAAGGATGGCCGGCGCAGGCAACAAATGATGAGTCAGACACCCAATTGGATGCCGGAGAACAGCCAGCCTCTGTGGGTCTAACCGAACTCATAGAGTTTGATTTAGGCTTTATTTTTATAGAGATTGTTACATAACATTAAAGGAACAGGTTCATGGCATGATCAGTTAAGCAGAAACAAACAATACAAAGTTAACCAAGAAAAGTACAAGAATTTCCCTAGTTTCAGTTATGTTAAACAAAAGTTGTTTTGACCAGGGGAGCCATTAATCAGACAATTTGAAATAGCTCTATGTACAGAGTTTGAATGTCTTATTGTTTATTAAAGTTCTTAGAATTTGACATGGGGCAAAAGGGTACGCTAGACCGGGCAGAGGTTAAGAAATTCATTATAAGTCCTTTGTGATGTCTAATTTAGCTATCTATCTTTCTGTCTAAAATGTTTCTTTATGTAATATGGATTTTAACTCCTTGGTAATTGTATCTACGTGCTTAGTTTGTAATAGTTAACCAGCTTCTCCTGTTTCTTTGCCTGTCTAATTCTAGTTAACATATATTCCTGTCCAGGGTAGAGGAGGGGCTGTTACTCCATCAACTTTTAGATATTCAGGGGCTACTTCATTAAGGGGGAACTTTGTTCTTTGGCCAAGAAATCATCTTGTACAACTTCATTGGAATTCTGCAGATCATTGGACCTGAAATGCAGGTGTCTAAAAATCCCACCACCTATTAATCTCAACAACAAACGTGTAAAGGGAAGATAGACAGGAAGTCCGGCCACAGTTGCCTCTGCTGTGCAGATGCATCTCATCCGTCCCGACTGTGGCAAGGGATGGCTTGTTGGTCGGCTCCTGACAGAACGTCTGACACCAAACAGAAATACAGATACATAAATAGGCCCCCAGCGTCTTCCATGGCACTTATTTCCCAGGTCCTGTTGCAAATATCAAAGCACTCAGGGTGGTCGTCTTTCTCTTTAGCAAGCTGGACAGGCGTGGTGTCCGTGGTGGGGACAAGAAAAGGCAAAGGACGCCGAGATCCTAGCAGGACAAAACAGGGCATGCGGCTGAAGAGTTAATCTGTAAAAGGAATGTGATTAATAGCAGGCCTTTATTGGCAAGCCAGGCAATTGAGTCCGTGCTCTCAGCTCATATTCACAACATCTGTAAGGCCCACATTATTATTATTATTATTTTATACCAACTTAGCAATAAAACTGAAGCTCGGAAAGATTAGGTAACTTTCACTCAACTGCTAATCAACAGAGCTGAACTTGAACCCAGGCAGCCCAGTTCTCGAGTCTTCACTCCCAACCTGGCAGCTGAGCTGAGCTGCTCTGATCAGGGGAATGATCAGGGAGAGAGACAAAAAAGACAAATGTGCCCTGGCTGGTGTAGCTCAGTGGATTGAGCACGGGCCTGCGAACCAGAGTATCGCGGTTCAATTCCCAGTCAGGGCACGTGCCTGGGTTGCAGGCCAGTTCCCAGCAGGGGACTCAAGAGAGGCAACCACACATTGATGTTTCTCTCCCACTCTTTCTCCTTCCCTTCCCCTCTCTCTAAAAATAAATAAATAAAATATTTTTTTAAAAAAAGCAGTCAGTACCTCAAACTTTAAAAAAAAAAAAAAAGACAAATATGACCCGGGCAGAAAGCAAAAACAGAAATATGTTTGCTGAATCAATGGCTGTGGACCAAGAGCGCAGCTGTTGCTCTCGGTATCGCAATGGATCAAGGTTGCAGCCTCTTCAGTGGACCTTTGGGGCCACACACCCACCCGTTGCCTGAGGCAGAGAACAGGCAGGTAGAGAAATCCACTCTCTACCCTGGCTGGTGTGGCTCAGTGGATTGAGTGCCAGCCTGCAAACCATAGGGTCGCTGGTTTGATTCCCACCTGGGGCCTGGGTTGTGGGCCAGGTTCCCAGTAGGGGGCGTGAGAGAGACAACCATACATTGATGTTTCTCTTCCTCTCTTGCTCACTCCTTTTCCTTCTCTAAAATAAAAAAATTAAATCTATAAAAAGGGAAAAGAAACCACCACCTTCGTGCCCACTCCTCATGCCTGCCAGGTCTTTGTCGGGGTGGGGGGGGGGGCATGCAGAAGGCTGACCTTTTCAGTAGGAAAAAGCTTTGTTGCCATCGTGACCCTTGATCCTGACTGAGGGTAGACAGGGAGCTGGGGGTGGGGGGGTGGGGGTGGTTCTGTGGATTTCTGAGAATATCCATCCCAACCATATCCACCGCCCCCATAGATGATACCTAGAGGATGAGCTCAAGGTTCTACCCGGCTCGGTGTGACGCCAGCGCTCCCTCCCTCACCTGGCAGTCAGCGATCCCCTAAACCTGGGGTGCTTCCATCTCCCCAGGGCATGGTCCAGGTCAGAACTCCAGGCCTGCTGGGAAAGGCACACAGGGCACCTGGCACGCAGGATACCAGCTTCCGCCAGGGTTTCCCAGCCTCTTTTGCAGGGGGTCTGGGTTGATAAACCGATTAAGTTTTTAGCAATCGAGGGGTCAAATCTAGAGTCGTGGTTCCCCATATTGGGGGGACCTGGCCCACCAGGGGACATTTTTCAATGGGCAGAGACCTAAATGGTTGTCACAACTGGGAGCAGGGAGAAGGGTTCCATGAGCACCTGGTGGGTAGAGCTCAGGGTGCTGCCAAGTATCCTGCAATGCTCAGGACAGCGCTCCTGGCCTCCCCTGCCCCCACGAAGAATTATCCAGCGCCGACTGTCAGTGGTGCCGAGGCTGGGAAACTCTGCCTGGGGGGCTTCAAACAGCACAGGAACTTTTGGGAGACATGTTTAAATGCAAAACCTCGGGCCCAGACTGTGACATTCTAGTCCATAGGGTCTGGAGTGGGCACCACGAATCTGCATTTTCCAGCAGCCCAGGTAATTCTAGTACAGGTGGGCCATACCCCACCCTGAGAAATGCCACTGCCTAACCCCAGAAGGCTGATCCCTGGGCAGGGTGGGCCTAATGACCCCCCGACCTCAGGGTGCCTAGGTCCAGCCTGAGATTCTTCCTCAACCCCCGGAGGAGATTCTGTCCTCATCGACCTGGTCCCAGCATTCAATTGGCTTGTTTTGTTCTAAGTGATTCTCATGCAGGTTTGTTCACTTGCAGCGTGGGCTGTGAGCGTAGACTTTGGTCATCTGCCCTCACTATTCTGGTGTCACAAGTCAAGCACAACTGTGGGGGGTTGTCAACTGACTTCCTGGAAACCACGAGGTTTATAAACAAAGGTCGCTTCCAGCACACAGAGGTCATTATCAGAGTGACAGTAACCACCCCCACCAATTTCACCCCCCTCCACAGCCCCACTGTTATCAATGACCCTATTTCTGATCCAAAATTCATCAAGGGGCCTTGGTCAGGTGCTTCACAAGGAGGGCTATGCTGTGCCATAATCTGTACGTATGTACCCATCGCCATTGAGAATCCGGGCTGGCGGGTGTCCCTGATACAGATGGGGACTTGTCAGATCTATCAGAACGCTGAGGTGGGAAGAAAGGTCAGAGAAGGCTGTTGGGAAGCCTGGCCTCAGAGCACCAAGCTGGCAAGACGCCTGGCTCTCTGCCCTTTGGCTTCCACAGGCAGTGCCCGACACCTCTCTGCTGCTCCATGAGCAGTAGCCGTGGTTGCTGTTGTTACATATCCTTGAAGGAAATTTCATCCAGGCTGTGGAACTGTCCCTGCTCCCCGAGAACAGCCGTGTCTGAGGTCACAAAGGCATATGCTTCCCTGGTGGCAAGAACTGGTCTCTGGAGGTTTCCATTCTGCGTGCAGGTGCTGCCCTCTGTCGGCCACCCTGTGTGTGCGCAGCTTAGCTTACATGGGTGGCCAGTCGTCTCCAGGGTCCATCCCTCCTCCAGGCCTCCTCTCCCGAAGCCAACACACTGGTCACCTTAACTCCTAAGCAGACCTTGAATCTGCACACTCATCCCCACCATCTGTCCCCTGGGGCCCTATCGCCAGGCTCCTGTATATTATGCACCGTGCAAAGATTAACCTAGAAATCAAATTAGGGTATGTCCCTCCCTCAGGCTTGCAAACCTTTTTGTGGCTTCATATTGCCCTGGTCCCTCCTCTGTGCATCTCTCCAAACTTCATGCAGCTGGCTCCTCCCGGGCCTTGAAGTGCCAGTCCCTTCTGCTCGCTGTCCCCTGCCCCAAGCAGGCCATGGGCCCTCGCCAAGTCTAGGCGCAGACCAGGCAGACTCGGGCCCTCGGGTACTTGGGAATGAGGCAGGCTGTGCTACAGAGGTTGGGAACCTGCTTTATTGCCCAGCCCAGGAGCTGTTCACTCTGTAATTGGGAACAGGTGAGTGGCGGTCGAAGCTCCACCTGAGCCAGTCCTCCGCCTCCTCTTCCTCCTGGTTCTGGTAGAATCCTCGATGGCTGCCCCTTCCTTCGGGTCTCAGGAAAGTGTGGGTTCATGTCCATGTCCCAGGGCTGCAGCTCTGAGCAGCTGCCAGTCCCCCGTTCATGTCCCCAGCCTTTACACTACAGAATCAGGTGGGCAAGGAGAGGCGGCCAGCAAACTTGGCCTCAGCCAGGAGTCTGCCACCGAGCAGTGATTTCCTGCCACTGCAGAGTCGCTAGACATGCAGTGGGTTTCCTGTGCAACCCCACACAACACCCCCACTCCAGCAGGGCCAGGGAGGCCAGGACAGGCAGGAAGTCCAAAAGGGAGATGGTGGGATGTCGAGGGGAGGCCCCGGCCTGAGCTCTGAGCAACAGGCCAGACCAAGAAGTCCAGGTGAGACACCTTGCACTCTAGCACCAGTCCAAAAACAGTGCCCACTAAGTGGGAGGAAGGCCAATCAAATAAATAGTCAATAAATAGGTGAGATTGGGTTCTTCCTCCAGGGAGGCCGCGTGGCAGAGAGGGGACCCCAATTAGCTCTGGGACAAAGGGCAAGCATCTGAGACCTCAGCCTCTGCTCCCCTTAGAGGCCAGGGCATGGGCCGGTGGTCTCAGGATCCCTCTGGCCTGCTGCTGGCACAGCCAGCCTGGTGCTGGTCCCAGGAGCCCACAGAGCTGCCCAAACCTTGCCCGCACCTGTCTCCCTTCACTCTCCCCAGCTCAGATGATCTACATGCTGCTGTGAGGGGCCCAGAAACCTGCCTTCATGCAGCCTCATGGAGTCCAGACCATGCGTGGGAGCTGCCTTGGGCGGGGGGCCAGGGCGCAGCAGCAGCCACGGGAGGAGAGCGGGACAGGAAAGTCTGAGGGGGAACGACGTTCTGAGAAGGCCGGTGACTGTAGGACTATAAAGGGTACTAAACATACGAGTTTCTATCTGGACCCATATTAGCATGTTTTTTGGTGTGAATGTTTTCCCATTACTTCAACATTTTCAGGAAATTAAATTCCAAAGGCCTTTGCCACACCCGGAAGGAGCTCTGCCCTCCACTTCCCAGGTGAGGAGGCCCTGGAGGCAGAGGGGCTTCCCACCTGGGGCCACGCAGCAGAAAAAGGCAGAGCTGGCGACTGCGCCCTGACCCCCATGCAGGGCTTCCACTCGTCCTGGTAGCCTTCTCTGAGGGACACAGGTCCTTCCCTGGACAGATCTCCCTTGTCAACTCCTGGCCAGGTCTCGTGTAGGAAGGGGCTGTGGGAGTGTGAGGGCGGGATCTCTCTGCTCCAGCCAAATACAGCTCAGGCCGGACTGGCTGGGGACAGGGGCACTTGCGGGAGCCAGGCAGGCCCTGGGGAGGGAGCACAGAGGGGCCAGGACACAGCTGCGGGGGTGGGGACAAAGGGGTATTCAGGGACGGTCCAGCCGAGGTCATCCAGAGAGCTGGGCCACCTGAAAAGCACATCACATGAAAGGGTCATCTTCTTGCCGCCGTAGAGACCCCCTCTGTACCCCTCCACCAACCTCTGCCCCAGCCCCCCTCCGCCATTCCTCATCAGAGTCACTGCCTCCACACTCCTGGGCCCAGGCCTTCCTCTCCCGGGACAGGCTCTGCACCTGCCACACCCTCTGGACCCTTTGGGGACGCACCTGGAGGCCTTGGTTTGCCGTCCATCCTGGTGCCCAGCACAGCACCAGGCAGGCAGGCAGTGGGTGCTCAGCAGTTTGGGGTGTTTTTTCCTGAATAAATGAATACCTGAATCCAAATGCAAACTCTTACCACAGCCCTGCCTGTTCCCTGCCTCCTTGCCAGGCCCTGGCCCCACACCTGGCCCGGCCCCAGCCCCCCACCCCCTCTCCCGGCCCCGTACCTGGGCTGAAGCGGCAGCGGTCACTCCCAGAGGAAGCGCACGTACCAGATGGTCTCGTTCTTCAGCTGCGGCCCGAACAGGGGGTTCAGCTGGGCCAGGATGGCGATGAGCCAGCTGCCAAGGACAGCACAGTGAGGGTGAGCCTGCACACAGCAGGAACCTACCAGGCGTGACTCAGGCGAGGCGTGTGGCCATGTGACCAACCCCCCTGCCCTCCCCCAGCCAGCAGATGGGCTGAGTCTGGGGGTTGCGGGTTTTGGTTTAGGGAGGTCTGACCGGGTGTTCTGTAAGATCCCTGAATGGAGGCCGGACCCTGGGATGAGAGAAGAGGGGAGACAGACTCCGGGGCCCATTGGGAGTGACCCCCAGCTGGGCCCAAATACATCCCTGGTCTGGGCCGCCCCAGTCTCCATCTGGGAGCAGGACAGCGCTGGTCTGAGACACGCACACCAGAATCACCCCCTTTCGGGCAAGATGAAGGAACTACCCCAGTAGGAAGATCTGATGACCAGAATGCCCCACTCCCACGCCTGCTGGGGACAGGACAGGGCCATCCCTCAGGCCAGTGAGCTCCCTGGGGACCACCGGCAGGCTGTACACCTGGGGGGGGGGTGTCAGGCCCTGTCATCATGACTTTGCCCACAGAGCAGACCCCCGTACCCTGGAGGGGCATGGCTTTGCATGCCGCCGATGCTGGTACCAACCGTGCCTGGTGTGGTTTGGCAGAAGGGATCCGGCTCCCCTGCCTCCGAATCCCCAGACCAGCCAGTCCCCGGCTTGACGCCTGGGACACCACCCGAAACCACTGCCTACTGATCACCGGCCTTAACCCATGTTTATGTTCTGTAATTATAACTTCTAGGCGTGGCATTTGCTTAAACCACCCCACCTTTCTGCCTGTGTGCCTCTGGTCTGCGGCCCAGGTTCCCTTCCCATATGCTGAGCTGGTGTTTGTAATCACCCGCACCCTGCTCTGTCTCCCCGCTGGCCCCAGACACCACCCTCTGTCCCGTCTGTCTCTGGGCCCTCCAACTATAGCCCCTCTCAGCCCCTCCCTGGGAGAAACGAGGTCGTCTGTCGAGGCCTGAAAGACCAAGACAGCACAGAGAAAGGGCTCTGAAGATGCTCTGTCCAGGGGGAATTCTGAGTCATCCTTGTTTTTATCAAGGTTTTTTTGTTGTTGTTAACAGGAGGTAGAACTATCGCACATTATAGAAAGTAAAATTGGAATTGACTAATAGGAATAAATAGCTCCTGATCCAATTAAGTAAAACAGGTATTAACTACATAACAGGCACCAAATCTGAAATCAGTCATGAATTTTTTAAAATGTGGGTATTAGCCTACGTATTTGAAAAATTTGGCAGCCCTGAGAATTATCCCAGTTACTTTCAAAAGACTCTATCACTTTTTAAAATATCAGCATTTCGCCCTGGCTGGTGTGGCTCAGTGGAATGAGCACTGGCCTGCCAACCCAAAGGCCGCTGGTTCAATTCCGGGTCAGGGCATATGCATCGGTTGCGGGTCCCCTCTCTCACACATTGGTGTTTCTCTCCCTTTCTTTCTCCCTCACTTCCCCTCTCTCTAAATAAAATCTTCTTTAAAAACATCATCATTCCATCACGTTACCTGTCCTATGTTGATTGTTCTGAGTTCAGAACACCCACTGAGACCAAAGTTAACCCATAAAAATGGCGCCCGAGACCCAGGAAGATTCGAAGCCAGACAGACCTCACTTGGGCTCAAATGACCAGGAGGGAGGCCTCCCTAACACCAGGACGAGGACCTGCTCCTCGGTTTGGCGGCAGGATGATTCCAACCTGGAGACGAAACACAGGACTGGGGGTGGACGGAAGGCTGGCTGCCTTCCTCTGTAAAGGGGCAGGGGCTATCCCGAATGGCGGTTTTGGAAAACAGACCATCTAGACGCTGAGGACCTGGAAATGGATTCCCTCGCCTTGTCCAGGTCCTCAAATCCCTCAGAACGCTCTGCGGTGTCCCCGGAGTCCCTTTTCAAGTTTAAAGACCGCCCATCTGGCAGCTCTCACTGGCGTGTGTGATAAACACAGATTCCCAAGCACACAGTGATTTAGTGGGTGGAGGGCGCAGCCCTCAGAGATGTATCTCGGTCCCTCCAGGTGATTCTGATGCCAAGTCTGGCGTGAAAAGCACTGAGCCGGCTGAACTCACTCATTTCACAGAGGAGCAAGTGGCAGCCTGTGGACCACACGCAGCTCGTCCAGGGACTCAGAACCCGGAGTTGCTGACTTCCAGCCCACCACTCTCTCCCACTCCAAACCATCTCCTCTCTTGTGTTTTACAGATTCAGCCTTTCAGGCATGGAACTTGTCACGATGCGGACAGGGGCGAGGGCAGGGCAAGGGAGCGGAGGGAGGAAGGGAGGAGAAGACAGGCACTGGCTGATTTTGAGCTGGGAGAGAGGTACTTACAAGAGGTAGCAGCACACGGCAGTGGCTACCAGCATGGTGATGATCACCCTGCAATGAGAGAGGGTGTCAGGTCAGGGTCACGGATAGAAGTGGTACGCTCAGGAGGCCGGGCCAGGGCTGCAGAAGGAGCTCTCGGGGCTGGCCCCTTTCCCGTTGGCCTTCCCAGAGCCATCGGAGCACAGGAGGCCAAGTTGTCCTCGGATGGAAAATAAAAATGCTCAGTGTCACCTCATGGGGAGGCCGACCTTGACCACATCCAAGTCACACTACAATCCACTCCCTCCATCTCCTTCCTCTATCACTCACTGGGTCTCCATCTAAGGCAGGCACGTGGGGAAAAGACACTCGCAGAAATGCATTTGCCGCAGCCCGCCGAGGAGGGGTCTCTGGAATTCAAAATTCACTGGACAGGGGGAAGGAACACAGAGGCCCAGAACGCTGGGCAAGAGCAGGAGACTGTGAGCCATTTCCAAGGCAGAGCGAGTGGCTGGAAAGAGCATGGGGACTGGCTACCTTGTGTCCACTCAGGCCACTGGAGACAAACGCTTACAATGCAGCAGGGGAGACTTCAGTTAGACAGAATGAAGAACTCGCCAAAGTTTGCAGGAGAGCTGAGACACTAACATGGTTTACAAGGTGAAGCCAGCGTCCTGGGCCCTGCAGATCTTGAAGGGCTCCAGCTGCAACGTGCACGTTTGTGAGAGGCCTGCAGCCAGAGCTACACTGAACCCGAACCAGGCCCTAGGACTTCTGACCCACACTGCACAGAGACTGCGCTGGAGAAATGAGCACCTGATCCACTCTTTCGACATTACCAAGCTCGGTGGGCCCGTCCCGTGCTGGGCACTGGGGTCTATAACAAACCCCTCTGGGGCCTGGAGGAACTTGCAAACAAGGGTAAACAGTACTTTACAACTGCGGATAACGCGAAGCGCAAACTGGTCCAGGGTGCAGCAGGCGTAGGAATCTGCTCCGGGACCGCCACAGGCCAGCGACACCGCCTAGAACACGACCCAACACCTAAGACGAGTCCCTCACCGTTAAGAGTTTTATATGCGTTATTTCGAGTAATCCTCACAGCAGCCTGAAAGGCGGCCATCATCATCATCTCCCCGTTTTCTCTGTGAAGAAAGGGAGGCTGGAATGGGGTCACATTCTCTCTAGGTCACAGCTGGTGCGGTGTGAACCAATTGCACCGAGTGGCTAGCCACAGCCGTGATTGGCCGGAGGGGATGACCCTGGACCGTTGCCCGCATCGGTCAGCTCTCGGCCTTTCTAAAGAAGGCCTCCCTGCCTTTGGCCCCTACCGCCGGCCAGTTTCCAGCCGAACAGGAGGAGTGGGCGCTGGCCATCTCTTGCGCTCCGCCCGGGAGGGGTCCGCAGGGAAGCTGGGCCTGCGCGCGTCCCTTACCCGCGGTTGGGTCCTTTCGGCACGAACCAGGGCCCGGCGATGCCGATGAGGCCCCAGAACGTGGTGAAGATGATGACCGGGAGGGCAAAGGAGTGCGCTGTCATGGCGGGGCGCGGGACGCCCAGACCTGGGTGCAGGACCAGAGGCAGATGCTTGGAGATGCGCGAGTCCAGGCCGGGCAGTGGGCGCCGAGCATGCGCAGCAGAACGGGGCGGCCTTGGGGAGCGCGCTCCGCCAGCCCGATCGGCTCAGGCACGCGCGCGCAAGCGCGCCTGTCCTCTGGGGCGAGGGCCAAGGGCCAGGGGCTAAGGACAAGCTTTCCCGGCAGCCAGACGTAGTTATCTTCGGTGAGCTGCTCCAGTTTCCCACTTTGGGCTAAAATAATTTACAGGACAGAGGCGTGTGTCGAAATAAAATCTGCTTTATTCAAATAGCAAAATGCTGAGTGTCCATTGTGGTTTTGTAAACTGATTTGCACATCTTTGAAACCAGAAGTGGAGAGGACATCCTGGGCCACCCCTCCCCTCTTCCCGAGTGTCCTCAGCTGACAGACACCTGGAGAAGGTACCTGAACAATCTTAACACTGTCCTGCTAAACACGCAGGCCAGGAGCTCAACCTGAGCTTGAGAGAGAAGCAGGAGCTCTGGAGTGTCATAGCTCTCTAGCTTGCCTGGCGGTGTTGGGGGTGAGCTGAGATCCCTCGCTCCTCCTGCCTGGCCTCTATGGCTGTCTCCAACCTGCCTGGCCTCTATGGCTGTCACCAACGTGCCGCTCCCAATGCTGGTTGCTCCGAAGGTCAGTCATGGGGCATGCTGAGTGGAAGGAATACCAGGACTGGGGACACGGAGGCGCCCTGAAGATTACAGGTAGGGAAGGAGTGTGGAGGCTTGACCAGGCCTCTGGGCAAAGGCAGAGCGCTTGCTCCTATTCCTCATGCACTTCAGCTTGTTTTCTTGTGAGGCAAAAAGAGGAAGCTCCTCCAATGAGGGAGCAGCCAGGCCCTTGGGTCTGAACCCTAGCTGCTCTCCTGAAGTGAAACAATGTGGGGGTGCCGGGTAACAGGCCTCCTGGAATGGCCTGAAGGCGCTCACCGCATTTCAGCCCTGGGGTGCTGCACGAAACATCAGTTGTCCTCTTTACTGTGAGCTTATACAGGGAGCCAGAGCACATGGGTAGTGTGTGATAAACAGCATTTCCCAGGGGCCTGGCTCTCTCACAAGCTGGCATTGGAGGCTTGCTCAGAGCACAGATGTGGCAAGGCAGGCTGTGCGCCCCTACCTGGCCTCCGCCCCAGCACCTGGAGAGCTGCATCAGGACGTGTGTGCATGGGAACCCCCCTGCCCCAGCAATGCCCGAAGGACTAGACTCAGAGGCTGCATCTCCCAGCAGGAGCTGGAAGCACCACAGATTCCACAGCGGAGGCCCCCGCATCTGCCTCCCTCACACCCACCACCTTCTTTTTCCTTGGGAGCAAGTCAAACTGTGCTTGTTCCCGTTGCCCAGAACTTGGCCGTCTCCTATCAGCGAAGACACCTGTCCGCAGAAGCAGCCCTGGTGCGACGTGGAGGTGATGGATGTGACCCCCCCCTTTCCAGAAATAATCAGTGGCTTCCCCATTACTGTATGTGGAAGTCCATCCGGCTCCCTAGGAGCTGTTGGCTAATCCCTGTGGGTTGTTCAGCCAGCTGCCTCCTCTCTACCTGCACAGCACCCTGGGGTCATGTGACACCGGCTACTCATAAGCTCAGTTAACCACCTTGGCCGTAGATGCTATTGGACAAAGCAGTAGCTTTAATCCTCTTCTGAAGCACCACACTGAAATGAGGTTAAACATCCATTGGTGCTTGTGGGCCTCGGAAAGAAGGGAGGCCCAGAAGTACAAGCAGTAAGTACTGACCAAGCCAACAGGTTACTGCCAGAGATAGGCAAAGTAACTAACTCTCACAGGCCAGCGGTGCCAAATGCCGGAGGAGGAGGGCAGCAGGGAGCAGAGGCCCACAGGCCTGTGGGTCACATGGTCCCTCAGAGCCAGTGTCCCCCACATCGCTCCTCCAAGCAGCGGGACCACAGGTTGTGTTTACTTTGTAGGTTGTTTGATCCGGAAAATGCATCACTGTAGCCTGTGGAGGGGAAGGTGTAGGGAAGAGAAGCTTACACAAGGAATAACTTCTCTAACTCCGCGTCCTTCTCAGTCTTTCCAGGGAAAACCCGCAGCGTCCACATATCCTCATTGTCCTTTTTCTCTCTTTTGTCTGAGGGGCAAACCCTCCAGGCTTGTCCAAGTGACTGAAGTGAAAATCGCAGGAGAGCTCCAGAGGAAAGAGGTCCTTCCACATGTGTGCTCGTACTTCCAGTCTGTTGTTCAACAAAAATCACAGATCACAAATGTTAAAGGAACAACAGAATGCTTTTTTAAAGGAAGGACTCGGCACTCGAAACGTTTGTTCAGGGTGTTCCCTCCTGTGCCAAAGAAGAAACAATCCTCAAGACCTGGAAGCAACCAAAGAAAAAACAAAAGAACTTAAGCCAGAAAGATCTATTGCCAGGCGGCTGCCGTGGTCTCGGGGTCAAGTGCCTACAACCTCGCTGGTCTTTGCTGTCATTGCCTCGGAGCTCTAGCAACCCTGTCGAATCCACTGAACTCTACCTTCAAGCACTTTTTCCACCTTTTCTTCCAACGCGTAGCCTCTTGCCCAAAGCCTGAAGCAGGCGTATGGAATATGATTCCGAGGAATGCTCAGACACTCCATGAAAGATACAAGCTACACACAGGAGTTGGTGAGAAATATGCCAGACGCCTTTTCTTCTTTTCAGCCCTTTCTTGGGAAGAGGGATCTAGGCAGGTCCGAGCCCCCAGGCTGCCTCCCTACCCCTTGGTTCCCACTGGCGTCTTAACCAGCCTCAAAGTCTTAGAACAAACTGGGCCAAGTTGTGGGAAAACAGGACATTTTCCCATCACTGCCCTAGGTCACCCACCCCAACATCCGAGAGGCCGCTTGGCAGGGGTGGTTTGGCCAGAGGAGACGGAGGGGACCCTGGGGGCCGCGTGGAGCTCTAGGAGGCCCTGTCGGCGATCCCTGCGCGGTCTACCCAGAGGCAGCCGCCCTGCTGCAGAGGAAGAGGCGGCGGGCGGGCCAGCAGATGAGTACCCCGCTGCAAGGCAGGCTTATCTGCAGGGACTCTGCCCTTCCCACCCGCCTCACCGGAGCCCAGGTCAGGGATCTACCGGAGGGGCGTGGACGGACCCAGCGCCGTTCCAGACCAATCTTCCCCGACTCCTTGGGCTTCATGACCCCTGCTTTCGTTGGCCTGCGCTGACCCTGCCACTGGCTCCAAGCCGCCCCCTCCCCTGGCTGGCAGGAGAAACCGCCCCCCGCGACCACCCGGGCAACCGGGGCCCCGAGAGGGAGGGCTCCCCGGCGGGGATGGAGTGCGCGCCTCTCCCACATCTGGGGGCGTTAGCTTTCTAGGATCCTGGGGACGGATGCATCACTTCACGGCAGCCGCTTAGCCCGAGGGATGCATCACTTCACGGCAGCCGCTTAGCCCGAGGCGCCGCGGCATCACTGGACGCTAGTCCTGATTCAGTCTGCGGCTCTTAGAGCTGCTATTGGCTCCCCCAATGCGGGATCCTGATTGGACGTGGAACCGCTCGCTCTCTGCTCTTCCCGCCTTCCTCTAGCGAGGTGGTTACTAGGTAACGTCCGGGAGACCTGCTCCGAGACTCTGCAGTAAGGGCAAAGCGCTCTGGATGGGCTAGGAGATTTCCTGTTCCTGCGCCCGTTTCCTTTGCATTTTTAGGGCCAGTGTCAACCTTGAAGTTTCCAGGTTTTATTTAGCCAAGGAGGGCAATACTTTTTCTTACATTCATTCAAAAACCATCCTCAGTTGCCTACCATGTGCCCGGTTTGGGAGTACATAGTCGAATGACAAAAACCTCATTGTCTATTGGGGAAGCAGGCCAGAAACAGATAATTACAAAATAAAGAGACGAATGCAATGAAAAAGGTAAGCTTCGACACCTTAGAGTGTGGTGGTGAGGGCCTGTGGTGTGGTTAATCACGAATGCCTGAGGAAGTGGTGGCTGCTGGGAATTAAAACACGTAGGAACTAGCCGAGTAAAAGAGGTGCTATGGACGGCTTTGTCTCCTTCCCCATGGATATGTTGAAGCCCTAACCCCAATGTGATGGTGTGTAGATGTGGGACTCGTGGGAACTCATTAAATGTAAACAGGTCGTGAGGGTGGGGCTATAATGATGGGATTAGCATCCCTCAAAGAAGAGACACAGAGAGCTTGCTCTTTGTCACGTGACAAAATAGTGAGAAGACAGCTGTCTGTGAGCCACGAACAGAGTCCTTACTAGACCCTGACAATGCTGGCACCTCGTTCTCAAACTTCCAGCCTCCATAACTGTAAGAAGATTAATTTTTGCTGTTTAAAGCCACCTGCCCTTGGTGCGTTGTTCTGGGAGCCCCAGCCAGCGAAGACAGGAGAGGAGGAGAGCTGTGGCTAGGAAGGCCAGCTGGGCATCGGAAACAGCCCGAGCAGCGAGCACGTGGTACGTGCGTGGACAACGTGTAGGGCGGGAAGTGACGCTGAGGAGACAGATACACCGGGCTGGATGTGGAAGGCATTCTGGCTACATTAGGAGTTTTAAGTGAGTTTCAAGCTGGTGGTGACTGGTGTAGGCAAATTTGCACTTTATTGGATCAGGCCTATTGCAGAATAGAAGGGGGATTTAGAGAGGAGAAGACTAGAAGAGAGAAGACCAAACTCTATGAATATATACTTACTCTGCTTTCTTCTCTCCTTTCTTTAAAATTATATAATAATTATAACAATGCATCATTTAGTTGTTTATACATGGATGTAATGTGTATAATAGTACAAATGATGTACACTATCATGCAGAAATCAGTTTGTCACATGGCCTGGTCACCACCTCTCTGGGTTCCAGGATCTCCCAAGAGCTGAGCTCAGACCCCAGTGCCCGGCTCTGGTTCTGAGGGACCCCTGAGGGCACAGGAGCGGGGGTGGGACCCCAGACATCTCAGCACCTTCTCTCCACACCTCCCCCCATCCACTGTCTCCTAGCTGCCTCCCCATCGGCCTCCACCCCATGGGGCCAGGGTCCTGGACCAGCCCCGATGTGGGGGATGTGGAGAATGTGGGGAACTGAGGCCTACAGCACTGGAAGGGCCAGGGGGCCCGGTTCTCATCCTGCAGCCCAGATGGGGCCCCTGGGCAGAGGGGCCAGGGGTCAGGTGGGCCCTGCAATGCCCGGGGCTCTGTGGGTGAGGCTGAGGGTGCAGTGACCCACGGCTCTGGGCTGGAACTGGCAGTGGGCGGGGGCCACACCGAGGCCATCCTGGGACAGCTGGCCAGGGATGCACCCGCAGCTGGGCTGGCAGCCTGTGGGCCCCCAGCTGACACAGGTTCCCCAGGGCCAGGTCCTGGCAGGAGCGAGGGCAGGGCGGCCCACAGGGGAGAAGAGCCTGGCCTCCCCCACAGTCTGCAGCAGGAGGGGGCGGAGGCGGTGGGTGCTGAGGGGCTGCCCCAGGGGACGAGCCCTCCTGCCACACCTACCACCTGCTCCAACCCCCACCCTGCCCCAGATCCACGAGGTGAACAACCCACCCTTCAAAGGGGTGCGCGTGTGGGTGTGCATGGGGGGATCAACAGCCAAGGCAGCTCCTCCCAGCCTCACGAGGGACCCTCCCGGGCTCTGCGAAAGGCTTCACCTGGGCACCGCATGGAGCTGTCCTGACAGGGGCAGCTCTGCCTGTGGCCCCTGGGACAGGGCCTGCCTCCTTCAGGTGTGGGGGGCCAGCTGCACACCCGGTTCCCATGGGACTGCCCCAGGCACGCGCCACAGGGAGACCATGGTCCCCGTGGGCCCCAGGCTCCATCCACTGGGCCAGGAAGACAGAACCACCTGCCTGAGGATGCCCAGGAGGCCCCCCTCACTGGGACTGGAGAGACCAGTCTGGGCATCTCACCTGGGTGCACGCCGGGGTGGGGCAGGCCTCCTTCTGAAGCTGGGCCCGACCCCTCCCCTGTGTCCTCAGGGCACCGGGGGCCTCCGTGCTGAGGGGTGGGACAGGCACAGGCCCGGGCGAGGGTCCTCGTCTGACCCCTGCAGGTCTGGGAGTACAACGTCCATTCCGACCACGGGCACAGGCCACCAGGCACTTCGGGGGACAATGGTGGGCCCTGGGACACAGCCGTCCCTTCCCCAGTCCCAGCCATCTGTGAGACCCTGGCAGCTTCTCCTCACCCTGTTCCAAGCTGGGCATGTACCTGGCAGGTCCATGCAGTTCAGCCTCCCCTCCAAGCAGGTGCTGTGGGGGGCACGCGGGCACAGGGGGTCAGCGGCAGCTGAGTGCTGCTGTGTCCTTCGCACGCACCCCACCTGCACCACCTTGTCCCCTTCACCCCCATTCCTGCCAAGGTCTCAGGTCCCCTCCCCATCCTCTGGAGACCACGCCCTGCCCCTCTCAGGGCCCTTCTGGAGTATCCCCTGGGCTCCCTGCTGGTCCCCGGCTGGTGTGTCCTATGGGGAATGACCTCAGGCAGTCTGGCCCACTGGGGACAGACAGTGGAAAAAACACCATACCTGTCCTTTCCCACAGCGCACACACACCTGCCTCAGTTTCCCCACCTGTAATCAAGGGGTCGGATGCCCATATCTTCTCGGGGACTGTGGGAGTCCAACGCGGGTCTCTGCTGAGACCTGGGGCTGCTCAGGGGCGCCCCTCCCTCACCCCTGCCCCTGCTTCCCGCCCACACGCCTGCCTCACCAGTAGTTGCAGCCGTCGGGCCAGGCCAGCCGGGTCAGCAGGTCCAGGCAGCCGCAGTGGCCGGGCCACACACGCAGGGCCCCATCTGCACTCAGCACCTGGCCCAGGGGACAGTAGCAGCCGGGCCGGCAGTGCCACACACAGTGCTGGGGAACAACAAGGGGGGCTCTGGTCAGTGGCAATGGGGTGAAGAGGGGTGCCCTGGGGAGGCCTGCAGAGGCACCGGAGAGAGGGGGAAGGGAGGGCAGGCAGGGGAGCGCGGAGGGAAGTGCAACACTCTGGTCCATTTCAGGGTCCTCAGCAGTTTGTGCCTGAGTGTCCTTCGTCACCATCAGAACTTCCAGCAGCTCATCCCCTCCGGGAAGGGGTGGCTCAGTGGGAAACCTGGGCCAACACTTAGGAAGCAAAGCACCTCCCGGGGCACCGGGGAGCGGAGGGGGCAGCCGTTTAGGAAAGAGCTGGGACCCTCTGCCGGAGACAGGAGCCAGGCACACCCCGCCCTCCTCCTCTCCGCCCCCGCCGTGGCCAGGCCCACCAAACAGATTGGGCAGGACAGGCGCCCTGTTTGCACAGCCGCACTGTCCCCTGTCCATGGTCCTGGCCAGGCGCTCACACACGTGCCCAAACGCACACTCAGTGTCGGTGCACCGACATGGTCCTGGGGTTTTGGGGGACAGAATGGGGTGAGTCCCATGTGTTCATGCTGATTTTGGAATGAACATGTGAACTGAGGAACACTGGCTGTAAGGCAGACAAGGGCTGCCAGGGGAGGGCCACTGCCCGAGACTCTCAGGGGACAAGGGGGAGCGGTCTGGTGGGCACTGACCCCGTTCCTGCCGCCACTGCTGGGCTGCCCCACCCTGCCCTCCCTCAGCGTTGCCCTCGGGATCCAGCACAGGTGGGCGTGCCGAGGGGGCCCGGACTCACCACGAGGTCCTAACAGGATCGAGGACAGGGAGGGCCACAGGGGTTAAACTCGGCCCTTCTATGGAGGTGCAGTTGGTCACTGTGGGTGAGGGGACAGGAGGGGCCGAGCGAGAGCTGTGTGGGTCACAGAGCTGGCCCGTTCCCCAAAAAGCCTCCTGGAGCTCCCCTGCCTCTGCCCCCACCCCCGTCTGGCAGGTACCTGGACAGGGCAGGGCCTGGCAGGCCCCCCCCTGGGCCCGAGGCCCCTCGCAGTAATCCCTGGGGTGGGGGCTGGTCACAGGCTCCAGTGCGGCTCCGCAGGCCTCCCCCACAGCTCCGGCGACAGCTGAACCAGGGTCCCCAAGGATCCTCAGCTCCTGGGGGGCAGCAGAGGAAGGAATGTGGGGGTGTGGCTTGGCCAGGGCCGAGGGGCAACTGGTGCACAGTGGTGGGCATCTCCAGGGCTCGTCAGAGCGCAGCACCCCTTCTCAGATCCCCACCCTCAAACATCATCCCCCCTCCTGCCACAAACATCTGTCCTTCTCCCCCTCCTGTCACTGGGGAAAGGCGTGGAGCCCCAGTTTCTGAGACAAAAGACCATCTCCGGTTGGAGGCCGAGAGACCCCGCTATGCAATGCCCGGGAAATTGGCTGACAAAGTACCACATGCAAAAAATCCACACGGAGACCCCCACGCTTTCATCAGGAAAAAAACACAGACAAAACCAAGTGAACAGAGAGTATGGACAGAAGTCACTAGTATCTCAAATCTTTTTTTTTTTTTTTTTTTAAAGCAGGCCCTGGCTGGTGTAGCTCAGTGAATTGAGTGCAGGCCTACGAACCAAAGCATCACCAGTTTGATTCCCAGTCAGGGCACATGCCTGGGTTGCGGGCCATACCCCAGTATGGGGTGTGCTAGAGGCAACCATACACTGATGTTTCACTCCCTCTTTTTCTCCCTCCCTTCCCCATCTCTCTAAAATAAATAAATAAAACCTTTATTTAAAAAAGCAGCAGGGGTACCGGAGTGTGTGGGCCAGGCGCCCTGAGAAAAAATGTCACCATCGTAGGGACTCCAATGATGGAAGGCATTACTACCCCAATTTTATGAAAGAAGAAAGCAAGGCACGAGAATACTCAGGCCGACATCCCAGAGCCGCTGGTGGAAGAGCCTGATTTGAACCCGGGCCCCCATAGTTCCACCACCCTTGCTGCATCTTCCAGCTTCCCAGCCCTGGTTTCCACCACCCTCCAGTCCTGAATGGCGAGTCAGGACCACCTCCTCCAGGAAGCCCACCCAGACTGGCCCCGCCCCTGCCAGTCTGCACCCCTCCTACAGCTTGCAGAGCTCACTATCTGGGTGTGGATGGCTCTGTCTTCGTTCTACGGGCTCTGAGTTTGCTCTCCCCAGACTGGCGGTGCCGTGAGGGTAGCCCCTGCCCTTTCCCCACAACACAGCCCCAACATGAGCACGCAGTAGGTGCTCAGTGAATAACAAACCATGATATAAGAGAACAGAGCGCTTGAGCAGGTGGGAATCTAGATCTACCACCATTTCACAAAAGAAAACACAGAGGCCTGGCAAGACATGAACGAGACTCACCCGAGTCACCTGCTGGTCACTGGCAGAGCTGAGCCACGCCCCTGCCCTGAGTTCAGTGCCTCTCCTCAAAGTCAGGGGTACCAAAGACCCCCTGCAGGGACTCCTGTCTCCAGCCCCACACCCTTGGCTCTTCCCTGCCATCCACGGCCCCAGGCCCCGGGAGGCCAGCAGGGGGAACACTCACAAGCAGGAGGGTCCGGGGGGCAGTAGCAGCCAGGCTGGCAGGTCTGGTTCGTCTCTCCGGGGGCGCTGAGCTCGGCACAGGAGGCAGGACCCTGGGCACAATCCAGCCACTGCTTGTCCCTGGGACACACACCAGGCACTGGCCCTGTGGACACAGAAATTGACAGCCCGACCCCAGCTCAGCTCCAGTACAGCCTCGGGGAAGTCACAGGACTGCACAGGGGCTCAGGGAGAGGGGCCCTGGGGTGACAGGGAGGGGTTGACAGGGCCCTGGGTCACGTGGGGTGAGAACTGAGGACCAGCGGACAGGCAGGTGCCCAGGGCCGCCCTCACCTGCACAGGGCTGTAGACCACAGCTGGAGAAGTCCGTGGGCTGTTCAGGCCACTGCCTTGGGCGTGGTTCTGGAAGCCACTGCCTCAGGGCACGGAGCTCGGAGACCAGGGGCCCCACTCCCTCCCCGGACCTGGAGAGGCCCCCGGTCACAGCAGGCCTTGCCCTCCCACACCCAGCCCACCTCCTCCTCCCCCTTATGCACCCAGGCACTCTCTCCCCTGGATCCCAGACACGCTAGGGCACCCCTCCCTTCCCACATCCCACTCCAGGGGTCCTCCCCTTTCTCCAGAGGCCCTGGGATTCAACCCAAAGCAGGGCTGGCCTCCAGGGAGGTCCCCGCTCAGGGCTCCCTGGGGACCACATTTTTGTGGCATCTCTTAGAAAGGGCCTTTGCACTTCTCTTGGGGTGTCAGGATGGGGGGGTTGACTAGGGGTGTTCTTGGCTCCTCTCTGGAGGCTCCTGGGTCCTGGGTCCTTGGTCCCAGTGCTTACCTTGACATGGCCGCAGGCTGCAGAACTCAGCCTCCATACTGGGGCCCTGGCACATGGCACCCCCAAAGGCAGCCGGGGGTGCAGTGCCCGCCCAGAAACGCCTTTGAATCCTCACGTTGCAGCTGCGGCTGCAGAGACTCCACAAGGTCCAGGGGCTCCAGCCACAGGCCGCTGTGTGGTCGGGGCGGGGAAAGGGCGAAGCGGGTGTAAAAGCAGTGCCTGGACCCCCGCTTCCCGGGGCCACCCCCAAGGAGCCCCAGGGCTGCTCTCTCAGGGGGGCCAGCACCCCCATGGGCCCTGAGGGCCCTGTAGGTACCTGGGCAGCGCTCCGAGGTGCACCCCATCTCGCCAGAGACACAGGTGCTGCGGAGAGAGAGCCCGCTGTGGCCGCGGTCAGCCCCGGCCCCTGGAGCTCTGGGAATCTTCCCGGGGAGGCGACCGGGCCACTACGTCCACTGCACAGAACAGAAACCCAGGTGTGGGCAGTAAAGCAGGTTGGCCCAGGCCCTACAAGGATTTCACTCGTGACCCAGGATTCTCACCAGGAGCAGAATCCCCCCCCCCCCCCGGGAGCTCCCTGACGCCCTGGCATTCGTATTGATTAAACACTGTTCGGACATGACTTTGAACGACTCTCCAGGGCCAGGTGGGAGCTATTTAGAGAGCAGGTCCTGACTTGAGATTCCTGGGGAGGAAAACAGTGTTTTCCTTTCCTTTCCCTTCCTTTCCTTTTTTTTCCAATACGTGTTTTAAAGTCCACTTGACAAAGACAAATAACGTGAGAGAAAAAGCGAAAGACAAAGGGGAAGAGTGGGGGAAGGATGAAGGGGAGAATTGGGGAAGCGGCCAGTGTTCAAATGTAAAAAGGAACATGAAGACAATGAAGACAGTGAAATAAAGGAGGACGAGAAAAAAAGAATGGAGTCAGAGCACCCTCTGCTGGCAGGGCCTGGTGTCGGCTTTGAGTATCGGGCTCTTGGAGGTTTCTGAGCCGGAATCAAGGGGATGCCAGGAAACATTCGTTATATTCAGGAAAGAGAAGTGGAAGTAACCGGAGGAGAAGTGAGAAGCCCCTCCCCAGGCTCTAGTGCCATCACAATCGCTTCACTTATCTTGAGTCTCAGTCTTCCCATAAGTCAAATGGGCACAACAGTCCCTTACAGGCCCGGCAGTATCTCATTCACACTGGCATTCGAAGGGCCTGGGCCTGGCACCATGGGCACATGCTGAACACACCCTCCCACACACACCCGGTGCATCTGAGTCCACGCTGCCCATCTCTGGGGCCACCCCAGCGCCAGGCCCCCCCTTCCCCCTCCCCACTTTGACAGGTGGCCTACCAGTTGTTACAGGAGTCCAGCCGAGCCACTGCTCCCGGCTCATAGAGATGCCCGTGCAGCTGGCAGGGGCACAGAGTGCGGGGCAGGCAGCTGGCATTGTGCAGGAAGAGGCCGGGGGGCAGGCACAGCCGGGGACACAGGAGCCGGAGCATTGTACCCCAGGGCACTGCCCAGGCACAGCCGAGGGCACGGACCCCCTCCTGGTGGCACTGCTTAGGTGAGTGAAATACCATGTCCCCTGGGCACTGGGCCGGATGGGAAGACAGGCCGGTCTCAGCAGGGGTGGAGGGAGGAGCCTGGGGATGGAGGGGAGGAGGGGAACCTGCGTTCAGGTGACTGGTGGCAGCCTGGTGACAACACTGAGAAGCCGGAAGGGGTCCCCTCCCTCGGGTCACAGTGGGGACCTGGTCTCCAGTGGGTAGGAGCTGCAGGAGGCACAGGGAATCCAGCAAAGAGCCTCTCAGCTCAAGGGCTTGCTTGTTCTGGGACCAGAGGTCAGTGATGTTCCAACGCAGGTGCTGGGAGAAGGTCGAAATCCCCAGGGGAGGCGGAGGAGTGGGGAGCGGACTTGGCACCTGTGCAGGGCTGCGTGTTGCGGTCCCTGGTCTGGCTGTGGGGTCCCTGGCACTCGGCGTCCCCAGCAGCCGAGCCAGAGCAGCCGCGCCCAACTGTCTGGATGCCTCCGTCACAGGGGGCTGAGCAGGGGGACCAGGGGGCCCAAAGTCCCCAGGCGCCTGGCACTGTCAGGAAGAGCCAAGATCATTCCATCAAGCCAGGCCCACTGGGCTTTCTGGGTCGGGATGGCTGGGGTGGGGAGGAGCTTTGGGACACTAGCCAGGTGTGTCACCACCCTCCCCAGGTATTTAGACCCTGACCAAGGGGTCATTCTTCTCCTTTGCTCCTCACCGCACCTGGCACCGCAGCAGGAGCGGGTCGCCCCCTGGTGGTAGCAGCCTAAAGCCAGGTTAGGAGGCCAGAGCCTGGGTGGGGGCTGAAGAGAGACCCCTCTCTGCAATGCAGTGGTGGGGTGGGGGACCCACAGAACAGAAGGCCTAGAGGTCACTGCGCCCAGAGCCCAGGACAAGTGGCTCTGCCCGCTACTCTCCCTCGGGGGAGAGTGCCTGTTCCTCTGGCGCCCACAGGCGGGGACATCAAGGGTCACTCGGGCAGCAAGAGGGCAGGGGCGGGGGCAGCATTCCTGACAAGCCCTGTGGAGGTGTGAGGTGGTGACATTAGAGCCGGGCTGCCCTCCTAGAGTCCAGGAGGGAGCGGGGACATTTCCCTGGTGTGGACCTCTGCTGGGAGCCCATCCCAGGTGTCCCACCCGGGGGCCTGCGTGGGCCTAAGGGGTGCAGGTGCTGGTTACCTGGTCAGGCCTGCACAAAGCAGGACTGGCTGTGGCATCAGCCAGGTGGGCAGCAGCCCCTGGGCAGGGGGAAGGAGACACCCAGGTCACAGCTGCGGCTGACCAAAGCCCTGACCTTCCCTCCTCTCGACACCCCCAAGCCCAGTGCAGGCCTCCGGCCACTGCGTGTGGATGAGACCACAGCAGCAGAGGGTGACGGGGAGTCTGCACAGGCCCTCTAGGTCTCTGAGGGTCAAGGGCTCTTGGAGAGTCCCAAGAGGCCAGTATCTAAAAGAGCAGGTCACCGCCTCAGGTGTCCTTTACTGAATGGGTGCTCCCTGCAGGACCCTTGCCTGTGATTGGCTCACACTTGATCTCTCTTCCTATTGGAAAACTAGTTTTTGAGCATAGTGACCTACTTTGGAGGGATGCATAGATGGATGGGTAGGTGGGTGGGTGAGATGGGTAATGAATAGATGAATAATGAATGCATAGATAATGAATGCATTCCCATGTGAACTGAGCTAAAAATGGGGGGGCTGATACTTCCCCAAACCTTAAAGCCCTCTTGCCACCCCCACCCACAGGACACCAGCCCCCGTGGGGAGCCCAGCCGACCCCGTGCTCACTGCAGTGCCTCTCATCAGAGCTGTCCAGGGACCTGCTCCATGTCACACAGCTGCTCCAGCTCCACCCAGCCCAGCTCCTCACAGGGCATCTGGCCTGGGCTGCACTGCATGAGCGGGAAGGGCCCCAGGGTCAGGCTCTGGCCTGCAGGGACCACCACAGCCAGCTGACCAGACACACGGCCCACCCTGTCCTCCAGCCGCCTCCCAGCAGTGCCCAGTCTCTCCCACTTCCCGCCTCTCCCAGGACGGTGGAAAAGTGGTGGACTCCATCCAGAAGCCTGGGTCCCAGTCCTGGTCCTACAAAAACCCTGACCTCCCCTAGAGCTGTGTGACCTTGGCCAAAGCAGCCAAGCCCCCAGGGCCTCTGTCCCCCCACAGGAAGGCTGCCGGGAGGCTTAGGCTTGGTAGGCAAAAGGCTGAGGAATCTTACTGGCGGGGGCCCCTGGGGACAGCACTGTCACCGCTGCCATTTCTGGTTGCAGGGCTATGGCCTCGGGCTGGGAGGTGGGGGTGATGGTCACTGTCTGCATGGACTCCCCAGGACTTGGGTGAGGCACCTCAGAGGCGGGCACTTTCCCTGTGGGTGCAGGACAGAGGGGGTGAAGTCTGCCAGCTCCTCTTCCCGCACCGCCCCTCTGAGAGGGCATCTGGGCTTTGGAGTGGTGCAGGGTGCTGCTGCCCCCAGGTCCCTCTGAGCCCTCACCCCTCTGCTCCTGGGGGCTGCCACCCCCTGGCCCACTCACCAGGCAGGACGCAGTGGCAGCATGACCCTCCCCTGCCCCGGAACACCAGGACCCAGTCCTGTGGGCACCAGAGATGGGTGGACGTGCTGAGCTGACCACCCGCCCAGTGCATCAGCCACTTTCAACCATGGCCTTCACACTCCAAGGCCCCCCATACCCTTCTGCACCATACTGCCCGCCCCAGGCCCCACCCCATACCCTTCACCTGGGGGCAGCTGCCCAGCAGGCAGTAGGGGGAACACAGCGAGGTGCCGTTGTGCAGACACTGGCAGACTGTACAGGGGCCCCCTCGCCAGTGCTCACCCACACGGTGGACCTGGCCGTGCTTCTCACAGCCCCCACGTGGCTTGGCCTGGCACCTGGGAAGGGAGGACCACCCCTCACCTGGTGAATGGGCTCACCTAGGCAGCCAGTCCACCCTGGTTTGCCTGGAGTGAGGAGTTTCCCAGAACAGGGAGGTCCTGGGCCAAGTGGGTGAACCTCACCTCTGCACCCGAGAAACTGCAACTGGCCTGGGGCAGTTACACCCCACCAGCCCCACCCAGGTCCCTCCAGAGGCACAGGACAGAGGCACAGGACGCAAACCAGACGACCCCTGCCCCTCCGGACTCACCCAGCTGCATTTGTGGGCTCCTTGCACCCCCTTTAGGACCCAGAGGGCAGGAAACGGATGCAGGAGGTCAGTGCTCCCCAAAGCGGTGCTGGGCATCCTGGGGTTTAGACTAACGGGGTGCGCCTCCTTTGGGGTCTGGGGTGCACGCAGAAGGACCTCACCTGGGGAAGGCACACAAGCAGCTTCCTTACGGGGCATTGCAGGAGAGGGGTCCAGGTGCCCGCGGGTCACAGGCGGGGGTCCAGTATCTGTCCAGATGCCTCGGCACTGGTGACCTTGGCTGGAGCAGCGGGAGTTGTTGGGACTCGGGAAGGACCACTGAATGCTCTGGCTCCCACAGGGACCCAGGCACTCAGCCCAGGGGGACCAGGGCGACCAGCCACAGTGCACTGAAAAAGACAGCCAAGAGTCAGCGGGTAGAGGAGGGGTGGGTGCCCAGCTGCGGGGAACCCCTTGGGCAAGGCCAAGGGTGAGGCCTCACCGGCACAGTCCAGGTCGGGTCGGCAGCTCTGGGGCCACCCGTCCTGGCAGATGCAGAGCTGGCAGTTGACCTTGATGGGCTCCCCAGGCCAGTAGCAGGGGCACTGCCTGGGCCGCAAACACTGCCCCGCCCAGCCCAGCACCTGCCTTGAGGGGCCCCAGCAGCCTAGGGAAGGCCCAGGATGAGGTGTCCCTGCAGACAGCTTGGCCTCGAAGGCCTGCCCACCACGCCCTGGGCCCAGAGCCCCTCACCTGGGCTGCCATAGGGCTGGTCTGCAGCACACGCAGTCTGACTGGAGAGGTCATCGCAGGTCAGAGGGCAGGGGGCACAGGGCCAGAACACTAGCTCCCCAGAGCAGGTGGCACTGGGGCAGCCATCCTGAGAGCAGGGACCTGAGGAAAACAAGAGGCAGAGCTCTCGGAGGGTCCCCTGCAGCCCCTACACACACACACCCCACCCTGCCCTCCCCCTCCCTTCCACTCATGGGTCTGGTGGGTGCTGTGCGTGCCCCCAGACGGCCCAGCACAGTCCAGGCCCCCATTCTGGGGCTGGCAGCACTGCAGCTGCCGGGTCTCGGTGCCCCCACATGGCTCAGAGCACAGGGACCAGGGCAACCAGGAGGTCCACTCACTGTCCGCTGTGAAGAGGGGCCGGACAGGCAGGGGCATCATGAGGTCTAGGAAGGCGCCGGTGGCCTTCCTCACCCATCTCTCTGTGCACCGCTGTCACCCCCCCCCCCCCGGGGCCCTGACCCCTCACTTGGGCAGGCAGCCGTGAAGCAGGCCTGAGTCTGGTGCCAAAGGCCTGGGCAGAGCTGCAGCACCGGGAGCTCGGGTGGGGAGCCGCGGCTCCGGCCCTGCACCCCGGGCCCACACGTGTGGGGCACGGCCCCCACAGGCTCCAGGGGCCCCAGGCCCTACAACCCTGCCCTTCTGGGGAGACCTTGGCCTCTGACGCCATTTCACAGTCGGGCTTCCCGTTGTACACCTGGGGAGGAAATGGGTCAGCGCCCCTTTTTAGTTGGGTGGCGCCATGGCTCTGCCCCCTGAACTACAACCCCTGACCCTCACCAGCTGGAAACTGATGCAGAGGCCATCCAGGCAGGAGTATTCTACTGGGGGCGCCCCCCGCCCCCCACGGCACCTCTGAGGGGAAGCAGAGAGAAAACAGTCAAGTGGGGGGCGAGGGCCACCGCCTGCCTGGCCCTGCCACCGGCCTTGGGCTCCATCGGGGAAACCAAGTTCCATACCACAGGCCAGCTTGTCCTCGCCCTGGGGACAGTCGGTGACCCCATCACAGAGCCGGTCAAGGTTCAGGCACAGCTGGGAAGCCAAAGGACAGAAGCGGTCCCCACAGGGGCAGCTGGGTGGAGCCTGCGGGCACAGTGAGTGTCCGGTGCTCCTACCCCCTGCCCTTTCCCTGCAGAGGGTCTGGCAGGGGAGCCAGAGGAACTGAGGAGGAAAGGGGCGTGGCCAACCTGGGACCCGAGCCTGGCTCCGAGGTGCTTTGGAGAGGGGTCCAAGAGGGGAAGGGCCTGTGGACAGCCACTGCCCCGCCCCCCAGGGAGGCTGCTGAGTCTGAAGGGCTGACTTGCAAGGGCACAAAGGGAAGCCCCAAGTCCGGTGGGGAGGACTTGGGGGCAGCCCTCCAGACAGGCCCACTTCCCTGGCCCAGAGAGCCACCCCCTCTTATCCTTTCTTGCCCAAATGTAAGCAAAGACAAAAACCTTTTTCTTCCCTCTCCTGGGCCCGGGCGGAAGGGCAAGACTCTTCAAAGGCAGCTTCAGGAAAAAGATCAAAGGAGACTGATGCCCCAGACCTAAGTCACTCTAGCTGGCGCACCACCCCAGCCGGTGGGAGCGCTGGTTCACTGGGGGTGGGGGATGGAGGTGGAAGAGGCAGCGGGGGCGGGGCTGCACAGGCCTGCGGCACACCGCAGGCGTCTGGGCCCTCGTCCGCGGTGCTCTCGCCGCTGCACAGGAATTCCAAGGGGCCTCAGGGCCGCGCTGCAGGGCGGGCACCGCGCTAGACCCCGGGGGGCCAGACCGGCCCTTCCTTCTCCGCCCGCCCCCGCTCAGCTCCAGGCCCGCCTTGTTCCTGACCCGAGCCTGGCCCCTGCCCCACCTTCGACCTCTCCCTAAATCCAGTTGCTCTGCATTTTGCTGCCCTGTTAATTTTCCAAAAGCCGCCCCCTCAACCAGGACTTGCCATTAGCCTCCCTCAGCTCAGAGGGGGCCTTGAACGTCAGGAAGTAAGGTTTGGACTCTCCCAGCCCCCCTCGAACACCTTCATTCCTTTCATTCTGCTGTCTTCAGGAAGCTGGGGTTCATGCCCTGCTCCTCCCTACCCCAGCATCTGCCCCAAATCCTCGGATATGCCCTCCTGCCCCCGCTCCAGGCTGCCTCACCCCAGGTTTCTGACCCCTGTCCCCCCAAGAGCCTCACCAGAGCTGGTGCTGGCGGAGGGGTTGGAGCAGCCACCGGGGAGCCAGCAGAGGGGCTGGGGGAGGTGCCAGCAGGGGGTGTGGGCAGCAAGGGGAGAGGGCAGTGCCCGGGCCCCTCATCTGCTCCATCTGGGCGGTCCCAGATTCCGTCACACAGCTGGATGGCCCCCATGCAGCCGCCATCGGTGCAGGGCACCTCCCCGGGGGTGCAGCTCACATGCCCTGCAGCTGGAGAAAGGGGGGCTGGCCCCAGGGCACTGTGCCGTACCCCGCTGTTTGGGGTGCTCCCACCCACACACCCGTGGGTCCCAACTTCCCGGGGGGGGGCCTGGCTTGGGAAAGGAGGGGAGGCAGGCCATTTGGGGCTCCCAAGATGGGCCTGGTAGGAGGGGGTGCCTGGTGGGTGGGAGGCCGGGCGGGGATCACCCACCCAGACAGGACTCCTCGTCAGCAGCATCTGGACAAGCAGGGCATCCATCACAGAGCAGGGACGGGGGCAGGCAATGCCCATCCACGCAGGCCAGGGAGCTGGGGGGACAGGGACAGCCCTGCTTATCTGTCCTGTCTCCACAGTCATCCTGCCCCTCCCAGAGCAGGGCCAGGGGCAGGCAGCGGCCAGAGCTGCAAGACATCTGCTCCTCCCGGCAGCCCAGAGTAGCACAGCCTGGTGTGCGGGGCAGGTGGGCAGGCTCAGGAGGCCAACAAAAAGCCCCGTAGAAGTCCCTCACCCCAGTAAAGCTCAGAACACCCCTGCCTACGTGACATCGCTGCCGGTGATGGGAGCAGCCGCTTGGACACGGCCCTAGGACGTATGTGAGGACGGACCTGTCCCTCGGCCACTGCCCCTCACAGGCGGAGACACTCACCCTCCTCATCTGAGCCATCACCACAGTCATCCTGGTTGTCACAAAGCCGCTCGTGGGGTACACATGCCTGCTCTCCCAGCACAGGAGCCTCTCCCTCTGCACAGCCAGGCCCTGGCCCCTCACAGCAGGCACTGTCACCCCCACAAAACCACTGGCTGTCCAGGCACGTGCTGAGCACATGGTGTCCTGGGATCAGCCACAGCTCTGGGCCAGCCCCCCCGGGGGGCCTGGGGCTCCCCCAAAGCCCTCCACTCACTAGTTCCCGCAGTTCTCCCGTAGCACCGTGCCTGGTGGGAAGAAGCTGCCCCCCCATTCACAGGGGCAGGACGCTGGCTCCAAGCAGACTCCTCCTGAAATCACAGAGGGCAAGGCTTGACCCAAAGGACAGAGTGGCCCCCACTCCAGCCTGTCACTGCAGTGGCGAGTGGTGCAGTTCCAGAGGCCCCTCTCCCCGCAGACACTGCCAACATGGGAGGGAGGTGAGGGGCCGGGCCACAGCCAGGCTCACCTCCAGGCGCCTGGTCTGACCTGGGAGACACTTAGGAACCCTGATGTCCACTCCAGACCTGAGTGTCCTGCCCCCAGACCCCAGTTGTGACAAGCACAGGGACTGGAGCTGTTCCCAGCATCCCAGCATGTCTGGGATAGACAATGTCACCCCTTCCTGCCCCAGCCCCAGTGGGGCCATTCTCTGGGCTCTGAGGAACGGGAGAGACAGTGAACCACCCCACTCCCATCCCAGGTAGGAGGGGGATTTCGCTGAAGTCTCACCCTCGCCCACCCAGCCCTGGCCCCTGGCCCCACCTCCATAGTTCTGCAACTTGCCTTTACTTTTCACTAACCCTCTGGACCATGCTCAGCTGGAATTCAGAGGTCTGGGCTCTAGACCTTAATCATTAGCAAGCTGTGTGACTACAAGCTATTTAGCCTATCTGAGCCTCAGTTTCCTCATCTGCAGAATGGGAACAATTCTTCCACTTCCTGCTTTATGAGTTATTGTTAAGAATTCAGTAAAATTAAATAAGATAAAGTAGATGAAAGTGCTCCACAGCGGCGGCGGAGTCACCAGTGCTGTCATCTGCAATGTGCATGCCGTGCTGACACCCCTGTCCCACTCCTCCTCCTCCCCAGGCTCTTTGTCCCCGCCAAAAGGTGGCCGCCCTCACTAAGGGTTGCAGTCCTTCATGGTGGCACTGCCGGGGACATAACGATGGGCTCACAAGCTGGGGGGCACACACTGGCTCTCGGGGTCCCACAGCAGCCCCTCGGGGGCAGTTAGAACCCGCCACACAGCTGCCTGGCTCCCTGCAGTCTTCTGGCTCCCCACAGTTTTGACCACACACTGGGGCACACTCCTGGCACTCCTGGCCCCGGGGACACAGGACAGCTAGGCACAGAGACACAAGCAGGTCACGGTATAGCCACTGCTGCTCAGCCCAACTCTGGAACCCCATCCCCTACAAACGCAATCTACCAAGGTCAGAGGTCCTCCTAGGGTCCCATCCCCCTTCCCACTCCCCTGCAAAGTTCTTGCATCCCTCCTAGCTGGGAGGAGGAGACTAGGGGCTGGTAAGCTGGCTGAGCTGACTCACGGCAGAGTCTGGTTCCTCCAGGGAGATGGGGCACCCTCCTGGGCACAGCGGCAAACATAGGCGGCGAGCACCGGGCACAGGCAGTCCCTGCCGGGGGCACAGCCACACACGGCTGCCAAGCAGCGACGGTGGAACAGCTCCTGTCCACCACCCAGTGGCACTCCTAGGGGAAAGATGAGGAAACGAACCAGCTCTTCCCCAACAGGGTCCCCATCTCTTCTTGTCCCCACTGCCACAGCAGAGAGCAAGGCCTTCCCAATAGCCCAGGCGAAGGGCAGAAAAGGTACTGACCGCATCTTACAGGTGTGAACAGGAGGCGTGGCCCCAACAAGCTACCTGGAAGGCCGGGCCATTCAGAATGGCACAGACTGTCTCCGAGAGATCGTGGTGCTGTGTGTGGGTGCTGCAGGGGGACAGTGGGGTGCTGTCCTCCGAGGGGCACCTTCCCTGGCCTGCTAGCTGGAACTTGCTAGTAAAGGCAGCAATGCTGGTCTTCACATTGCCAGCAGGCGTTGGGAAGTCGTCCTGCTGGCTCCAGGTGAAGGTGCCACACAGCCCCTGCACCTGGGCCACCCAAGTGGGTGTGAAATTGTCAAATCTGGGCCCACGGTGGCCTCGCCCAGCAACTCACCTGCTGCCTGGCACACCTGGTGGGCATGGTGAGGGTCCTGGATGATGTAGGCTGCAGGGTCAGACACCTCCCCCCAGAGGACCTGGGCTCCAGACCAGCGCTGCAGCAGGAAGGTGGGAGAGGCTCAGGAGACGCTGAGGCCCACGGGGCTGCTCCAGGGCAGGCCCGCATCCTGCCCATTGGCCAGGACAGCTCCTGGAAGAGGGGGCCTGTGAGGGGCTGCCCTGCAGGGCTGGGCTGGGCTGAGGAGGGTAGGGGGACAAGCCCTTGGCAGGATGGGGCTGCAAGAAGGGAAAGGACTGAGCAGGAGGCGGAAGGGCTGGTGTCACAGTGGACTGCCCACACTGAGTAAGGGGAGCTGGTGTGAGCCCTGGGAAGTCACCCATTCCCCCTGAGCACTCCCCTCATGGACTAAGGATCACCTTTACACCTAATTTGTCTTTGGTGTCAGTGCACAGGAGCAGGTGCAGGGGAGAGAGGGGGAGGGACTGGGCTCAGCATCCAGAATGGGGAGGGGTCTGTCTGGCCCGTTATTGGAATGCCATCCCCAAAGATGGGGCAGAGGATGCCTTGGAAGTTTTCCAAAGGCCTGTGTGTCTGCTTCAGAGGTGGGGAGGTTAGGGGAAATAGAGGCAGCGAGTTTGGGAGTCTGAGGGGAGGATTGGGGCTCAGAAACCACAGGGCCATGTGGACAGAAGGTGCTGGAACAAGCCAGAGTCTGCAGGGAGAGGAGCCATAACAGGAGGCTGCTAGGGCCTGAGCCAAGCTGCAAGGGCTGCTGGGAGCAAAGGCCTAGTAGGCAGGTACCCCAAGAGCCAAGGCTGCCTGAGTCCCTGAGCTGCACGTGGGTGTCCCCCAGGGAGACCGAGACGGCGCGGTGGCAGCTCCCAGAGTCGTAGGCACCCTGCTCCAGCACGGTCAACAGCTGCCCCTTGGCCAAGTCCTGGGGCAGGCGGGGAGTGGGGCAGACCTGAGAACGGGTGTTCTACGGGACACCCGCAGCACACACCTGGAGGCAGCTCCCACCCAGTGGGTGCTACCTGCCAGACTCACATGTGTGTGCAAATGTGCATGCGTGTATATTACGTGTCTACGTGTCAGGGTGAGATGGCTCCCCTCTCTCCTCCCCCTGGGTGTGTATGCTCATGTTTCTGTGTGCATACCTGTGTGCTAAATCTACACACCCATGCATGGGCATATGTCACATGTGCACGCCTGTTTGAGTCTGTGTAAGAACCTGGGTAGGCCAGAACTTGGGATGTCACCTGACTTTACTAGGGAACCGAGAAGATCTTTATTGGCCGTGGGATTATTTTACACTAAGTCGCCTGGGCCAGACCCAACTGATCCCTTCTGTGGGAAAGGACTGTGAGGCTGGGCTTTATTTTGTGCCCCTGGGCGGGGGTGGCAATGACATCACGGGAACCTGAGGAGGTGAGAACCCAGCCATCCTCCCTGCAGATCCCCTTCTCCCTCGGCTTTTTCCCGGCACGACTGGGTGTGTTTTCTTCATTGATTTAGTGGTTTCTTCACGGTCATGTCTCCCCCGCTAGCAAGAGCGCCCCCCTCCCGCCCCCAGTTAGTCCCGTGCCCACCTGCACCAGGACCGAGCGGCAACCTGAACTGCCGCGGAAGAAGCTCCGCCCATCAAAGGTGAGGTAGTGCCCATCGCCGCCCACCGCGCACTCGGACCGGCACGGCGCCTGCGCGCAGAGCCAGCGGCAGTCCTGGCACACGCTGTGGACACATGAGGTGGGAGAGCGCCCTCTGGATCAGCCCCCCGGTGGAGGGGGCTACTAAGCTGGAGACCGTCTTCTGCTCCCCAACACGCCCTAGTGCCTCCCCCCGGCACCTCTTCCTCCAGTTAAAGTTAGAGACCAGCGGGTGTAGGTCACCTGCTAGGTGTTCAAGCAGGGCCGCCAGTTAAGCCATGAGAGGTCACGGATCACTCGCGAGGGGTCCCCAAAAGGAAAGACAGGTTGAGCAGATAACATAAGGGAGGGATCAGAGGGGACCTGACGGTCTCTAACCCCAGCGAGAGGATCGGCAGTGCCCTCGGACCCATCACGGGTTGCACCGCTGGCGCACAGGGTCCCCGGGGCATAGCGCTGGCGTCGGTGGAAGCAGGGGCAGCAAGCGGCCGGCACAGAGAGGGCGCGGCCCGGAAGAGGCCGGGCGGGCACTCGCAGCGGCTCACGCATTCTTCGCCGCAGGACCCCTCCGCTCCTTCGTCCCCCACCCAGCCCCTGGGCGGGCAGGCAGGGGCGCAGTCCGAGTACAACTGGTCTCCCGGGCACCGGCGCTCTGCGGGCGCAGGAGCCGGCTGTAAGTCGAGGGCGCCCCGGTCCCCCACGCCGGAACTCGCTGCCCCGGAGGAGCTCGGAGGCCACGCTGGGAGCTTAGAGCACTCGGAAGTAGGGGTCACACGAGGGCCCTCCCCCAAGCCCCAACTCTGCAGGATGGGGAGGCCTCACAGAAGCCTGGCTTCCTCCAGAGCACGTGGATGCCCCGCTTGGCACAGTCCTGGGCATAGTTGGCCAAGGTGGCACACACAGCCTGCCTACGTACAGCCCTCCCTGCCAGTGCCCGCTGGGTCCGCGGCACAGTAGGGAAAGAAGCAGGCCTCCTGGTAGCCGGCAGAGGGGACCTTCGGGGAAAGGACAGCCCCTCAGCCAGCCAGCCCCCTCCTCCACCACCAGCACCCCACCCCCCTACTCTTGCTTCCTGTCGTCCTGCTTTATGCTCAGATGAGGGCTGGAAAAGACCTCAGATCATCCACACCAGCCATCTCATCTTCCAGAGATAAAACCCAGAACAGTGGACTGAGTGCGGGCCTGCAAGCCAAAGGGTTGCTGGTTCCATTCCCAGTCAGGACACAGGCCTGGGTGTCTGGCCAGGTCCCCCTGGGGGGGAGGGGCGTGCTAGAGGCAGCCACACATTGATGTTTTTCTCCCTCTCTTTCTCCCTACCCCCAGCAAAAACAAACAAACAAACCTCAGCACAGAGAGAAGGATGGTTTGACTGATGGCCCAAAGCAATCTAGTGGCAAGATCAGATTCCCTGATTGGCACCTCCCCAGCACCCCCTTGTTTGGGCCGCTCCAGTGCCAGGACACCAGCTGCACCCCCACCCATACCTGGGCATGGCATTCTCTGAATGGGCCGTCCAGCAGCTGGTGGCACACATCCTGGGCTTCAGCCCGCAGCTGGCCAGCCTCCACACCCGCTTCTGTGCCCCTCAGAGGGGGCTCCTCGCAGCCCTGGGCTGCCTCCATTGCATCCAGACACCCAGGCTGTGGACATCTGGAGTCAGGCCAAGGGGCAAGGATGGGGCACATGAACGAGGACACCAGAAGAATAGCCTCAGCTCTCATAGCTGCTTGTAAGCTCAGACATCATCCTGGGGCTTTGGGGAATTGGGTAGGGGACTTAGAGGTCACTGTCAGCCTGGAGGCAGGAGATTTGATAACTAGTTAACCAAAGCTGGTTGGCAACCAAGTCAGTGCATGTGTCCCGAGGGGTCATTTCACACAGGCAGCGAGGTTGTGTGAGCCCCTGTGGCTCCCTGCGCTTGCCTTTCCTCCTCTGAGGATCTGGGAGAGGGACAGGACCTGTCACCTGCAGGAGGCAGAACAGAGGCTTAAAGGTGTCGGCTTTGAAGCTGGGTGTTCGCTGTGTAGGCGGTGAGCAAGGCGGCCCAGGCTCTGGGGGCTGCGTCTCACCTCTGAGTCAGGGAGCCTCCAGGAATTCCCAAACGTGGCCGCCAACGCAGCCAGGCCGCCTCCTGGCTCCAAGAAGTCATCTGTGGCGGGGGGGGGGGGGGGGGGGGGAGGTGCTGTGTCTGAGGTCTCAAGTCTCCCCTTCCCCCCATACCACCACCACCACCGCACCCCACTTACCTTCACGCCGACCACTGTAGACCCCACAGAGGCCTCACGTCTGTCCCTGGAGCTCATGGTCCACAGAAATGGAGACTGAACTGGGCCCATCCAGCCGCACCATGACCCCCACCCCCCCCCACAGCACCAACCAGTCCCCTTGCCACTGCAAGCTCAGGCCTGAGCAGGGGAAGTGGGGTCACACTCTCCACCCCTCCCAGCAGCACATTGGGGCTCAGACTGCCCAGGGAAGGGAGGAGAAGGGATGGACACTCTGCACTTTACACCCTTTACAGCGGCCCCCACTGGGTCCCCATCGCAGCCCTCCCTGAGAAGCCCGTGACCTCTCTGGACATCCTCCTGAGTGAGGGGCATTCACGCAGAACCCCTCCCACCTCACTCCGTGGAGCCCAACCAGGATATCGGGGTGCCCCCACCTACTGGCACCAAACCCTTCCCCACAGCACTGTGGGAGGCAGGTGGGGACACTGAGGCTCTGAGAGGTCAAGTGGTTAAGGAGAGGGGCTCACTCAAGGACCCCTTGGGAGGGGGCTATTGGGACCACTGGCTTCCTCATTTCCAAATGCCTCCCAGCAGCACTGGGGGCCGAGGAGGGAGCAGCAAGCTCAGTCCCCCGCTGCCCTGCTGGGCCCGGCCCTGAGGTGGGCACACTGTCCCTTACCGGGGAGCAGCTGCGACTCCCCATCAGGTACCAGCTGCTCATTCACAGAGACGTTTCTGCCCCGAATCAGCACTTCCTCTGGTCCCATCAGCACCCAGGCCTGGGGGGAGATGGCAGTGGGCGAGGTGGTCAGCGTCCTCCTCCCACAACCAGCTTCCTCCCTGTCTCCATCCTCTTCTGCCTCTCACACCGGCTGACAGTGCCCAGGCTGCAGACAAGGGCCCCCGGGGCTCAGGTGGACGGTCCAGGTGGAGTCAGCAGCACCTGCCAACGGGTAAGTGCAGTGGCCCAGGAAGTGGTAGTGGCGGCCTTCAAAGGTGCGGTAGTGGAAGCCAGACCAGGTGGCACCGGTGGCCGAGGGTCGCTGGCGCTGGCTCCAGAGTTGGGCCACGGCCCCTGCCAGGGGCTGCAGACGGGCTGGAGAGGGGGTGCTCCCTATAGAAAACACACCATCGTGAGCCTCTGAATGTGGGGGAGGAGGGTGGAGGAAGCAGGTGGACAGTCACGGTCCCTCTGCTGGGCAGAGGATGGGAGGTGACTCCTAGGGAGTGGGCGTGGGGAAAGGCCCAGGGCTCTAGAACTCCAAGTGGGAGTGCCGATGGGGGCAGCAGGTGATAGCTGGGGTCGTGCCTGTTGGCAGGCTGGGGACCCACCTGGGAGCTGCTGTCTGGGGCAGCTGAGGCAGGCCTGGGAACGGCCATCCCGCCAGCTGTGTCCCCGGGGCCGGGCACAGCACTCCTCCAGGCTTCCTGCAGAACCGTTAGCCGAGCCTGCCTGAGGCTGGCATTGCCACATGGCAGAGCAGTGGCCCTTGGGGCTGGCGTCTGCCAGGGCTGTGGTGGGTACAGGGGGAGAGTGGGGTGGACCCAGTCAGGCTGCCTGCTACCTCCATGAACCCACAGGTCTGAGCTAATCTCGGGCACTTACCCAGGCTGCAGTTGGGGTCCCCCAAGCCTGGGCAGCAGGCCCTCACTGTCTGGGTCAACACAATAGGCTGCGTCCACCGAGCAGGCAGAGGGGAGAAGACATTAGTGTTCAGCTCAGCCCCATCCCTGGGAATGGCCTGGGACGGTCACTCAATCGGTCACCTACTCTCTGAGTGAATCGCTCATGTAATTCCTCTTCTCGGTCTTCATTTCCCCACGAGATGAGCTTGGGGAGGTGACAGTAGGGTAGGCACAGGCAGGAGGCATCGGGACCTCCACTCTGCCCTTTGAGAGCCCACCCAGACCTGCCTCCTAGATGCCTACTGTCCCCATCACTGCCGGGCCACCATCCCCCCACAAGGATGTGGCCCCTGTGCTCAGGAGCCCAGACTCTGACCCTCGCTCACTTGTAGATGGGACACAGCCCTGCAGGGCCACCGAGGACAGGTCCACTCACCTGGCTCAGGTCATGGTAGAGGCTGGTGCAGGGCACCAGGTCCTCCTGACGGGGGGGTCACTTCCTCCTCCACCAGGAGGGTCGCCGTCTGCTCACACCACCGCCTGCCCGTGGGTGGGAATGAGAGCTGCTGCCTCTGTCGTCCCCCACCCCCGCACCCGCCAATCCATCACCCAGAAGCCTGTCCTGTGAACCTGCTCTTCAAAGAGCCTTCTCTCAAGAAAGTGCGTGAGTTAATTGAAGAGACTGAGGTTGGGAGGGGAGTCAGCTGTTCCGGAGGCTTCCAGCTGTGGGGGAAGAGGAAAAGGAGAAGAGGGTCCCAGTCATAGGGTGGGCTGCTTACCCGTTGGTTAGTGCCGTGCCATCCCAAAGAGGAGAGTAGGGAGCAGCATGGTGCCCCCACAGCTCCCCCAACAGGGGACTTTGGGGCTAAGCTTGCGGGAGGCAATTGCAGCAGGTGAGCACAGAGGCCAGCACCGGCCTGTCCACACCACACTGCACTCGACTGCAGCTCAGCCTCTAAGTCGGTCTGCACAGGCGGCCTCAGAGCTGGGGCTGGGAGGCTTTATCTCAGCCCCATGCCCCGGGCACCAGCCGCCCCGAACTGGATTGGACCTGCCTGCCCCCCCCACCCTGCCTCAGAGGCCACTCTCCCTGGAAACAGTCCCCTTCCTGCGGGGGCTACTGTGTGTGGGTGGGTGTAATAGGGAGGGTGCGTGTGTCCCAGGCCACAGCCAGACAGTGAGCCTCGGGTATTTCTACACTCTCAGACCCCACCACAAATGACCGTGACCTCCAGGCAAGCCCCCTCCTCTCTGGGCTTTGATTTCCTCACCAGTAAAAACTCCAGGGGCCTCCCAGGGACGCACAGGTAGGACTCAAGCCCCACAGATTGTATGAGACTGTGTGTGGTCGTTTTTCTGGGGACAGTTCCGTAACCTTTATTAGGTTGCCAGGAAGCGAGGCCCCTCAAAATGTTCAGGAGTCCCGGGACCAAAGGACGGTTCTGGCCTTCCAGCCCTGCAATCCTGACTTCGTGATTCTCCCCACTGCCCCTCCGTTGCCCGTTGCCACCTGGCCCGCTCTGCCACCAGGCACCCTGCAGGTGAGGGCCGGGGTGCAGGTGGTGCCCTTTCCAGGCAGGTCGGACTATGTAGATGCAGAGGAATGACCTGCGCCCTTTCCTCTGTGGCCCCACTTCTAACCTGGGTCCACCTTGATCTCCTTTGAAGTCTCCTAGGGTCCCTGGGTCCAGAACCAGGAAGACCTGGCCAGGGAATGAGAGCAAGCCTCAGGGAGGAGTGTGCAGGGTGGGAAGTGGGGGGGTGGGGGTGGCAGGAGACCGAGGGCCCTGGGGACCAGGCAGCCGGATGGGATAATCCCCAGCATCCAAGTTTGGCTGGGAGGGGCAGCAGCAGGTGGCCCAGGGGGATCCTGGTTATGTCCTGGTTACCAGCTCCCCGGACAGCCAGGCTGGAATGTGGCCTGGGTCTCCTATCCCATAACCCCTGAACCTGATGTCCCTCTGAGCATCGCACATAGTCGCCCCGCCTGGGGCGAAGAGGCTGTGGGGAACCAGTCTCATTAGGCATTTCTTCAGGGCCCACCGCGGGTCCTGGGACCAAGAGAGGGTGCTGTGCGTTACTCGGGGACAGTGTCCAGGTCCCAGTCTTGAATGCACACCCGTGCTCTCCCTCCCTCACCCGCTCCATCCACTCCCACTGCAGGTCTCACAGGGAGAGACCCAGGAGCGAGCACCCCACCCCAGCACAGCAACACACTGCTCCCAGCTCCAGGAGGAGGCTGGGCACTGACTCCCTGAAACAGCCCATCCAGGAGGTAAAAAAAGCCTTTCACAGCTGATTCCTAGGGACACTGTGCCCCCTCTCCCAGATGCCACCTGCTCCAGAGCCCCCCTTCCTACCCTAAACATTAACCAATACTGAGGTTGCCCCCGCTGTGCGCCATGCTTCTCTGTCCCCTGGTATCCCCTCTGTGATGCAGCAGGGCAGCTTCAGGTCCTGTGTGCTCCAGGGCCATCCACCTGGCCCCCCAGCTCTGGGTCCCAACCACTGCTGATAGGGCAGCACTTGGACTGGGAGAAACTGGAGTCCCGAGCGCCCTTTCCCCTAAAGGGGGTGGGAGGGAGGAAGCTGGAACCCAGGGGAGATTGGAGGAAGAGATTAGGGAGGGCAGGGGCCTGGAATAACCAGCCCCCCTTTCAGCTCTGAAAGGCAGGGTGTGGGGAGCTCTCAGAACGAGTTTAGGTGCCCAGGAGGTAAGGCGGAAGAGAAACGTCATAACCCCGGACGGGGACAAGGAGAAGTCGGACCTGAGGGCTGAGGACGCCCCTCCACACCTGACAGGAAGAGTTTCCCAGCGCCTTAGGAAGCGAACCTGTCCCCCACCGAGCCCAGGGAACTCCTCCTGCCCGCAGCCCCCTTGCCTGGACCCCGCCCTCAGAGTCTCCGCCCAGCTGGACTCTTACCTCGCCCCCTGGGGCCTCCTCTCCAGCCTTGCCTTCTCTCTGGTCACCCAGCCCAAAGCCTCCACCCTACCCCCAACTTCTACTTCGGAGGGTCCACTCATGGCCAGCACAGGGGCCCAGCCCTGACTCCCTCGGCCTCACCCTAGGGCACCAAGGGACCCGGCTCCCGAGGCAGGTCTCAGATCGCTGACTCAGGGCCGAAGGATGTGAGTCTGGTGGATCTCGGCGGGATCAGGGTGGAGAGCGGGGCGGGGTCGGAGTTCCCCAGACCTAACCCCCAAAACCGATAGTGGAGACAATCTCACCGCGGGAGCGCGGCGCGAACACTCCCACGGGTATTCGCGATTCAAAGACAGCAGCGCAGATCCTGGCTCCCCTCGCCGAACACGCCCCCTCCTCGTCCCCCCCAAGTCCTCACCCCCCACCGCGCCCCGCGCTCCACCTTTCTCCTGGCTCCTCCCCCGACGCCCGCGAGCACCCCCAGCAGCCCGAGCGCTCGGCCTCCCAGCCTACTCTCCCTCCTCCACCTCCCCGCACAGTCTTCCCTTCCCTGCCCCCTCGCCCTTTCCCCCGATCCTTAGTTCCCCCTTCCCATCACCTACCCCGGCCGTCTTCCCTCCCGACCGTCACCTGCCCGCCGGTACCCGCTGTGAGCCCGCCGGCGAGCCCTCTCCCGGACGCCCCTGCCCCGGTCGCCCCCCACCGGCGCTCCGCGGTGCCCCTCCCGCTTCCTCGCTCCCCTCCCCCAGCCGGGCGCCCTTCCCCTCTCCTGCTCCCCCGGCGGCTTTTCCTCTCCCCTCCCCGCGAAGTTTCGGGGCTGTCAGTCAGTCAGTCTTTCGGGCCGTCCGCAGCCGAGCTGCGGGCTGCGGGCGCCATTGCGAGCAGAGCCGTCCAGGACCGGAGGCCGGGACGCCGGGGTCCCGTCAGCAGTGGGGAGACCCGACCGGTCGCCCGCCAGGTAAGCGCCCGGGAGGCGCCCAGGGGCCGGCAGCTCCGCCTGCTCCCCCCGGCACTTAGTCAAGGCCCGCCCCGCACAGGTGACAACCCCGGGGTGGAGGCGCACGGAAGGGGGTGGGGAGAGGTGGAGGGGAAAGAAAGCGCCGAGGAGGGGCGCGGGCTGGAGGGAGGAGGGGATGGGACTGGAGGGGGAGGACGTGGGGGGGGTGGCAGGGTTGTCACGAGAAGTGACGGACGGGGAGCTAGAGGAAAGGGCAGGCGCTGGGGACAGGGGCGGGGAGGGGTTACTCGGGTGGGAAAGGGGTGAGAAGCTCGGAGGGGAGAGTGAAAAAGATCCAGAGAGGGGAGAGGGAGTGTGGGAGGAAGCGGGCAAAGGACAACGCGGCTCGGGGACCGGCCCGTGTTGGTCGGTGGGGAGGGGGCAGAGGGTGTTGACAGGTGAGCCCGGGAGCCGGGGAAGGGCCGGGGTGTGCGGTGCGCTCCAGGCGCAGGGACTCCGGACTCGCGAGGCTGGGAGGTGGGCCGGGAAGGATCGGTCCCGCCGGCAAACTTGGGAGGGGGGTGGAGGAACCAGTGGGGGGCAGAAATGGGGAAGGGAGCCACGGAGGGGAGGGGAGGAGAAGGGTGGCAAGAGGTGAGTTGGAGGCCGGGGTGGGCAGGGCCGAGGAGAGAGTCCAGAGCTAGCGGCTAGCGGGGCCCGGGTCTCGGGGGAGCTCCGGAGCGGACTGGGAGGGGGAGGGGCAGAGCGGTTCTGGGGACCGGGGACCCGGAGGGAGGGGAAGCGAGAGCCTGCTGGGGAGGCGGAGGGGGAAGGGAGCCGGGGGCCTCGGAGGGGAAGGAGAGCCGCAGGAGGGAGGGGGCGGGGTGGTGTGGGGAGACGCGAGGAGGGAGGGGACTGAGGTGCAGAGAGGGAGGAGAAGGAAGGGAAAGGGAGTGGGGGAGGAGAGGGCGGGGGGAGGAGATCGGAGTGGGGGAGAACAGCGGGAGGGGGCCGGCGTGGGGAGGAAGGAAAGGAGGAGGGGAAAGGAAGGGAGAGGGTGCGCACCGGGGAGGGGACGGAGCGAGGAGAACGGGGGGGGGAGGGAGGGGAGGGAAAGGCGTGGGGAGCTTTGGGAGGGGGAGGGGAGGGCTGCGGCGGAGGCAGGCCCGGAGCGGGGGTCGGGGGGCAGGGGGCGGGGCGGGGAGCGCCAGCCGGCTGCGGGCAGGGGCGGAGCTGGAGGGGCGAGGCCGAGGCGGAGCTGGGGAGCCAGCCAGATCCAGCGGGGAGAGAGGGCGGAAGGCAGAGGGAGCGGGAGAAGGGAGGGCAAAGGGAAGGCTGCCAAAGAGGTTTGGGGGGGAGGGGAGTCCGCTGGGAGAGGGGCGGGGCAGGACGCTGGAAGAGGAAAGAGGTGGGGGGGGCGGGCATTGGGAGGGATGGCCCTGCGCGGGGGGTTGTGTGGGCGGGTGGGTACCTCGCAAGGGAAGCGAGATGGTTTCGAGGTAGGGTTTTGGGGAGAGGAAGCAAGAGCCATTTCCTGCCTGCGGCGAGGACCCTCCTGTGAGAGCCTCCCCCACCAGTTGCCCAATGGTGACACTCACCTCCGCCCCTCCACTGGCTCCTGTTTCACCAGCTCCTGCAGTGACAGCTGGAGGGCCTAGACCACGCTCTTGCTCCCCACCCTGCTCTCCCACCCTCCACCCTCTGCCCAGAGAATTGATTCATCCCTGACCCGCGCGGGGCAGGATCCCTGATGGGCTGGGGCTGGCTCCGGGAGACCTGCCAGGTGAGGGGAGCTGCTGACTTCTGCAGCTGGCCAGAGCTTGCAGAAATGGCTTCAGGGTCTTCTCTTTGGGCCACCTGCAAAGATCTCTTCACTGTCTGAAATCCCGCTACCCTCATGTCCCTCATCTGTACCTGGGGGCATCACCTGCAGAGCGCCTGGGGAGAGTGGATGGGGAGAAGTCGCAAGGGCCCAGGGGAAACTGCCAGGAGAAGCATATTTGAGCAAGGATGTGTTCTCTCCTTAGGGTGTGTGGCCTGCTGGTCACCAGGAGGAGCGACCTGAGGTTGCCATGAGAGAGACCTTGGAGGCCCTCAGCTCCCTGGGTGAGCCAGCAGAAATGAAGGAACCTGGGGTGGGGGGTGGGGCCCCGGGGGGCCTGCTGGGCTTATTGCTTCTCTGCAATAAATGGGACAGAGCCCTCCTCAGAGACTGCAATGTCAAGACTCCCGAGACCCCTGGAACCCATCAGGCAGCATCCTTTGGGTCTCATCCCTGTGTTTGTGAATGCCTGGCCCACGCCGGAGGTTGTGCTAGACTGTGCGTGCACACGTGCACTCTAACAGGGCACCAGGGTGTGTCATTCACTCTGTCCTTCACCTGTCCCTGACTCAGTACAGAGGGGCTGAGGTTGACACCTGGCCAGCCTGCTGGGGAGCCTGGCTGTCCCTTGCTGACCAGAGACCCTTCCTTCCTGAGCAGGTTGGGAAAAGCGCCTTGGGGGGGCTGGGAAGGGGAAGAGCCCCTGCCTTCGGTCATCCCTTCTGTCCCAGGTGCTTTACCTGGACCCATGCTTCTCCCTGTGACAGGCTTCTCTGTGGCACAGCGGGAGTTGCCCCCCCAAAGTGAGCCTGGGGATGGGAACCATAATGCCCAGGAGCAGATGTGCCCTTCCAGGCAAGAGAGAGCGCCGGGCTCCTGTTCTGGTAAGTGAGCAGGACTCTGCACGTGGTGGCTCAGGGCAGAGTCTTCCTTTCTTCCTCCGATGTTTATTGAGCACCTGCTAAGTGCCATTCCAGATATTTGGGATACCTCAGTAACCAAACAGACGAAGGCCCCTACCTTCCACAAGCATAATCCTAGCGAGGGCAGGGGGTCAACAAACAACCAACAAACAAGCACACTTACAAACCTGTTAGAAGAGGATGCGGCTGGGGCGGGGGAGGCGGTCTGAGACTATTGCAGGTGAGGATGGAGCAGAATACGCCTACACAGGGCGGTGAGAGCAGCCTCGCTGGGAAGGTAAGATCTGAGCCAGATTTGAAACAGCGAGGTGGCTAAACAGATACCAGGAGAAGACATCTAAGAGAGCAGTGTACTAGGCTTTCCGACACTCCGACCTTTTCCAGGGATTTGTCGTGGAACTGCGATCCATCTGGTGGCTTAGGTGGTCCCCAGCTCTCCTCCAAGGAGCCCCATGTAAGCCCAGGGGCAGGGCCTGTCCTTGCTTACGCACACAGATTCCAGAAACTCCTCACAGTTGTGGCTTCATCAGCCTTGCAGGGCCTAAGCAGGAGCCCTACTTGAAGGAGCCTGAGGGCCTGGGAACCCCACCCCTCGGCTGTGCCGTGAGCTGGGTGCTGTCGTTGCCCGTGGGATTGGGAGTGGGGTTTTAAGCTCCCCTGCTTCCTAGCACCAGTCCATCTGTGACATCTGCGATAGCCTGAGGTGGCTTGTTCTCTGCCAGGGCACGAGGCTCCCAGACCCGAGGAAGGCACCCACACGGAGCAGGCCGAGGCCCCTTGCAGAGGAAGCCAGGACGGCCCACCGGGGAAGGCTGAGCCTGTGGGCTCCTGCCCAGGTGAGTCTTTTTGCAGCTCCATCCCAGCAGGGGACCAGGCTGGAGGGACAGGGGCCCTGCACGCTCCAGAGCTGCTCTCTGACGTGGCAGCCACTCCAGGCCCTTCCACCATAAGGTGAATCAGGCCCTGGCACCTTTCTGCTCGTAGAGTTTCAGCACCCGGAGGGAGTCCTGCACCCATAGGCAATGGAGATCAGAGAGGCTGGTCACCCAGAGAAACACTCCAGCAGCCAAAGTCCTACCTTTGCCCTCCACGCCTGCGGTCTTAAGTACAGCCTTGTCCATGGCTTGAATTACATGGTGTTGGATCAACCTTCTCATTGGCCCTCCCCAGCCATGCCCCTCCCCACATTTCCTCTGACCCGAGTGGTACCCAGATGTTCCCAGTCTGTTGCCTGACTCCTCCGTGGTCCGGCCCCTCCCCAGGGATTCCCTCTCCATGGTCCTGCCCATCACTTCCTTCCACTGCCACCAACCGTGTCATCTTTTGCCTGAGTGATGTCATCTATTCTACAAGGACTTCTTTGGTGGCACTAGGCTCAATCTGTTAGGTGGATTGGAAAGAGATGGGCTTTAAAGTGACACAGACCTGTTTGAACCCTGGTTCCACGTTCCCTCGCTGAGTGGTCTGGAACGCTGCCTTCCCTCCAGGAACCTCAGTTTGGCCACCACCTGGAAGTGGCCGTGTCATGCCTCCTGTGAAGGTTCCTGATGATGCGTACCCAGGCAGGACATCATCCGTAGTTGGCACTCGGTACATGGTGGCCATCCTCATTTTTATTAGACACGTAAAGACGCGTTTTTATTAGATACAGAAGGAAATAGAACGCAAGATGTCTGCCCCCCAGAGGCTAAATGCTAGTTGACACTAACAGGAGCCAGAGTAAAGAGTCCCCAAATAACAATAAAGCCATGTCACAAGTTAAGTGTTCGCAGTAAGTGCTCTAGGCATTCGTGTGAGAGATCCTCGTGCGTTGGATTTGTCAAAGATTTTGCTTTGTGCTGCATTGTCAGTAAAGTGTAGACTTCAGTGCTAATGAGGGGGGGTGCTGGATGGGGAGGCATTCCAGGCTGAGGGAAAACTTCAGGGCGGGACAGTCGACGTGACTGGAGTCAGCAGACCAGCCTGGTGACAGTGAAGGGCTTATGTGTGGGAGCGGCAAGAAAGTTGGATCTGGTTGGGGTGCACCTCAGAAGCAGCTAGAACTTCTTTACCCTGTCCATAGGGACCTATGGATGGTTCTTGAGTTGAAGGGTGGCACAGTAAGCATGAAAGCAGTATCACAACGAGATGAGGAGCAGTTGGGGATGGCTGGGTCGGTGAGAGAGACTGGAAATGGATGACACTGGGCCGGGCCGGTGTGATGTAGCCAGGGGTCAGGCTGTCACAGACTTTTCCAGCCAGGCCGGAACTCAGGTCATCTGGTTCTCTGGACTCAAAGATGAGTCACCTAAGGAGCTTTAAGGAAAGAACAGATTCACGTGCCCTGCTCCCGTCGATGCGTTTTGTAGGCGTGCCCCAGGAGACCACGATGTGGCACCAGGTTTGGGAACCATGAATTAGTCTGACCCTTACACTTCCGCAAACTAACAAATATAACTCAGAGAGGTGAGTTCACCAAGGTCACACTGCTCCTTAGTGACGGAGGAGACCCCAAGGGGACACTCTGGGTGTGGGCCTTCAGCCCCTTGCTCTCGGCTGGGCCATTCCAGTGCTCAAGGAGAGGCAAGCTCCAGGAAAACCCACTTCAGACACACTCCCCCAAAGGCTGCTCTGCTTCTCCAGAGGTGAGCACCGTTCACTGGTTCCCTGTACAGGAAACCCTCTCTTTCTGAACTGGGATTTTTCACCTGGCTGTAGAAGCAAGAGCTGGAGAGGAGGGGGCTGGAGAGACTGCAGGAAGGAACACAAAGTCCCCCCAGTGGAAAGCCTGAGAGCAGGGGAAGCTCAGAGGTGAGGGTCAAGGTCCCCAGGTAGTCAGCCCAGCAGTTGGGAGGAGGAGGCTGCAGTCCTTACACCGAAGGAAGCAGGGAGGTCTGGGAAGGGGAGCTGTTTGGTGATCAGCAGGCCGAGCCGCAGCCAGTTTTCAGGACTCCGGAGGGCAGCTGCCTAACTGAGGATCAGAGGCCGTGGTTCCAGAAAGGAGCCCGCCTGCCGGACAGGACCGTGTGGGGCAGCCTCAAACCCAGAGTGAAATCTGAGGATTGGAACTTGAGCAACATCCATATTTGGATGCAGGGAAAGCGCTCTACGTGACTAGGGTGGGCCTGGGGGAAAGCCGCCCCCCCAGGGTGTCTCCCCAGCGCCCTGCCTGCCCAGAGGGAAGGAGGAGGACTGAGCAGTGGTCTTCTGACTTGGTCACTTCCAGGAACCTTCCAGTAGAGGGGACAGAGCAGAAGCCAAACTGCAGGGCTCCAGAAAGGGGTGGTCCACTGGTAAATAAACGTTACAGAAATAAACGGGCTTAATAGATGCTTTGTTTCGACTTTTTAGGAGACGAGTGGATGATTCGGAAGGTGAAGGTGGAGGAAGAGGATCAGGAGGCAGAAGAGGTCGAGTGGCCGCAGCATCTGGCTTTACTCCCCGGCCCCTTTCCTGCACCTGACCTGGGGCCTCTGGCCGCTGCGTATAAGCTGGAACCTGGAGCCCCAGGGGCACTGGGTGGGCTGGCACTGGCCGGGTGGACTCAGGCCGCAGAGAAGCCCTACGGCTGCGGGGAGTGCGAGCGGCGGTTCCGGGACCAGCTGACCTTGCGGCTGCATCAGAGGCTGCACCGCGGAGAGGGCCCCTGCACCTGTCCGGACTGCGGCCGCAGCTTCTCGCAGCGCGCGCACCTGGTGCTGCACCAGCGCAGCCACCTCGGTGAGCGACCGTTCCCGTGCTCCGAGTGCGACAAGCGCTTCAGCAAGAAGGCCCACCTAACCCGCCACCTGCGCACACACACGGGCGAGCGGCCCTACCCGTGCGCAGAGTGCGGCAAGCGCTTCAGCCAGAAGATACATCTGGGCTCACACCAGAAGACTCACACCGGCGAGCGCCCCTTTCCCTGCACCGAGTGTGAGAAGCGCTTTCGCAAAAAGACACACCTGATCCGCCACCAGCGCATCCACACCGGTGAGAGGCCCTACCAGTGCGGGCAGTGCGCACGTAGCTTCACGCACAAGCAGCACTTGGTGCGGCACCAAAGGGTGCACGAGGCGGCCTGCCAGTCCCCTCTGTCTCCCGACGCGCCCGCCTCTCCGGGTTCCCCTGCCCCGTCCCCGACCCCATCCCCTCCCGGACCCAAGCCTTTCGCCTGTTCCGACTGTGGCCTGGGCTTCGGCTGGAAGAAGAACCTCGCTACGCACCAGCGTCTGCACCGCAGCGAGGAGGGCCCTTTCGGATGCCACGAGTGCACACTGGGCGCCGCCGCCGACCCTGCAGCCGCCGATCCCCTGGCCTGCGCGCACGGAAGCACAACGGCTCCCCAGGACGCTCCGGCCAGCGAGCGGTCCTACTCTTGCCCGGACTGCGGGCGCGGCTTCGCCCACGGGCAGCATCTGGCGCGACATCGGCGGGTGCACACGGGCGAACGGCCCTTCGCCTGCGCGCAGTGTGGGCGTCGCTTCGGCTCGCGGCCCAATCTGGTCGCCCATTCTAGAGCCCACAGCGGCGCCAGGCCTTTCGCCTGTGCGCAGTGCGGCCGCCGCTTCAGCCGCAAGTCTCACCTGGGCCGCCACCAGACGGTGCACACGGGCAGTCGGCCTCACTCTTGTGCCATCTGCGCCCGCAGCTTCAGCTCCAAAACCAACCTGTCCCGCCATCAGGCCATCCACACGGGCTCTCGCCCCTTCTCCTGCCTGCAGTGCGGCAAGAGCTTTAGCCGCAAGACCCACCTGGTGCGGCACCAGCGCGTCCACGGGGAAGCAGCCCGCCTGACCTGTGACGCTGACCTCCCCGCCCCAGCCTGGACCGCGGCCGCAGAGGTGGTAGCCTCCCCACTCTTCTTCTGAGCCTGTGCTCATCAGGCCCTTCCCTGGCCTTCTGTTGCTGCCTGGTTGGAGAGAGCCAGGGCCAAGACCCTGCTGGGCATTGTTACTCCCCCTCCATCTGGCAGGAAGAAGTCTGGGAAGGATACCAGCTTTGACGCTCTGTGACAAAGACCGTGCTGAGTGCACCCTTGCTGGGACTGTTAGGGCTGGAGTCTTTGGAAGGCTCCTACCAAGAGAACCCCGCTGGAGAGATGTTTCCTGGGCCCTCCTTGAGCGTAGAAGTTAGGGACCTTTGTCGGGGAGGGGAAGAATGGTCATCTGTGTACCTACCACGTCATTAAAGTAAACACTCGAAGGCTCCAGGGCAGGGCTGTTCATTGAGTTGGGGGAGGCAACCCCTGACTCGAATCCACACACAGAGGACCTTTCCTTTCCTATCTGGGTGGATTCCACTTAGCCAGTGGCTGGTAATCTCTCTACCAGATCAAAATGTGATACGTTGAATTGCCAGCCCCTCCCCGCTCCCTGCTCCCTGCTCCTCACTCAGAGATTTGATGAGGAAGGAACATTGGCACGTACATTTCTCACGCCAGGTGTTGAAGGCCGGAACTGTGCGGATAGCACAGGGAGGGGGCAGGTAGGTGCCCTTTGCCGTTCCCATGGAGACGTGCCGCGGAGGGCCCTGGGGCTGGAGAGCTTCTGCCTCTGTAGCTCTCCTGAGGGGACCTTGGTAAAGCAGCCCACCTGCCACTCTGCCTGGCACCACGAGGGAAGACGTTAATGGCATATGACATTTTTTTCTCATACTTTTAATTTTTTTCATACTTTTAAAAAAGATTTATTTATCTTTAGAGGGGAAGAGAAGGAGAGGAAGAGAAATATCAATGTATGGTTGCCTCTCGTGCATCCCCTGCTGGGAACTGGCCTGCAGCCCAGGCATGTGCCCTGACCGAGAATCAAACCACGACCCTTTGGTTTGCAGGCCTGTGCTCAATCCACTGAGCTACGCCAGCCAGGGCTGTCAGGAGTCCCACCCATCTTGATAATGGGTGCTCGATCCAGATGTCTCTCTCCGTGGCTGGGCCTCCCCAGCACAAGCAACAGGGAAAGCTGGCTGGCTGGCAGTGAAGGGGAGCAGCCGGATGTTGGGGACCGAGCTGAACCTGGAGTGAGAAGTCCTGGGTTTGAGCCCTTGGAGCAGGGCATTCATTTCCTGGGCCTCTGCTCTCTCATTGCAATAAGATTGTTGATGTTGGTGAGAGGCAAGGGAGGGGGCATGAATGCAGTGAGCTAGCAGTGTCCTGGCCACGAATGAGTAGGTGGTCCGGGGAATGTGACAGGGTGGCCACACACAGGGGCCACTGTGTTGCCTTGGCCATATTTTAAATACTTGGGCCTTTCACGCAAAAATCTGGGCTTCCAGCTTCCCTTGTGAAAAGTCGGGAGATCCAGCAGCTGTAGCTGGGGCTGAGTGGACCTTGGTCTCGTTACACTAAGAGGCAGGGGCAGGAACGCCGGGTCCGCAGCCCTCGCCGCCCCTTGGCCTCCCCCTGAAGGTGCTGCCTGGCCACTTGGGCTCATGATTCACACAAAAGCAACATTGACCCCCCAAACATTGGGGGTCCTACCAACGTTTCTCTTTCTCTAAATGTTCTGAAATTCTTGTGTAAGAACAGGGTTTAGGTCCTACTGTGTGCTCAGTGAGACCTACTGTGTGTCAGCCATTCTCAGGATTTCCCATTCACTTGAACCTTTCCGACAGTTCCTGGACACAGTAGGTGCTTATGACATAACAGCGGCCTCGTTACTTCACCGCTTCTCACTGCAGGAGTTAGGGAGGAGGCACCAGCTTTGGACTTTGCTGCTCGAATGGACTTTGTCAAGTAAAATGTGAAAATCGAGGAAGGGTATTTCTGGTAGGTGGAACAGCAAGAAAAGTACATGGGCTCCTGTGGGCATGGGGGGAGCGAGAAGTCCAGTGAGGTGAGGTGAGGACCGTGAGAGAGAGCAGTTCGCGGTGGGGCCGAGGCCAGCCCGTCGTGGCTCCAGGCCCATCTCCTAAGGATGCTGCCCCCACGCCCCTCCCCACAGTGAGCTGGGCTCAAGGAAGAGAAATCTGGTGATAGACACATACACATTCATTTTCTATCCAGGAGCCACTCACAGAAGGACTCCCTGTGCAAGACCCTTGAAGACCTTTCAGGAGGTCCTTAAAGTTGTGTTGAGGAAGGGGAGGGGCCGAGTTCATGGCTTCTCGGCTTTCCTTTCAGCCCCTATAATATACCAGGCATCGCTTGGATCTGTAATTGCACATGGCGCCCAGGCTGGAACTGAAGCCCCTTTTCTCCTACCGGATCCCAGCTTGTCCTTCCTGAGTCAGAACTCTAGAAAGGCAGCTTCCTGCTACTCTGCCGAGGGCCCCTTTCTTCAGGGTTCTGTTGTTCTGCCCCATCCCACTCTCAACGGTGAACTTCTGCTACCCGGTGAGGGTGCACGAGCCCGCCTGGGGCTCCCGGCACGGGCCCGGCACGCTATACATCTCTCTGCAGTGAAATAAGTACATGAGATGTTGCCAGTCTGACTCAGTGTAGGGAGACTCTTTGTGGTAAGTAGGGAGAAGGGCTGAAGGGTAACGGGGAAAGGCCCCCCAATAAACGGTTCTACGGTTTCACCAACAAAAATAGTTCCAACACAGAATCTCCTGGAAACTTAAAAATATACCGATGATACCCTGGTTACCCTGGTTGGTGTGGCTCAGTTGGAACATCGTCCTCCAGAGCAAAAGGTCGCTGGTTTGATTCCTGGTCAGGGCACATGCCTGGGTTGCAGGTTCGGCCCCACTCAGGACACAAGTGAGAAGCAGCCGATCAATATTTCCCTTCCTTCCCCTCTGCCTGAGATCAATAAGCATGTTCCCAGGTGAGGATAAAGACAATTTTTTTGGCAAAGTTGCTTGAAATATCTTTTAATTTTTATATAGTCTAGAGTAGCATGTGGTCACCTCTTTGTCCCTGAGATTGGTCATTTGTGCTTTAAAAAAAAAAATTGGTGAATGATACCACAAGTGGGTCAATTCCATTTTTTTTTAATTCTTTTTGGCTTTCTTGATTATCTCTAATACATGGCCACTATTTCACAAATGTTTGCTCTTATTTTCCCTCAAGTCTTGGTTTCCTTTGCCACCTGTTCGTGCCTCCCTGCGGGTTTGTTTCACACACTCGTTTAGGCCCATCATTTCTGAGCACTGGCTTAGCTTCAACCTCCGCCTTTGGTATGTGGTGCTTCCTCATCTTTCTGTTCAACCTATTTCCCTTCTTCATCGACACATGGGTTATTTAGGAGCATAATTCTTCCATGAAAATGTCTTTTTTTTTTTATTGGCTTCTAGCTTAAAAGCTACAGTATGGTCAAATATTCAGTAAAATACTTCCAAATTTGTGTGGTCTTATTCCAGAATTTACTAGATGGTCCATTTTTGTGACTGTTCTATGTCTGCTCGGAAGGAACAGTGTTCTATTCACTCACCAGTTGAGCCAGTTCTGTGGAGTTAGCTGTTCAGAGCCTTCCTAGGATTGCACTGATTCCTGGAAAAGGTGTGCTAACATCTCCCAAACATGACTGTGAATGTGGATGCTTTCCTTCCAGTTCTTTAAACGTTGGGGTCAGCAGGGGGAAATGGAATGCATGAAAACAGACAAAACCCACAACGCTGTAGGCACAAGAGAAGGCAGGAAAGAAGGGGGAACCCTCAGAACCAGTGGGACGAACATCCGCAGAAAGAAGGCAAGTTCAAATCCAAACAAGTCAGTAATTTTATTACATGTAAATGGACCCAGAGCTCCCAGGAAGGAAGAAAAAGTCTTGTCAGGCTGGATTAACGAATAAAACCCAACTACAGGCTGTTGACAGAAGCCACGTCTGATCCCCGGCACAGAAAGGTGACTCAAGTCAACGAGCCGACTCCTTTTGGAGGCAGCTGTGACGCCTTGGGGTGCCACAGACACCGACCCCATTGTGGACTCCCTTCCACTGGAGGCCTTAGCAGTGGCCTGGAGCCCATGGGACCCTGCTCTGATTCTGACAGATGGAAATGGGACCTTCCCTTGGCTGCTTGCAATGGCCTCTGGCTGGCAGGTGGCCGATGGAGTGTGGATAGAGGGAAGGCCCGTGCCCAGGCCGGCCAGGGACTGTCCTCGGGCTACCTGCCAGGATGGTGACAGGCAGAGGTAGCGCCTTCTCTGCCCTGCCCCTCCAGCCCCCTGGAATTCCTGAGTTCACAAAGGCCCCCATTTTTCCCAGCAAAGTGGCGTTTCCTCATACAGTGGCTGAAAGTGTGGGACACCGCCCCAAAGCCCTAAACCGCACAGACGCCTCACCCTAGTGATTCTGGAAGGCTTTCAACAACCGTGAACATTTTTGGTTCAAGTGGCCCCGGACCTATGGGATGAGTGTGGCTGCTGTTCATGAAGCGTCTTACCACTCATTTTACAACTTACATTCTTAAAAAAAAAAAAGAAAGAAAAAAAGAACTCCCTATAGGCTGATTAAATCTGGACCACCTGGACTGGACTGGCCCCAAGTGTCCTTGCCTGCCACGCCAGCTTGTCCCAGGACTGGTGACCGATCAGCCACGCCCTGGTGTGGACTCGCCAAGTCCCTTTTGGCCAAGGGCCCTTCCCTTAGCAAACACCTTTGCAGTTTTTAGGATCCGTATGGGCGAATCCAACTTAGACCAAGGAGTGGAGTGTTCCCCAAGGGAAATCTCTGCCTGTGTCCACCAGGAGGGTGAGAGCCACTGCCTTCCCAGCGCCGAGAGCAGGAAGGTTGGGTGTTGGGAAGATGGGTCCTCACGGCGCCCCTGGGCATGAGTGCCGTGCACAGGCGTGTACACCACCACCGGCCTCTGAGTCTGGCGGCAAAGACGGGACAGAAGCAACATCTGAATGAGTCTGAGCCGAATGGGGCAGAGGTGTGGCTGAGGAACGCAACCCGAGTGGCAGCCCCACTGAGCAAACACATCTTGGAGTCGAGGGCAGTCAGGCCAAGAGGGACGCCCAGTTGTTCACAGCCCGGAAATGGGGAAGGCTTGGTTGGAGCGGCAGGTGGAGGCTGGCTGGCCCCTGGGAGAGGCAACTGGGGACAGGGCGCCCTCAGGGCTGAGCTGATGAAGAAGACGGTTAGCGGCCATCCACCTCGGGTCCCTAAGTCCTCCACCCCACAGTTCCTCCTTGAGGGCCCTCTGGACCCCTGCTAACAGGCCATTCGGGTCCTTGGGCCAGTTCTGGGTCCCCGGTGGCACAGCTGCTGCGGCCGGTGGCTCTGCGTCTGCACAGGAGGCAGGAGAGGCCATCTGGGGAGGGAAGGCAGCAGGCACAGAAGGGGCAGGGGGGTTCTGGGGGCCCCCTGTGTGTCTGCGTTGGGGGTGCACAGAGAGCCCAGCACGGCTGCACGCTGAGGATGGCGGATGCTGGGAAGGGCTGGAGCCGGTTCCAGAAGGTTCTGCCTGGGGGGCGTCTGGAGGCAGCTGAGGCACCAGGTGCAGGGTCCCCTGGGAGAGGCCTGAAATGTCGCCAGCCCTGCAACCTTCTGCCTGGCCTCGCAGGATCTTTGGCTTGGGCCTGGTGGGGCCCTTCTGCCTCCGGTACAGCAGGTGCCGGCGAGCAGGGCCCTGAGCCCAGTGAGGTCCCCGGGGAAGGGCCCACGGCCAGGAAGCCTGGCTCTTCGGCCCGGGGCCCCGCGGGCGCCTCCCCAGCCGATCCACTTGAGTCCTCACTGTGGCCACTTCCTGAGACAGGCCTGCCAGAGCCGTGGCGAGCCGATCCAGCTTCTCTGAGAGGGCGGCACTGAGGCTGCGGAGCTCCTGCCGAAGGGAACTCCCACAGGGACACGGTGGCCGTGGGGAGGCAGGTGGCAAAGCAGGGGATACCACGGTGGCCGTGGGGGGCGGCTCAGGCAGGCCTCTGGGAAGCGGCCTCCCTGCGGTCCGGGCTAAAATCAAGGCAGGGAGGCGGGGTGAGCGTTTGCAGGCTGCCAGGACCGTCTCTCCCCCCACGGGGCCCCTGAATCAGCGCGTTTGGCACCCTGCCTCCCTAAGGCCCAACATTACATGGGAAGGAGACGACTCAGGCTTCAGAGGACCGATGACAATGCTCACGACATCAACAGTGGCCACGTCTCCCCGCTGTTCCCCAAACTCGTGGGCAGGATAAACCAGACTGGGTCTCCACAGTAACTGAGATTTCTTAGGACACTTGACTTTCTAGGAAAATGGTCATTAGGTTCTTGTGCCATTTGGGGGACCAAGTGGCAGCTAAACATGCCCTGCCGAGTCAGTGGGCAGGGCGCCTAAGGCCATGGGCAGCAGCTGGAAGATGGCCCCAGGGGGGCCGGTCCAACCTGGGGCCTGGGGCGATTGGTCAAAAGCAAAGCAGCAGGGTTCCTCCCTCCCTGACTTTGGTCCTCAGCAGTTCTAGATCCAGAGGGTGTTGCGTCTTAAATTACTTTAAGAAAAATCACCGAATCCTTCACCCTAAGTTCCCTTGGAACTGGTCTCCACTTCAGGCAATCCCCGGAGAAAACCCTGTGACCACCTCAGGCTGGCGGGACGGACCCGAGGTTCCCCCGTCCCCCCGGGCCCAGCCCGGCTCCTTCCTCCTGTGCACCCTTCGGGGCTTCAGTCAGAGGAAAGGGTGGCGCTGGAGGGGCTGCAGGAGCCCACTGCCCGCTGCACGTTGGAGAAGGACCTGACCGAGCGCAAGCGACCTTGCTGCTGTGGTGGGCACACTTCTGTCTGAGGGAGAGGCGCACGCCTGCCGGCCTCGCTCTTAACAGGCTGGCCACACCTACAGCGACGGGGCCACGGCAGGCCACTCTTGCGGCCTCCTACGAGGGTCTCTATTCCTTTCCCAGAGCAGACCAGGGGGCCGAGCCCGCGTCTCTAATGCGGTTAGGGAGGGGCTTCCTCCAGGCCAGGGCTGATGCGGAGCCACCTCTCACAGCTCTCGGGACGCCTGTGGCCAGGTCACACGGCGTGACCAGGCCTCCGTGTCCACATCTGCTCTCTGAGGTCCACTCACACTCCAAACGCTGATTCTGGGGGGATCTATTCTGGCACACGCCTCAGTCTCTGTGCTGCCTCTGAAAGGCATCTATGCTTTTACAGAAAAGCCAGCCCCTTATGGAAGAAAACACTGAAATGAAGTAAGCGACCTGGGGTGAGCTGTGACCCTGCAACAAAGGGCTGGCTGAGCAGTGGGCAAGGGCTGGGTGGCCGTGCACATGCCGGCCTCTGTGCCTGCAGGGCCCCCCACGGCTTGAGGGGCCGGGGCGCCCAGAGGTTCACCTGCAGCGCTGGGTCCTCTGTGTCCAGGCCCTGGGCTTCCGGATTCTTCGCTAACCCTGGGCTTTCGGGACGGGGGCTGAGGGGCTGAGCCTGGAGGTGGGCAGGGCCCTGGCCCGGGCCCGGGCCTCTTCTCCGGCCGAGGGGCAGGGCAGAGGCTCGCAGCCGGCCCTGCGGAGAGAGCACAGAACATGTCGGGTGTGCCTGTGTGCTGTTTAGACAGAGGCATTCTCACACGGGACTACTTGGACACGACCTTAAAACATCGAACTTTGGTTAAGCTCTCAAATTAAGGATTAATGAGATGTAAGATGGGCACATTCAGTCCATCAAGGAACCCGACTCTGGCCGCACAGCCCAGGAGGGCCCGTGTGACCTGGCTGGGCCAGGGACACCAGCTGGGGAGGGTTGTGATGTGCAGGTCCCACCACCAGCGAGGCCCTGTGGGGACAGGCTCGGGGCACCCTGAGGGCCATGGGGGTGCCCAGTCCACTGGGCTCTTTCCCACCAGCCCCGCTGGGCAGCGAGGAAAGCCTGGGCCAGCAGAGGCCAAGGACAGCATGGGGCCACCAGCCTGAGTTCCAAGGGAGCCCTGTTCCCTGACCAATCAATCACCCACCCTACTCAAGTGCTGCCCAGGGTCTCCAAGCACACTTCTCTCCTGGGCAGCTGGGCCCCGCCTCCCGCCCTCTCCTCTGCTTTTCCTGCTGGGTCAACAGCTAGGTCAGACCTGGCCTGAGAAGCGAGGCGGCCTGGGTAGCGGCCTGCGTTTCCAGGAGCCCCCCCCACCCCCCCCCGTCTCCGACAGGACACCCTCTAAGCTCTCCCAGGTGGATGAATCTCACTGCCAACATTTTGTTCGCTGCCAGACTCTAACAATGTATACTGTTACCGTTATATACACGTACACATATGTCCACACGCATACACACTAAGTCCCTGACACTAAGCTTTGGGTGGCTGAGGCCTCCATTCCCAGAGACAGCCACCCGGGGTACACGCATGGCCAGGGTGTGAGCGTTACTAGGCAGTGGCAGGGAAGGAGCCCCAACTCTGTAAGGGTCCCTTGTCCAGAAAGCCTGGCCTGACCTAGATAACTGGCCATCTGAGTGACCCCCCACTTCTCCCTTTCTGTGTCCTGATTCCGCTGTTACGTTTTAAATTAGCCAATAAAGAATGAACAGGCCAAACCCTGGGCACCCCAGCACGACGGTGACAGACACGGGACCCAGATCCTCACACACTTTCTCTCTCCGCCCATGACCTCGCCGCACGCCCCACAAGTGCAGGGTGCTAAGGCCCGTCCTCAAAGTGCTCTGAGGGGGTGGCTGAAGGGCGTGCTGTGACCGTAAGCAGCAGCGGACAGTGGCCTGGCCCGGAGCTGGCCCCGGAAGGGGGGGGGAGGCGGAGCATCAGTGGGGCTCCTCTGAGAAGTGTGGGGGACGGGGGTGCAGGCCCTGGGCCTTCCTGGAGGAGAGCATCACTGTGCACAGACCAGGTCTTCACAACAGTGTGTGTGTGCGTGTGTAAACATCATTAAGTGTATACCATGTGTGCATACTATACTCGAAACATTACACCCCATACCCATCAAGTTCATTGCCAGGCTTTCTATTAAACACACTCACTTAACACTTCTGGAACCCTTTGCGCCTCAAGAGCCCCACTTCCTCTCTCGGATGTGACTCATGGGGAACTTGAGCATGATAAAAGTAGAGAACTTTCTGGCAAGAGTTGGGCAACGTGACAGGTGAGACTCGGAGAACCTAGCCTCCTGGGGACAGGCCCCTCCCAGGAGACCCCAGGCTCACCTGCACTGAGACCAAAGCGCTCCCTGGGCTCTGCGGTCCTCGGGCTTTCGCCGGGGCTCTTGCTGCTGGGAAGAGGGTCCCTCTCTGCATCACAAAGCTGGTGTCAGGGTGGAGGTCCCAGCTGGGGGCCCGGCTCCCTGCCTCTTCCCTCCCCCGAAGCTCACCCTGCAGGAGCGGCGGCCAGAGCTCAGGCTCCAGCCTTGGGTCTTCTCCTTCCGAGCTGCTAAAGCTGGAGCTGCAGCTGGAGCCGGTGCTGGGGCTGGGGATGGGGATGGGGCCGGGGCCGGCCAAGCAGGCGAAGCGCAGGGGCCGCCCGGGCAGGATCCCCTTCAGAGAGTTCTCCAGGCAGTGAAGTGGGGAGGGCGTGGTAGCTGCCCCTGGGCAAGTGACAAGAGACCCTTCTGTGGACCAGCCCGACAGGGAGGAGGGGCTCCTGCCTGAATGACAGGCACACAGCCCAGTCAAGGGCCGCAGAGGAGCCCCAGGAGCCCCAAACATCCTCTCTGCTGTGACAGAGGACAGAAGTGAAGCCAGAGCCGGGCTAGGCCCTGGCCCCTCTGGAAAGCCAGCTGGGGAACTTTCCCTGAAAGCCACTAGCGGTCGGTCCCAGCCAGGCCCCAAGGCCCTCCTGCCCTGTTCCCCCAGGACCGGTCAGGTTGCCCACAGGAGGGCCCTGGAGGCCGCTCTTGTCCAGTGGGGGCACTAGAAACCCCACACAGGGCAGAGCCACCCAGCACTTCGGCCGGCCGCAGGCAGGCTTCCACAGCAGGTTAAACTAAGTGCCAGAGCAGCGGGGGCCCTGCCCCTGCTTCTGTGCTCAGCCACAGCCTGGGGAAGGGGTGCAGCCCGGGGAAGGGATGCAGCCTGAGGCAGGGCTGCATGATGGGGAGGAACGGAGGCACACAGCGGGGAGGGGAACCTGGTTCCTCATCACAGACTGCGTGCGTCTGCAGGGAAACGCGCCAGGAAGCGCTGGGGACAGGTGTCAGCTCACCGTGGTGGAGCCACCTCCAGGGTCCTGGCCGGGCGGCCCCATGGTCTCTGAGCCCTTGCTGGCAGCAGGCAGGGACGCTGCTGGAGGAGAGGGCCTGAGGGCTGGCCGGCCACGGGCTCCTGGGGGGTGCGTCCCCCCTGAGGTGGACTGGCTCGCAGGCCTCGATTCGAAGTCCTGTTTTAACGAGAGGCCTGATCAGCCCTGCGGGGCCGTGTCAGCACTGAGGAAAGGAAGCTAATGGACCGAGAACCGCCCTCGCTGCCCCGGGACCAGCACACACGCCCATGCTGTAGATCCTCCTTGATCTCCTCAGACCCACCACCCCCTGGGCTCCCGAGGGGCTCCTGAGGGGCTCCGGAGGGGCCCCCGCAGCTTAGTGACTCGCCAGACACCAAGGCACACAGGACCAGCACAGCCACGATGGGAAGACACTCCTCCCAGGCCAAGGCCAGGCTCAGGCCTGAACTCGGCAGCTGAGGGCCCTGCCCTGACTGCACCCTGTGAAGACAGGCAGCCCCTGGCTTTCCGGTCTCACACTAGCCTCCGCCCGGGGCGTTCCCAGAGCATCTTTTCATCTCCAGGGTGACTGTGGGCCCGCCAACGGCTGGGGGATGTAGCACCTGGGGCACCAGCACTGGACACCTTTTCCTGCTCCCAGACCCCGGGCAACCATGCTTTACCTTCCTTGTCGGCCGTCCAGCTCTTGGGCTCCATTCTCTGGGGTTCTCTGTCCCCCACCGAGGACCAGGACCAGGCAGGCTGTGACCTGGGCACAGGTATCTCTCTGAGACAATTCTCCAGGCCCTGGAGGGGGGCACTTCCGACTGGGATCCCTGTGGAAACCAACATGCACAGCCTTAGTCAGGGCTTGGCCTCTGCGCACCCTGGGGCCTCGCCTGCACCGTGTCCAGGGGAGCTGGACCGGCACAGAGCGCCGGACCTGTTGTGGCAGTACAGGGCCCCCAGCCTGTGTTGGTCCTGCTCCGGCTGGGCCAACCCGCCTCGCCGCCTGCTGGGAAGTCAGGTCAACGGGCTGTGATGAGAGAGACTGGCTGCAGGCCCGGGGTCAGGACACCCAGTGCCACCCCTGTGAGAGATGCCACCACCCAGCCTCGCCCCCAGGATGGCCCTGAGGACCGAAGGGAAATGCTAAGAGTGCCCCCTTGGGTGTGATGGGGGAGGTCGAGGAAGACCAACCCTAACGCAGTTCAACCAGGAAACAAAACTGAACTGCAACAATCACGTTTCTAGTGACAGCTGTGGGGGTGACAGAGCGCCGCCGGCGGTTGGGGCTGGGACGGCCAGGTGTCGACCAGGGGAACCCCAAGTGTGGTGCTCCCCAGGGGGCACTGCTACGTTCTGGGGTGACAGAGAGCGCCGGGGAGCTGGGCTGGAGGCTGCTGAAGGGCAGCGTGAAATCTCCTTGCAGCCTGGGCTGCTTCGAAGACAAGGTCGGTGCTCAGAGGCAGCACGAGAAGACGGCGCGGCTGCTGGAGCACAGGGCGTCCGCTAGCGTCCAAGGAGCACCGAGACGGAACAGACATCAAGACCAATGTTGAGACAAAGAGCATGGTGACGGAGCGGTGCACAGGACGCCACCGCCTGCGTGAGGGGACAAGCGGCGCGGCCACGAAATGACTCTGGAGGTGAGAGCCCACGACAGCGGTGGCTCGGGGAGGGCCACAGGGGCTGGAGGGGGGGGAGGGTGACGTCACCTTTCCCACCTAACCTGCTGTGGCTTCTGAACGAGACCATGTGATTCTGTCAGTTATTTAAAACCAAAACTTTCAAAGAAAGGTCGGCTACGTTTTGGGAGGAAAAAGCCCCCACACCCAAGGGGCTGCTCCCTGGGAGGGTGCAGAAATCCAGGCCACCCAGACACCGGAGGGCCCTGGGACTGTCCCATGGGCCCCGAATGGCCTGCCACAGAGTCTGGGGTGAGCCCAGGGCCTGTGCGCCAGCAGTAAGAGGGCCAGGACGCGGGAGCCCCCAGGGACTCTGTGGACACGGCAGACCAAGGCCTGTGCTTTTCCTTGTGGGGAGAAAAAGGTCAAGGAGAAGCCCTGGAGAGTCTTGCAAGATTCTAAAGAAGGTGACAGCTCACCACGGGTGCCTCAGTGCAGAGGGACCTTGGGAGACGCACGTCACCCAACACGCTCTTTAACGTGGTTTTACGTGAATCCTGCATGATTCTTTTTTCAAGTCAGAGTTCAGTCCGATGTCCCGGGCACTTACTTCTTTGTGGCTGGGATAAGGAAGGATTTGACGCTAAAAAAAACCCTTTTTATTTTTTAGGAGATCTTAAGTGTTGTCCTGACAGGTGCCCCCACACGAACAAGTCCTGAGTCGCCCTGTCTGGGGGCCCTGGTCCCCAGGCCAACCCTGAGCCCCAAGCCAGCCAGCTCACCTTTTCCAGGCCTGCGCCCCCGGCTGCTGTCGGGGCTCTGGAAATCGAGGTCCCCGTCAGTACTGCTGGACGAGGAGCAGCTGGTCGGGGTGCTGTGGGGCCCCGGGGGGCGGGCAGGGCCATCCCTGATGAGGCCCTGCAGGCCCAGAGCCAGAAGAGGCCCCGCCGTTGCTTCTGCAGGGAACAGCACAGCTGGCACCAGGGGACAGCTACTAAAGAAGAGGCCCCCTGGGTCCTGAGCTGTGGGCAGGTGGGCATCCAGAGACCTGCCCCGGAGGCTCTTCCTCCAGAGCCTCCCCTTCAGTCAGGGCACTGACCAGCACGCCGCAGCGCATTACCCCACGAGGCCCAGCCACTGACCTCTTGGGGCTGGAGGGTGAGGAAGAGCTCTTAGAGCAGGTGGTGGGCAGGGAAAGCGTAACTGGCTCCCACCCAATCCCGGAGTTGTTTGGGGGCAGGTATGACGGGGACAGGGGTGGGAAGGGAGAAAGACGTGCACTTCAAGGGGCCCAGGACAAGGAGGGGGGACCCGTCAGTGTCCTCCCAGGGCATCGCCACCCCAGCCCAGGGCCAGGTCCACCTTGACTGTGCGGTCCTCGGGGCTGCAGCTCGGGCCTCGGAGACCCGGCGTCTCCCAGCTGGGGGCTCCGGAACCAAGAGGAGGCCGGCGGCTGGGGAGGCAACGACCCACTCAGGGGAATGCCCTTCAGACAGGCCTCCAGGGCTTCCAGGGGCGAGCTCGAGGCACTGCTGGCTGGGACAGGGGAGACGGCCCTTCACCACCTCTGGCAGGTCCCCTGGCCTGGCCCCTGGCCGGCTGCCCCGCCCACCTCCTACTGCACCAGACGTGGGAGCCTGCCAGACAGGACACCCTCCTGTGGGGACGGAGATCTGCTCTCTGTTCGTACAGAGGGGACGACAGCAACTGTACCCCCGGGTCCTGGGGCCGGCGGGGAGACCCACTTGTGTGCAGTGGCCAGCACCCCAACAGCAAGGACACCTCTGCAGATGAAGGTCCTTCCAATGGAGGGCTCCCTCCCTGGGCGAGGCCAGGCTGAGGAGAGTGTGGGTGAAAGGGTGGGGTCGACTGCCTGGGGAGGGCAGCCGGGATCCCCCCCCCCCCCCCGGCCCTGGACCTGCTCCCCACCCCCTCAGGCACGCAGAACCCTGCTGGGGGGCTGAGAACCCCTTCAGGACTCAAGCAGACGAGCGGGGCCCCACCTTGAGCTGCGGGGCCCCAGCTGGGCGCTCGGACGCTGCTGGTGCCTCCGTCGCCCCCCTGGCTGCCAGTGGCACAGGGGCTGTGGGGCAGCTTGCGAAGCTGACAGGACGCAGGCGCTGGGGGGCTCTGGGCCCAGCTGTGCTCCATCTTCACGGAGAGCACTCGGCCAGCACCAGGGCAGGGAGGAGGGGTCTGCAGGGGTCTGGGCCCTGTGGGAAGCCCCCCACGGGGCCCTTGGGGGTTAGGATGGGGCTTCTGAGGCCACTGGTCCCCAGCGCAGCCTCACCTCTGAGGCAGTCACCACTCAGCCACCGGCAGATGGCCCACCTCTTACTCCCCAAGCCCTGCCAGCCTCCCCCCCTACCCCCCGGGAGCCTCCATAGGTTTCCACAGAAGGAGCCAGAGCGGCACTCCCCAGGCAGCCCCAAATCAGGCTCCTCCCCCAAGGCCAGCCCACGCGTCTCAACTCAACTTTCTCCTGAGAAGCCAGAGCACGGTGGGCTGCTGCGAGTGGAAATCCTGCCCCGGCCCACACGGATGAGGGCCCCGATCTCAGCATTAATGCCCTGACATCTGTGGGCTGAAGGTCTGTCTCCTGCCCTCCGTCTCCCTCCCTCTACACCTGCCTCCTTCCCAGGGCCAATCTGGGAAGTGATCATGAACTGACGGGTCACCTCCTGCGTGACCAGCTAGCTCCATTCATGGTGACAATCCCCGACTCCTGGCCACTCTGAGCAACACAGAGGTGTGGCCTTCATGTCACACTGCGGGGGTCACCCATGGCCCTGCTTGGAGCAGCAGCGGAAGGAGCGGACGATGTCCAGGGCCCACGCGGCCCAGCCTCTGGCCTTTACCTCCAGAAGTCCTCTTCCAGGCCCCTGAATCCTCCAGCAGCCGTGGGTCCCCCACTCCTGAAGGGCTGGGGTGTGCGTCCTGGGCCACCGGGATCTCCTTCAGGCAGTTCAGCAGACCCTGGAGGGGACAACCTCCGGACCCCGCCTCCGTCTTCACTGCAGGAAACAGCAACACGTTTTCCCCCTGAGCTGGGCGTCCTCTGTCTCCAGGACAAATAAGGAGCGGACAACCCAGGTAGGTGGGTAAAGAGGTCAGGGCCAGAAACCTGGAGGGTTGGGCCATCTTGCACTGGCCAGTGTCGCCTTGGTGGCAGGTGTAAAGTCACCTGTCGCCATACCTCCCAGACAGGTCAGAGAAGGGGGGGGAGACAAAGGCAGAGTGCACAGTGTGTCTCTAAGCAAAACCCAGGGAGCGGGCTGCTGGGTTGCTGTTTGTAGACCCTGAACAGGACATATATGGGGGAGGCCCAGCCTTTGCACACACGTGTGCACACACGCACACATGCTGTGCCTGAGCCTCATGAAGCCCTCTCAGGTGGGAACAGTAAGTCCCACATCTTAGTCTCCAAGGCTCCGGGAGCCTTCAGTCCGCACAGCCGACAGGTGCCGGACTCCAGGACAGGTGCTCCGGCCCCACCAAGCTGCCCTGATCCCCCAAGTCCACGCCAAGTGCCCCACCCAGTGTTGAGGCGAAGTGGCACTCAGCACCCCCTCCTCCGGGTCCCCAGTGGAGGCGAGTAAAGAACACAAAAGGGCCCGGGGTCTGCGTGGGTTTTCATCACCAGCTGCCCCGTCACTGCTGTCAGAAAGCCGCCCGGCCCCAGAAATATGACGCTGAGGACGCAGGAGCAGCCAAGCTGGGGGTGACCCTTCGGGAAGACACTCCACTTAGAGGGAAGTATCTAGAGAAAGCCAACTGGGTTTCGGGGGCTTTGGCTAACTCGGCCTGCAACATGTCCTCTGGACTCACCTCCGCTGCCAGGCCGGCTCCCGGGCCCCAGCCCCACCCCGCTTAGCTGGGCCAGGCCAGGGCCACGGCCAGGAGGCAAGTGCAGGGCTGCCTCGGGCTGCTGGGGCCCAGGCACAAGGATTTCCTTCAGGCAGTTGATGAGGCCTTGCAAGGGGCTGTTCCCAGGAGAGGTCACTGCGGGACCTGCAAGATCAGCCAGGGTCAGCGCAGCCCTGAGGGTGGCAGCCGAGGAAGGGCGGGGCATCGGAGGTTCCCCCTCGCCTGTGCGTGAGAATGGCAGGGACGGCGCCTGCGCTGTGGGGGTGTCAGGAGGCTGGGATGGGTGAGGACACCAGCCTCTCACCTGCCCCCGAAGTCTCCCTCTGCTGTTTCCTGTGGCTCTTCCTTCTGCCTGGGCTGCGGGTGGGAGGGCTGCGCTCCCCGCCTGGGGCTCCGGGGCTTCCCTGCTCTGCAGGCCCCGGTGTGTCTGCAGCTTCTGCAGCAAGAGAGACAGGAAGGTCTTTCCAGCCCCGGCTCCTGACCCCTGGGGAGGTGCCCCGGTCTGGTGCCCACAGAGGGACGGACCTCTCCTGTCCCCAAGCCCCAGGGGGCGGCCAAGTCATGGGAAATTCAACTGGTTGCAAAGGCAGCTCCTTTGAGGCTTGTTGGGGGGGGACCCTGCCCTGGGGAAGGTGGGGGGGGAGGGTGCCCTTTCCTGGTTCCTCCAAGTGACTGTAAATACCAAGACTATTCACTCCCAATGCCTGGGACCCTCCCCCAACCCCAGCCTCGGACTTGGGCTCAGCAAGTGACAGCAGCAACCTCCACGGGCAGGACCCCCTTCCGCACTCAAGCTTCTCAAATGTGGGGACATGGAGCCCCGGAGCAGACCTCCCAGGTGACCCCCAATCCACAGACTAAATGGGGCATGAGTTTTACAGAATGAAGTGAGACCCCGAAGAAAGTGTGGTGGCTGCCCTCGCCCCCCTCCTCACACCCCAGCCCTAGAAAGTCTAGGGCTGCCTTGATGGGCAGGTCTGAGAACCCGACCAGGTGAGCACAGGCGTGTTACCTGCTGACGGGCCTGCATGTCAGCGGCCACCCACACCTGCAACATGAGCAGGGTTCCACGGGTGCTGAGCATCGCCCCCTCGCTGGTCCACAGACGGGGGCCGAGCACTTGTCCCGCTCCCCAGGGAGCCGTGCCCATTTAGCGACCAGGGCGACCAAGTCTCAGAGAACATGAACGGGGCATGGGGTCCCTGACTCCGGGGTTGCGGCTCTGCCCCCCCCCCGGGTCAAACTCACTGATGGGGAGGGGACTTCCCTGCCCCCTGGCTCCGGGTGACCCGCTGGACGATGAGCTGCTGCTGGGCGTGCTGGCCAGACTGGGCCGGCCGAGGGGCGGGTCTGGAAGGCAGCTGAGCAGGCCTCGGAGAGGACAAGTCTCCATGGTGCCGGCTGCTGTGGGGAGGAGGGGGAGGGCACCGGAAGCTGAAATGTAAGCCCAGCAGCAGGTAAGATGCTCCTGACACTGTCCCATTCCAGCCCTTCCTCGGCGGGTTCCACCAGTAACGGCCAGGAGGGCAGTAAGTTCTGCCTTGTCACCCCGAGCTCCGAAAGGCTGGTTCACAGTCTCAAAGGAGCCCTAAGGCTCGGGCTGGCGGGCAGAGACCCCCTGAGGAGGTGAGGCCCGAGAAGACAAGGGCGGTGAGCAGGGCACGGGGCAGGAAGGGGAGAATGGGGAGGCGGGGCCAGCTCAGGCCTGGAGGGGAAACTTTGTCCCCACTGGCCACTCAGACAAGGCACGGCTTCCCCTTCCTCACCTACAGAACAGACACTGGCTTCACCTGCCACGCAGGGCACAACGGGACGGGGCCACCAGGGTGTGGGTGAAACGTCAGAAGCTGCTGTCATATCACCCACCCCCGTGTTAGAGGCAGACACGCCGCCGGGGGGCCCAGGAAGTGGGGCGACTCCACCCGGGGCCTGGAAGAAGCAGGCGGGCACATGGCCCCGGCCACAGGGGCTGCCACAGTTCGGACTTCCCCTTGCAGACGGCAGAGGCTGCCCCGCTGTCCAACTTACCCTCGGGGCCCGGCCGCTCCCCGTCCGGGCTGGCTCCCCCGCTCTCAGAGCCGACTTCCCCGAACAGGAACCCCGGGATCTCCTTCACCAGCTGCACCAGCGCGGTGAGGTGCAGGCTGTGCTGGGGTGCTCCTCCTGCCCAGAGGCCACAGTGAGCCCCCACACCCACATCAGCTCAGCACCTCACACCAGCGCCTCGTGTGGTCCCCCCACCACGTGAGCAGCAGCAGAGGGCAGACCCGTGGCCGGGAGATAAAGAGGCCCCGGGATCAGGCCTGGCGACATGCCCACGGGCCCAGCCACTGGGGGCACCTTCAGGGGCTGTAGCCGGGCTGCGTGCGGGGTGGCAAGAAAGGGCCACCTGAGGAGATACAGTCCAATGGCAACTCCAGGTTTCTCTGGGCAGGTCATGCCACTGGCAAGTGCCCCAGCCCAGAAGGAGGAGAGGTGACAGGTCAGGGTGGGGCTGGGGCCACCAGCTTGGCAAGGTGCGGAGGGCTGGTGTCGGAGTATCCAGTGAGGAGAGGGGCTGTGGGCTAAGGACCCCATGGTAGAAGCGACAAGAGTGAGTCCAGCCGGGCCCAGGCTGCCCAGTGGTACCAGGACACCCAAAGGGGCCTGGCGTCCATCAACAAGGTTACTCACCTAGGGCACCTCCCCCTGGAGACGCCTGTCCCTCACCCACTTTGCTGCTGCTCCTGGCTCCGCCAGGCTCCGAGGGAGACAGGAAGGCAGAGAGGGGGGCCAGCTCCGCGGTCCCTGAGAGAAGAAGAGGGACGGTCCCCCTAGAACGGACGGACGCTCACCTCTGCCTGCCAAGTGCGAGCATGCAGGTGACCGGCGCCTGTACATCCACAACCTGCTCATATGTCTTCCTGTGGCTACCCAAACCCCAAGGACCGCCGAGCGCCAGGGCCTGGGAGGCCACCTTGCTCAGTGTCTCCCCAGCTTCTTAGCACCCCCACCACAGAGTACCCAGAACCGTAGTGTGTAGTCCAGAGAGATGACAATGGCATCAAAGATCGGTAAGGCCACCAGCTCAGCCTAAAGCCACCTCAAATGCTGCTCCTTTTGTAAATGAAGACTAAAAGCCTGGGGGCAGGGGGCGAGGGGCCCCCCAGGGAGACTCTGGATACACTTGGTGCTGGACCCAGCCCCCCTTCCACTTTCAGCCACCTCCCCAGAGAGGCCCCAGGGCACGGTCAGCTCCTCACCCAGGGAGACCAGCGCCTCGTAGTTCTCCTGCATCACGTCCCGGTACAGCTCCCGCTGCCCCTCCCCCAGCAGCTGCCACTCCTCCTCCGAGAACCGCACGGCCAGGTCCTGGAAGGCGATGGGCACCTGCGGGCACAATCTCCGGGCAGCTGGCTGGCTCCATCACCCTGAGGCCAGGTGCACACCAGGGAGAGGGGCACAGCGAGTGTGGGGTGGACACCAGACACACAGGACCAGGTGAAGGGGCAACGGGGAGATTCACACTCCTGGGACAGTGACAGGAGTCGGCTGCGTCCCTGGAATGAGATGCTGGAGTCCTCACCCCAGTGCCTGTGAATGTGGCCTTATTTGGAAATAGGGTCATCACAGATGTAATTAGTTAACATCAGGTCACACTGGAATGGGCGGGGCCCTTCACCCAGCGTGACTGGTGTCCTCGTAAGAAAAACAGACACAGGGACACAAGAGGCGGCCACGTGACAGCCAAGGACACCTGGGGCCCCCAGAATCTGAGTAACTGAATCCACAAAGTATAACACGGGGGATGAGGGAAAACCACTGTACGTGGAGGAACTGGCCATTCTGACTAATCTCTCTGTCCCTGTGGACGTGGTCCCCATAAGTCAGTTCCCTTAAGGACCGTAACCAGGGGTATGAGGACCACCATCAGGCTCTGATCCTGCCAATCAAGTTCCCACCCAAGGCACCCCCACACCCAGCATGGACTTGGAGGCTCATTTCTTCTTCACCGTCTGAAGCTCCACACAGAGCTGACTCAGCAGGTCGGAGCTGACCCAGGGAACAGGCTGATGGCATAAATACACTGAGCTATGCAGGGTTCGCCTTTCCAGTGAGGCTACTTCCCAGACCAGGGACATTAGCTGACCCCTCCGGGCCCCTCTCCATGGAACACGGGTCATGCTGTGAATGGCAGCCGGCCGGGACACCTCCCTCTCCTGATGAGAGCTGGGGCTCGTGGGCCCGTTGGTGCTCCTCTGTACACGTGGTTTCCCTGACACGCCCATTTACATGTGTGAGGGGCACACCAGTCACACAGCCAGCTCCTTGGCTCCGGCTGCCTCTCTCCCCCGCCCTCTCTAACTTTAACACCTACATGCTGGCTGCTAAGTGACACGTGTCATACACAGGCTCTGTCCTTGAGGGGCCCACAAGTCAGCAGAGGCGTGATTCTGACATGTTTCAGAGCACTTCACATCTTCCATCTGATTAACAAAACAGCCCTGCGCTGGCATCACATTTGTCCTGTGTGAGGGGGGAAGGGTCCCAAGCACGGACCAGTGAAGCAGCGAGCCGAGGCCAGACGGCCTTGAGGCCAAGTCTAGGGCTCAGGTCTTTGGACTGAAATTGTGGTTTTCCTTCCACTGTGCTTGACAGTGACCACAACCAGTAACAACAAGGTCGGTAAACAGGAAACCAAGCATCCAACATTCAATTTTCTAAACGGTTATTCTCTGGTCAAGTCTGCAGGGATAGACACGGGGTCATCTGGAATCAGACATCACCACCCTTCTTGATAAAAGCTAAACAGTTAAACAGATTTGTTCAAGGTGGTGATGGGTAAGAGTCCTGAGCACAACGAACGATCCTGCAGCCACCGCTACACAGCACAGGGAGCAGGAGCAGGGAGCAAGGGCCGGGTCACCAGCGGTCCAAGGCAGCGTGTTTTCAAACGAGAAATCACAGTCAGCTGCTGTGGACCTTGAAGGAGCAGCGAACATTTCATGCCCATTTCCACCGGAAGTAGAGTGGCTCATCAATTTCTCCTTCGGTGCCTTCAGTAATGGGTGCCTATCCCCCTCCCAGCCGCTGGTGCTATCGCTGGCCTGATTTGGCAGTTACGAAGTTCTGGGCACAGGCAGGAGATGGTGCGGGGGTTGGGGCTTGCCCTCAGGAGCCAGGCTGCAGGCCTTCCAGTTCCTACTCTGCCTCGGATCGGCTGTGGCACCTCTCCAAACTCATCTCTAAGCCTAGGGCCACAACAACCTACGTCACGGGGATGCTGTGAAGATTAAATGAGTTAATACAAGAAAAGTGCCCGGAACAGATGCTGGGATGTAGTAAGTGCTGTGATTAGTGTTACTGCAGCTAAGTCCGCCTGCTTAATGCCCAGCTGCAGGTCACAGCCTGCCACCTCTGTCTACACAGCATGCGCTCTTCCCCACACACTCTAAGCGCCTCTTTATCACCCAGCTAATATACCCAGCTCTTCTAGACACCCAGAAAGCACGGATCCCAGGCCTTTCACCACCTCGGCCTCAAAACAAACTCTTCTATGACGGAGTTCTTATAAAATGGGAATGAAAATGGACTGTGGCCAGAGTAGGCGGTTTCATCAGTGGCCTTCCCCTGCCCCCCAAAAGCAGAGAAGTGAAGGGTGTATATGCAAAGGAGTGAGCAAGAATGGGGGTGATAAGCAAAAGAAACCCACCTCTGACTGGCAGTCTGGACCCACCACCCTCCCCAGGCCCAACTTCACCCTCTGGCCTCTCAGACCACCGCCCTCCCTCAACCAACAGGAGAGAAGCTTTCTGGGCCGATCCAGGATTGCTGTAACTAAGCAGTCTACCGGCTCACTGCTGCTGTGCCGGTGCTCCTAGGACAGCCCTCCACGGTGTCACCAGCCCAGCCTGAAAATGGCAGCTTCAGTGTCCACAGGCATGCCTCAGGCTTGAGCTCCCAGATTACACCCTGCTGCCCCCACCCCTGTGGGCCTGCTCACCCATCCCTGGGCTTTTGGGAGTGGCACCAGCCAGGAAGACAGGAGGCCCTCCCTGCTCCTCTCCATCTGACTGTGCCCTACCGCTCCCCAAGGCCACTCCTGGCCACCTTCTCCATGCGGCTATGCAGTGTGAGCACACACTGCTCCCAGAACATCGGATGTGAAAGATCGGTGGTCCAACCCCTTCTTTTTTAGAAGAGGAAACGAAAGTGGAATGAGGAGGCCCCAGCCTCTTCATGGGGTCAGTGGGCATTCCGAGTCCGGGTGTCCGTGGACTGCTAACTGGACTGCCAAACCTGCAAGGGAAGCAGCCCCTCTCCCACAACAGCCAACATGCCTGGCTGCTTCTCCCTCCCAAGAGGCATTAATAACACCGAGGTCCTGGCACAGTGACTGCTCCGCCTGGACACCGCCTGGACACCGCCTGCCCCAGACCCCGTCCCCATGCTACTCCCCCAACCATGGAGTCTACAGCTGCCTAAGATTGGCCCAAGCTCAGGCGCCACCCTGATTACAGAACTCGCTCCAGGAGCCCACCAAGAAGAATGCGTGGCAACTCCCCACCGGTATCCCCTGGTCTTCCTAGCACCCTTACATAACTTGTCCGAACTGTGTCCAGGCTATGACAGATGGGGCTTTCCCTTCAGCTCTCGGAGCTGTACACCTTACCTAAAGGATTATAGCTGGGAGTGGTGGGCCTGGACCTGGTAGTAATATGTCTCCCCCACCCCGTGAGTGGAAGCGAGGTGTCTGTTCGGTAATTAAAGTATCAGGTTTACTCATTCTCCTGAGGCCTTCCTGCTCACCGCTCCCAGGGTAACTTACAATTAATAAAAATTAAGAAGCCAAGCCGAGAGAGAAAGATGATTATCCCAAAGGACCAAGGTCCCAAAGGTGGAGAGACGCTCCTTGTAGGTGTATACTGGAGGCGAGGAGTGGGGAGGGGTCGCGCGAGGACTGGACTGTAGCGCACGACGTCATGCGCACCCGGCCTTGGCGGCCCCGTACTGCCCGATCCCAAAGTTGGAGGGTCCCAGGCACTACCGCCGCCCCGAGGGGCCGCGCCGAGCTCGGGGAGGAGACCGGCCCAGAAGTGCATTAGTGCTTTCCACCCCTAAACCCCGTCTGGCTCACAGTGGGGTCCCGCTGCACCTTACCTGGTTCGCCATCCCGGACTCAGCCTCCGCTCCCAGCTTCCGGCGCGGTTCCCGTCGCTAGCTCCCCCACCCGCAGGTTGTGGCGCGACCCTCTGCAACGCGGGCGACTGAGATCCAGGGGCTACAGAGATCCAGTGGAAGACGCGAGAGTAGGCGGGGCCGGGGGCGCGGACCGCTGAGAAGCAGCAGGAGAGGGCGCACCGCGGCTAGTCCAACGCCTCGCTTCCCTGGAGGGGTGGTCCCGCTTCCGCCCAGAGACCCCGGGCCTCGGCGGCCGGCCGGGCGCAGGCGCGAACTACACTTCCCAGAGGGCGCCGCGGCGCCGGCCGGGGGAGGTGCGAGCCCCAGAAGACCCGGAGTACCCTACTCCTCACCGCGTTAGCTCCGGACCCCGCGAAGCTGTGAGGAGTGGCCGGGCGCTGTGACCCGCCTGGTGGCCAGCTTACAGTGGGCTTGCTCTAGTGTGTGCATCCTTCCGTTTGTCCATCCATCCATCTATCCATTCTTGCATTCAACAGTTACTGAGCATATCCTCTATGCAAGGTGAGGATGTCCGTGTTAAACGGAACCGGCCCCTCCCAGACCGTGCATCTGTTAAACCGACAATAACCGAGGCCCCGGGGGGTGGGGGCGTGGGGATAGCGAGCGGCCCCAGGGGTGGAGAGGGACTGCAGGCCGGCCGCGCGGGCCGACGTCATGCGTGGGCGGGAGTGGCTGCCAGACCCTGGCATATCCTCACGTATCACTCTGCTTCCTTGCTACCACAGCATTGACCCCCGTGTCTATCTTGGCTGACTGCTGATCTATTTGGTTGATTGTGGCAACCTCAGAAGTTCCTGGCACGTAGTAGGCCCTCAAATAAAAGTGGGGTATGAGCCCTGGCTGGTGTGGCTCAATGGACTGAGTGCTGGCCTACAAACCAAAGGGTTTGATTTCCAGTCAGGGCACATGCCTGGGTTGTGGGCCAGGTCCCCAGTAGGGGGCGTGTGAGAGGCAACCACATCCTGATTCTTCTCTCTTTCCCTACCCCTCCTCTCTCTAGAAGTAAATAAATAAAACCTTTTGTAAAAATGTGGGGCATGAACTAAGTGTGGGCCCACCATTGTGTCAGGCAGGACTCTGCGGGGCCGGTGGCGGAGGAGGGGGGGGAGTGTCGGAGAGGATCCCAGGTGAGCAGAAGCAGCCTTATTCCAGGTCTGGAGGAGGACCCAGCTCAGAGAAGGTGGGCCTGAGGGGGCTCAACCTGCTCTGAAAGATAGAAGCTTGTCTGGGCGGAGGAAGCGGCCTGGGCCTAGAGGGCCCTCCTCCCCGCCCCCTCTATGTACTGGTTGTCTTCCTCTGGAGCATTTGGGGAAAGGGAATTTCTTGCCCAGCAGTCCCAGTGCTGGTCCCTGTAGTAGCTCTGGCCTGCCATGGGTCTGTTGGTTTGCTGCTGGTCACCTCCCAGAACCCTGGGGTACAATAGTGACATTGCTTTGGCCTGGCCTCCAAAGAAAGCCTGAGAGGAGCCTACTCTCAATCACTGCCCAGCCCCACACCTGGGCAAAGCCCCGTCCTTCACAACTAGCATTTCAGGGAAGTTATACAGACAGAACTGCCAGACTCCTTCACTGTGTTCCTGCCCTCTGAGCAGGTCCCTGATAAAGGAGTTCCTGGAACTCTCTTTGACCAATGGGCTGAGAACTGCCCCATCCAACCAGATCTGTGTAGCTATGTTCTTATTTGCATCTGTACTGATCCATGGGCCCTCGAGCCACTCCAACATGTGAAACCAACCAGTCAGAATAGTGTTATTTGGGCCATCACTGCAAATTTGAATTTCTCATTTGTGTCAGGGTCCAGCCTTGGCAGGGCTCAGGGTCCCCAAAGGGTGGACGGCACAGGCGACAAATGATGAGTCAGACACCCGATTGGATGCCAGAGAACAGCCAGCCTCTGAGGGTCTGCCTGAACTCATAGAGTTTGATTTGGCGTTATTTTTATAGAGATTGTTACAAAACATTAAAGGAACAGGTGCATGGTGTGATCAGTCAGTTAAGCAGAAAAAAACCAATACAGAGGTAACTAGGAAAAGTACAGGAAGTTCCATAGATTCAGTTATGTTAAACAAAGGTTATTTTGAGCAGGAGAGCCATTAATCAGACAATTAGAAATAGCCGTATGTACAGAGTTTTAAATGTCTTATTGATGAATAGATGTTTATTAAAGTTCTTAGAATTTGGCATGGGTCAAAAGGACACGCTAGACTGAACAGTGGTTAGAGGAAATTTATTACAAGGCCTTTGGGGTGTCTAACTTAGCTATCTATCTTTCTGTCTAAAATGTTTCTTTATGTAATATGGACTCTAACTCCTTAGCAATTGTTTCTATGTGCTTAGTTTGTAATAGTTAACCAGCTTCCCTCACTTCTTTACCTGTCTAATTCCATTAATATATATTCCTGTCCAAGGTAGGGGAGGGGCTGTTACTCCATCAACTTTTAGACGTTCAGGGGCTACCCCATCAGGGGGGACTGTTGTTCTCTGGCCAAGAAATCATCTTGTACAACCTCATTGGAATTCTGTGGATCATTGGACCTGAAATACAGGTGTTTAAAAATCCCACCACCTACTAATTGCAAAGACAGACATGCAAGGAGAGGTAGACAGGAAATCCAGCCACAGTCGCCTCTGCTGTGCAGATGCATCTCATCCGTCCTGACTATGTTGAGGGACAGCTGTTGGTGGGCTCCCAACACATTTGCATACAAATAGGGTACCAAATTCATCAAATTGGGTTACGGGGTGGGAACTTGCCCTATGAAGACAGCCTCCACTTTGTCTGTGGTTTCTTTTTTTTTTTTAATTAATTTATTTTTTTATTGATTATGCCATTACAGTTGTTCTATTCCCCCCTTCATTCCCCTCCACCCTACCCCCCGTCCCCACCATTACCCCCCTTTAGTTTATGACCATGTGTCTCAAGTCCTTTAGATTCTATATTTCCCATACTATTCTTGCCCCCCCATCTATTTTCTATCTACTGTCTATGCTACTTATTTTCTGTGCCTTCTCCCCCCTTCTCCTCCTCCCACTCCCCTGTTGCTAACCCTCCTTGAGATCTTCATTTCTATGTTTCCACTCCTGATCTAGCTGTCCTTTTAGTTTGCTTTTGTTTTAGGTGTGGTTGTTAATAACTGTGAGTTTGCTGTCCTTTCACTGTTCATGTTTTTTTAACTTCTTTTTCTTAGATAAGTCCCTTTAACATTTCATATAAGAAGGGCTTGGTGATGATGAACTCCTTGAATTTGATCTTATCTGAGAAGCACTTTATCTGTCCTTCCATTCTAAATGAAAGCTTTGCTGGATAGAGCAATCTTGGTTGTAGGTCTTTGGATTTCATGACTTGGAATACCTCTTTCCAGCCCCTTTTTGCCTGTAAGGTCTCTTTTGAGAAATCAGCTGACAGTCTGATGGGAACTCCTTTGTAGGTGACTGTCCCCTTAGCTCTTGCTGCTTCTAGGATTCTCTCCTTCATTTTAATCTTGGCTAATGTAATGATGATGTGCCTTGGTGTGTTTCTTCTTGGGTCCAACTTTTTTGGGACTCTCTGAGGTTCCTGGATTTCCTGGAAGTCTATTTCCTTTGCCAGATTGGGGAAATTCTCCTTTATTATTTGTTGAAATAAGTTTTCCACTGGTGGCTGTTCCTTTCCCCCTTCTGGTACCCCTATAATTTGGATGTTGGAGCGTTTAAAGATGTCCTGGAGGTTCCTAAGACTCTCCTCATTTTTTTGAATTCTTGCTTCTTCACTCTTTTCTGTTTGGCCATTATTTGCTTTCTTCTAGTCCACTCCATTGATTTGAGTCCCAGTTTCCCTTTCATCGCTATTGGTTTCCTGTGCAATTCCATTCATTTCAATTAGTTTCGCCTTTATATGTTTCTCTAATTTGTGGCTATAATCAACCAGTTCTATGAGGATCCTGATCACCAGTGTTTTAAACTGTGTGTCTGAGAGTTTTGCTATTTCTTCATCGCTTAGATTTATAGGCTCTGGGGCTTTGAGATCTTAAGCCATTTTTGGTCTGTTCGCGCCCTTTAAGTATGAGGAGCAGAGCCTTGGACTCCCAGGTCACTGGGTTGTGACGCTGTATGTGGGGGCGTGGTCAGAGCGGGGGAAATGGCGGCGCCCTCCGCCGTATCTCGGGGCTAGGTGAGGAGCAGAGCCTTAGGTGGTTCCCCAGGGCCGGGCCACTCAGGTCGCTGGGTTATGACGCTGTACGTGGGGGCGTGGTCAGAGCGGGGGAAATGGCGGTGCCCTCCATTGCCGCTTGCTACTGGTGCCTGCTGGGACCCATCCAGTCGCCCACTCCCCCGCTTGTCTATCTGCACACAAATGCGCGACCAGAGTCAAATCTCGGCCCTGCTCCCTCGCTGTTTCCCCACGGTCGCTCACCTGGTCGCTCACTAGGTCCAACCCTGTTCCTGGGTTCCGCGCGCCCGAATCCGTCTGACTGATTTTTCCTGTGCAACCCCGCTCCGCCAGCTGCTGGGTTCGCCCCTTACCGGTCAGGCTGAAGAATTTGTTGTTATGAGACTTCCGAAAAGTTCAATTTTCTGTGTTCTGGCAGTATTTTGTGTTGCTGATATTTAGTTGTCTCTGAACTTGGTTGTGTGAGAAAGCACGGCGTAACCACCTATGCCGCCATCTTGGTGGAAGTCGCCCTGTGGTTTCTTCCTGAGCCTCTTTCCCCAGTTTGCTCTCTGTTCCTCTGAACAAAGTTTCTTCTCTTCCCACACTCCAGATTATTGGTGGCATCGAACTTCTGTTGGCAATGCCTAAGGAATCCCTGGCACAGGGCTGGTGTGTGTATGTGTGACCCGCTGTTGGACGATTTGAAGAGATCACAAGGGTTTCACACCATGGAAAAGTAAAACTTAAAATTCACCATCTGATCTCAGCATCCCTAAAGGCCCCCCGAACCTATGGTAAGTCCTGCTTTGAGTCCGGTGTCCCACCTACTTGCTGAGGTTGGCTTCCTCCCAGTAATCTGCTCCTACTCCTGGCTCCGCCCCACACCCCGCCTTTGGTCTCAGGATCCCTTAACTTAAAAAAAAAAAAAAGGTAGTATGACTATTCAGGAAAGCCACATTTTTATTTTTATCATGTACAGCATCTTGATACCTCTTTGACTCACCCTCCCCATCCCTGACCAGGACTGGGGTCTATTCATTGACTTTGGGTCAGCAGTTGCTAAGAGCAAAACATACTATCTGCTGAGTCACCAGTT